ATCTCTCCGAGGTATATCTGTAGACCGTGAAGGAGACCACACGTATGCTCTTCGACCCAGGCTTGACAAGGTCTCCCACCAGATCACATGCGAGATCAAGCTTGTCAACAACGTGAAAGTCATCACTTTCAGGTCAACCCTGAATGTTGAAAACCAGACGAGTCTTCCCGTAGAAATGATCGTCATCGACTCCCACGGCAAAGCTGCTTCGGAGGCTTTGAAGATCAACCCGGGAGAATCTTGCCCTCTGCCACTTGAGGCTGCTTTCGAGAAACGGTTCAGGCTGCGTCCGCTCCGTAAGTCACTCAGACCTATTGCTAGCTTGCGCTCACGTCTCTTAGGTGGATTCGGCTTTGACTACAGTTGGTCTGCTCCTCTACATTGGAAGAGTTTACTGGCAAAACCCATTCGACCCATAAGCTGCAAACATCAAACTGCAAAGGAGCCCGCTTTCTACTTCCAGGCACAAGCCAACTACGACGTCAAGGATCCAGCTGCCAAGATCTACCCTAGGATGAACCTGGTCCTCCGGGCGCCTGTCGAATTGGAAAACCTGTTGCCTTACAATCTGAAATTCAAAATCCATGACCGTAACACTGGTCTTAGCTCTAGCAACTATCTGGTCGAAGGCGGATCCAGTCCGATTCATACGGTTGAACTTTCACACATGTTCCTCCTCAATGTTGCCCCAGAGGATACAGGTCGGTTGTCTTATACTTTGAGGTAATAGTGACACTGATACTCTGACCTTCAGGGTTCAAACAGAGTGAATACGCCATTATCAATACTGACGATCCTGAGCTTCCTGTTGAAGACCATTTCCAACTCGCCGACCAGCAAGGGTTGACGACACACTTGAAGCTTCATTACATGTGAGTGCCGATGGTATCAATCTCAACCCACAGCCGCTGACGTATGTCAGCACTTATCCCAACTCTGGTGGTGCTTTCAAGGTACAGATATACAGTCCCTTCATCTTCATGAACAAGACTGGTCTGCCTTTCGACTTGGCAGCCAAGACTTGGACTGGGGGACAGCGACCCATCGCTGGACGCGACATATTTGAGAGTAAGTGGCCATCGTACTTGAAAGGTGGTTGTTGACCGGGATTGCAGGCGATTGGCAGCGAGAGGCCCCCACACCATTCCGTGAGTGTCAAAAGGTAAAGACGTAGGACGCCACTGATCAAGATACAGTGCTTTCCTTCCCCAATGACGACCGCCGCAATCGACTGCATGTCCGGGTGAACAATTCGAAATGGTCCCAGGTATGAGCAGCTTCCTGTCGTCGCAAGAGAAAAGATCTAATATATTATAGCCTATATCCTTCGAGCCTGTGTCAGCTGACATGCAGATCTCTCTGGGCAATGCCTCGGGGGAGAAGGATAACTTTGTTGGCCTCTCATATGCGGAAGGGACTGGCAAGGTACGATTCTTCGTCTTCTTTGAGGATGAGCTGATCAGTCTCTCGCTTGTAGTACAAACTGACAAAAGTCATCACTATCGCTCCAAGGTTCATGGTCAAGAACACGTACACTCGACCTATCAAGGTCCGACAGTATGGTACCAGAAATGAGTACCCCGTCGGGGTCAATGAGAGAATCCCCATCCATCAGCTGTCAAACAATGCCCCTCCACAGATGATCATGTCTTTCGATGAGCCTGACACGGATTGGTTAGTTAAGCGCCTGCTCTTTACATTGAAATGCTCATAGCTTTTCCAGGTCGGCTCCCTTCAACATTTCTGACATTGGGCGAACACATATTGCAGTCCAGCGGCAATCAAGGGGTTCACCAAAGACATACTTGATGCGTGTCGAGACTCATTTGGAAGGCTCAAGCATCTTCTTGTACATCTCAAGGGAAAAAGAGGACGCGTGGCCTTTACGAGTCGCGAATGACACCAACATCCCGCTTGCATTCCAGCAAACGGTAAGATCAGGTGTTGAAAACAATGGGCGATTGCTGATGTCTGACTTAGGATCGGGATCCGGTGACAACCGACAAAGAACGTCAACGCCCTGTCCACATTCTCCCACCTCACTCGGTCCAAAACTATTCTTGGGACTGGCCGACGGCACCGACGAAACAGATCAAACTTTTCGCGAACCCTGGAGATCTTCGTAAAGGGGATAAGGGTATTGAGCTGCCGAGTTCGATCGATTTGATGGCCATTGGTGTACAACCACCAATGAGAGTCCCAGTAAGTGATCTCTGGTGCCGAATCTGGCATGAGCTGATGTTGCCTTAGTCCAATGATCCCAAGAAACGCTCGGCTACGGTGTCGGTGGACGTGCGCGCAGACGGAGGCTCTCAATTGCTCACGATATCGCCTTACAACGAGGAGACCAGCATCTACAAACCGACAAGGCCTGGAGCTGGCATCCGACGAAGCGAGAGCTCGACCTCGCTTTCCTCTTCTACAGTGGCTTTCGAGACGATTGCCGTCAGCGAGAAGGCTACTTTGAACGTAGTAGTCGAGCTGGAAGGTATTGGAATATCTGTCATCACCAGAAAGCCCGATGAGCTCTTGTACTTGTCACTCAGAGGTCTCAAGCTGGGCTATTCCGATTACCCACAGTACTACGACGCCTTCATAGATTGCAAGTGGATTCAGATCGACAACCAACTGTTTGGGGGTATCTTCCCTATCATCTTGTATCCCACTGTGGTGCCCAAGGATGGCAAAGAGCTTGATTCTCACCCGACTCTACAATCATCAGTCACGATACTCAAGGATCAATGTGCGTAATGATTCAGAAATCTCTGAATCTTGAGCTGACCACTTGTGACAGCTCACGGCGTTATCTTCGTCAAGTACGCCACTATCTTACTTCAGTCCATGACGATTGAGATGGACGAAGACTTCTTGTTCGCCTTACTAGACTTTGTGAAGTTCAAGGGGGCATCGTGGCAAGAAGATACACAGGAGTGAGTTTACCAGTCCCCTCTCCGTATCGCAAGTATTGACCACGGCTCGTATAGCGCTCTCATTGAGCATCCCAAAGAGATACCCGAGCCGGACATTACATCTACCAAAGCGGACGTCTTCTTCGAAGCTCTACAACTACAGCCGATCGCCCTGGAACTTTCCTTCATGCGTACAGACAGAGTGAATGTCGACGAAAAGTGAGCCGTTGCCTTTGTGGGAGAGAATCTGTGCTCATATCATTAGGGTATCCACTCGTAATCCATTCTATTACGCCCTGAACGCTCTCACCATGACCTTGGGTAACGTCAATGCTGCGCCGTTGGCCTTCCGCGCTCTGTTCCTCGAGAACGTGCGCTTGAGTATACCTTCGCTGCAAGAAAGAGTCATTCTGCATTATCAAGAGCAATTCATCTCTCAGATTTATCGAGTGCTTGGTTCAGCAGATTTCCTTGGTAATCCTGTGGGCTTGTTCAACAACATCAGCTCTGGGTTCTCCGATTTCTTCTATGAACCCTACCACGGTATGGTCATGCACGGAAACAAGGATATTGGAATGGGTATCGCTAGGGTGAGTTGTCTCTCTGATCACCGCTATAGGAGATGGCTAAAGGGTTACGCAGGGTGCCACCAGCTTCGCCAAGAAGACGGTATTCGGTATCACCGATAGTATGACAAAGTTCACAGGCAGTATCGGTAAAGGCTTGTCTGCTGCGACTCTAGATGCCGAGTTCCAGAACAAGCGGCGTATGACTAGGCGACGTAACAAGCCCAAGCATGCTCTATATGGTGTCGCCGCTGGCGCAACTGCCTTTGCCGATAGTTTGACAAGTGCATTTGAAGGCGTAGCTGTGAGTTACTCCCGCTGCGTTCGAAGTGCTCACTAACATTGGGCAGTCCAAGCCATTCGAGGGCGCAGAGAAGGGAGGAGCAGGCGGGTTTGCAAAGGGTGTCGGCAAAGGATTCGTTGGATTGTTCACGAAGCCCGCCGTTGGAATAATGGACTTTGTCTCCAATTCCGCCGAAGGCATTCGAAACACGACAACGGTCTTTGACCAAGCCGAGCTCGACAGGGTCAGGCTACCCCGATACATCGCTCAAGATGGAGTTTTGCGGGTATGTGAACTTTCACCATACTACAAAACCTGCTTACTGACCGTAATGATTAGCCTTTCTCGGGTCGAGAAGCATTAGGGCAATCTTGGTTGAAGGATCTTGGTAAGCCGGTTTCAGAGATCTGTGGTGACAATGACTAACACACCGGCAGATGCTGGAGCCTTCTTCCACGACTCGTATATCGCACACATCGATCTCCCTGGAGATGACGCCATCTCCCTGTTGTCCAACAATCGCATTCTTCAAGTGCAGTTGCGCAAGCTCCGGGTGATCTGGCAGGTACCCTTTGAAGATCTTCAGTCTCTGTCTTTGGAGGCAAACGGAGTCAATCTGGTGAATCGAGACGGGAGAGGAGGACCATTCTTGCCTATATCAGAAAAGGCAGCACGAGAATGGTACTTCAAGCAGATCGGAAGGTGGGTCAACTGCAATTTCCGGTTGGGTCCTAGCCATGCTGACCAGACTGTAGAGTGGTGACCGCGTATAACAAGGCCCATAGTCAGAGAGACGATTGATAGCGCTGTTTTCTGGGAGTTGTTTGATCCAGTTGTTATCTGAACAAAGGACAGTGAAACGGAGTGTACAACAGTGAAAATGTGTCTTGGTCTTTGGGTGATGATGTTCTTCTGCCGCGTACCTATAGACGCAATGTACAATATAAAGACATGCATAGAATGAATTCGGACAAGGGTATATCAACCCATATGACCCCAATACTGTCCCAAACTGCCTCAAGCTATCCAGCGCTGCCCCCAAGCAAGTCCCATGCTATAGGAGAAAATCGCTAAAATGAGACAAGATTAAATGCGCGATGCGCGTTTGAACGCGTCCACGATATTACCCTGCCTCTTCACTCTCGCATCCTTACATTTCTCTTCCGCTTTCATTTTTTCCGCCACCCAACCACGGCATCCTACTGGCTGGCCCAATAAATTGCCCTCGTCCCCCCCGCCAAAATGTCAGACATCCAGCTCGACTCCGCCCTCTTCTTCAAACGCGCCGAGAAGATCTTTAATGCCTGGGAGGTAGGTCTATCGCGTCTGTACATGTCAAAATTAGTCCTCACCTCAATTGCAGAGCCCAAATGGAGATACCAAGTCTCTGGAAGATGTGAAGGCTTTGTCTATCCTACTGGGCGAACCTAGCGATGAATTGGCTTCTTACAACAAGACCACCGCGCTTCAGGTAAGTCACGTCTCTCATCCTGTACGAGCAAGTCTGACATTGTAACAGCTCTGGCTTCTCGGCTATGAGTTTCCTTCGACGTTGATGCTCTTCTCTCAATCCCCTCGCAAAGTCACCTTCGTCTGCGGATCTTCCAAAGGTGACTGCGATCCTTTGGTGGTGGCAAGGTCGTACCGCTAATACATATGTGAATCAGCCAAACTCATTCGCCAGCTGCGACCAAGTAACGGCATTGACATTGACATCAAAGTCAGGGCGAAAGATGCGAGCGCTGCCAAAGGTTGGACAATCATGGTGTGAAATGAGTTTCGCTAATCGACTTTACAGCAACTATGGAAGAGGTGGTGGGCTCTGTTGAAGATGGCAAGATCGGGACTTTGCCAAAGGACAAGCCTACTGGGAAATTGGTCGATGAGTGGAATGCGGCGTGAGTTCTGAAGAAGCCATCTACGAGTGTCACTCATGCGATTTTGGACAGGGTCGAGGCTCATGGCGGTTTGGATGTTCAAGATGTCGCGATTCCAGTCTCGTCTATCTTGTCAGAGAAGGACGGAGAGGAGATCGTCAGTGTCAAGCGTTCAGAGACAAGAGTCCATGCTGATATTCCCCAGAAATCCATCATCACCAGTGCCAAATTGACCTCTACCGTCATGATCAACTACTTTAAATCCAAAATGGAAGCCATCATTGACCGAGGCACCAAAGTCTCTCATGAAGCGCTTGCCCAGTACGTACAAACTGAGCTGGCCATTTGTTGCTTACATCGTATAGGCTGTGTGAGGAAAAAATCGGCACTGACGAGAAGCCAGTGGATCAAAAGCTTTGGGCCAAAAACCCCTCATTGGGGCAGGTATGTAGAACTGTATCACCCTCAATCTGCGAAATGCTTATCGTCTTCAAGGTGGATTTCACTTCTACCGAGTTCATCTATACCCCTATTGTCCAATCTGGCGGCAAATATGACCTCAAGGTCACGGCTGCCTCCAACGGCGACAACCTCAAACCTGGCGTCATTCTTTCGAGCATGGGTATCCGCTACAAAAATTACTGTAGTAGCATGGGCCGAACTTTCTTGATCAGCCCTACAAAGAAGCAGGAGAGCAACTATTCTATCCTTCTCGAGGTTCGGCAGGAAGCCTTGAAGCAGCTCAAGGCTGGGGCTGTTGTTTCCGATGTCTACAATGCCGTTTTCGATTTCCTTGAATCCAAGAGTTCTGCCATGGCTGAAAACTTTGTCAAGCACATTGGTTTCGCTGTGAGTACTTTATCCGTATGTTTTGTCACGCAGCTTTGCTGATATCCATGGCAGACCGGTATGGAGTACCGTGACAGCACTTTCCTTTTGAGCTCTAAAAACAATCGCGAGTTGACAGAGAACATGGTTCTTGTTCTCACTCTTGGCGCTAGCGAACTCTCGGACCCCAAGAAGAAGGGTAGCACGTGAGCCTAGATTTCGTCATGACTGAGCAGCAGCTAACGTGTTTCAGCTACGCGCTCTTGCTGTCTGACACTGTGAAGGTTGGGCAGAACGGAGCAGCAGTCTTGACCGAAGGGGCCACCAAGCTCAATGACGTTGTCATGGACATGGAGGACGACGACGAAGAAGAAGACGTCAAACCTCAAATCGTCGACAAGAAGCCCAAAATCAAGGACTCCCCTGTCAAGCCTCGTACCAGTACTGTTGGGGGACGTGCCAAGACTCGAGGTGCAAACCGCGAGCAAATCACCCAGACGACAGCCGAAAAGATCAAAAGCAACCAGGCTCGATTGCATGGCAAGCTCAATGCTGATGGTATCAAGAAATGGGAGGCTGGTGACGAGGGGAAGAACGGCGCCCAGCAGAAGGTGGTCAAGAAGTACGAGAGTTATAGGCGCGAAGAGCAGTTGCCCAAGTCTGTTGAGGACCGACGGGTGCATGTCGACGAGTCTCGACAATCTGTGATCGTGCCCATCAACGGCTTTGCCGTTCCTTATCACATTTCGACCATCAAAAATGTTACCAAGACGGAAGAAGCGAACCACATTGTTCTGCGCATCAACTTCCAGTCTCCTGGCCAGATTGCTGGTAAGAAGGAAGACATGGTGAGTATCGCGCATTTTAGAGGGCCAAACTGACATTCTTCGGTAGCCCTTTGAGGACCCCGACGCAAACTTCATCCGATCCATCTCTTTGCGGTCACAAGATTCGCGACACATGCTCAAGGTCTTTGACACCATCACTGCGCTGAAGAAGGCTGCGGTCAAGCGAGAGGCCGAGAGGAAAGAGTTGGCCGACGTTATCGAGCAGGAGAAGCTCATCGAGATCAAGGGTCGCCACCCTTTCGTTCTCAAGAATGTCTTCCCTCGTCCTGCCCCCGAAGGCAAAAAGGTCGACGGCAATGTGGAGATCCACCAGAATGGTATCCGTTTCCGTCCCGATGGACCGGCTTCCAAAATCGATATCCTTTTCAGCAACATCAAGCACCTTTTCTTCCAGCCGAGCGAAAAGGAGCTTATTGTCATCATCCATGTTCACCTCAAAGCTCCTATCATGCTCGGCAAGAAGAAGACATCAGATGTCCAATTCTATCGTGAGGTTGCGGACATGTCTTTCGATGAGACTGGCGGCAAGAAGCGAAGGGCTCGATACGGTGACGAAGATGAGATTGAGCAGGAACAAGAGGACCGAAAACGCCGTGCCGAGTTGGACAGGGTGTTCCAGGACTTCGCCCGACGCATTGAACAAGCGGCTCAAAATCAACAATATGAGCTCGAGGTCGATGTGCCTTTCCGAGAGCTTGGCTTCAACGGTGTCCCTCACAAGTCAATTGTAACTCTGCTTCCGACCACCAACTGTCTCATACACATATCTGAACTACCCTTCACTGTCATCACCCTTTCGGAAGTGGAGATCGTGCACCTCGAACGAGTGCAATTTGGGCTCAAGAACTTTGACGTCGTATTCGTTCTTCAGGACTTGAAAAAGCCGCCTATTCACATCAATTCCATCCCTGTTGTAAATCTCGACAATGTCAAGGAGTGGTTAGAGTAAGTCGTTCATCTGGTACCTATTGACACCCTCTGACGTATCTGAAGCTCCTGTGACGTGCCCATCTCCGAAGGTCCCGTCAACCTCTCGTGGCCTGCTATCATGAAGACAGTCAATGAAGATCCCCATGCCTTCTATGCCGAGGGCGGATGGAGCTTCCTTACCGGTGACGGATCCGTAAGTCGCCTTTTCATATCATGTTGTATGACAAACACTGACTATCCAAACAGGATGCGGGCTCGGAAGAATCTGAAGAAGGGTCAGAGTTTGACGCTAGCGAAGGCTTTGATGCGTCTTCTGCCAGTGATCAAGATAGCGAATCTGACTGTACGTGCCAACGATTCCCTATGACCTACATGGGTCTCTGTGCTGACAAGTATGTGCAGTCGATGAGGACGAGGATGACTCGGACGACTCGGCGGAAAGCTTGTCAGATGAGGGAGAAGATTGGGATGAGCTCGAGCGCAAAGCCAAGAGAGGTAAGAGTCCAGATTGTATCTCACGCGAGTGGTCGCTGACGAACATCTCTAGCCGATGAGAACAACCAGAGAGGGAACGAGTCGGATGATGGGAAGAAGAAGAAGAAGGCGGGCAGGAGATAGTGTTGTAATGCCATACGTATATTTCTCCTCTATCTCAGCATGAAGAGTTTGATGCAGTCGGTAGCACGCGGATAGATTGTGAGGGCTCTGCAGTGCAACTTGGCGAGAAGATGCTCGTGCTGAGCAAGCAGTTGACGTGGTGATGTCTGCCTCCACTCATTCATCATCAGAACGCATATTACAAACGCGTGAACGATTGATGTTGTACATCTTCCACCAATTCTCATTTCTGACGCTGAGAGAGGCCCGCTCAAGTGAGGATCGTGCCCTTGTGCTGCAGAGTACTACATTGCTCTGGAACCACTCTGCCTCCGTTGAAAGCCGCGTCTGCCTCTAGACTTTTAAAAGTCACACCGCGCGCAAGCCCAACGATCCGCCAAGCTTCGAGAGTCGACTCTTTCTCTTGAGCAAAGGTCCATTCCCAGAATTCTTGTACGTGGCGCTCGCTATCTGGAACTTGAAAGCTGACCTTGGTAGATAGTGATCGCCACCATCAACCGACTCTCACACCCCTGCCGGCAACAACCAACTCCTCTCGCAGCTCATTTTCCCCTCGATGGTCGCTACTATTACGCCTAGTGCGACATCTGCGCTTCTTGAAGATCCCTCCCTCGTCACAGAGTCGCTTTCACAGCTCACACCTCTGGAAAAGTTCGTCTTGAGGCTTCTCACTGGAGAAGGAGACATTGCCCAGGCTATTCGGCGGTACCGCGCCTCGGACGAAGGTGCCAAAGCTGGAAAAAACGATGTCTCCCGCTTCAGTTTCGCAATGGTGCGAGAGGGGCAGATCGCCATAGAGGATGGGCGAAATAGCTGGATACTTGTCCTCTGGGTCAAATGCTGGGGTCTCCCCTCATACATCTCTCAAGAGTCGGATTTATCTCTGGGAGAGGTGAACTTGTCTCAGCGCCGGCTGTTTGACATCTCACGAGCGTCATTCCTCTTGTCTCTCGGGTCTGAAGCGGTCACAAATGATCACTTTCACAAATTTATCACGTTCCTATCATACGACCTGAACGGCATCTTATACCGGCACTCTCTCCTTATCCAACGTCTCTGGCTTGAGAGCTTTGAGACAGAGATCTTGCCTGCCTCTCACACTCCTGTCGACGGCTTTACTTCTGCCTTACCCGAGCTTTCGGAACACATAATCAAGCATCATGTCCCCCCGATCGTACCCTACAAGCCTATTACCTCTACGCCTTCTTTACCCCAATTGAATGAGATTCTACCTCCAACCAAACCCCGCCTCACAAAGCTGGTCATCGACAAGACGTTCGCCTCCACCAGTCCTGTCCCCTCAACTCCCACTATGAACGTCGCTCGCACCCCTGTCACAGAAGCTCCCACAATCAGTTTATCCTCTCCTGCTCTCACCTCTCATTATGTCACACCCATGGCCACGCCCCACTATGTTCCACGTGGTGTGCTCGCTTCCAACCCCTGGCGATCCATCTTCAGCTGGCTCAAGTGCATGCTCCGAGGTTTTGCCTTTCTGTGCCAATCGCCCGAGCCCACCCGTATCCTTGCGGAGACTATCCCAGAACTGGAGAGAGAAATGTCGCAGATCAGCTACTGGCTGGAAGGAGGAGCCGGGCCTCAGGTCATGGTGATGGCTCTGTACTATGGTACCCGGGTCGAAAAGGCTCCTGCTGGTGTATCGAATCTCAAAGTCCCCCAGCTATCCCAACACACGACCCACGCCAACAGATCGATCCAATCAGTCCTCGAGCTCGACATGTCTCCCAGCGACCTCGTATCTCCTACCACCGACACTGCCCTGGCTGCGATGACCAGCGTCTTTGATATCTTGGTGACGAGTAGTATAGGGTCCGATTCTGCTCAGCTGGCAGGCGACATGTTTGCCTACCAAGAGACGCAGAGCGACTCCCCACTTGGTCGACTCAAGCACGCTTCATCCGGCAAGAAGGAGCCTCAAGATGCCTTCGGTACCCCGCCACCCACGCAGTCAACCAGTAGCAACTATCAATCCTCTATCCATATCCCAGAACCCTTCCATCAAGCCCCTACTACCCCAACACCTATCCGCAACCGCCCAAGCCCACGCCATGTCGCTTCTAACAAACAGCTACACTCCCACTCCAAAGCGGCGTCGCCCAGAAAGAAGACGTCTCAGATGTTCAAGGAGACTATGGATCTTGTGCGTGGCAAAGTGCCGCAGATGAAGAAAAAGTCGTCCAAGTCGTGGTGATTGGAGTCGTGAAATGTAGGTGAGTCGTTGCCTCATGTGAGGACCATCGCTGAAATTTGATCTCGACAGGAGGACCAACAGAACAGAATTGATGATGGACAATGATAAAAAACCAGGCCGAGAACGAGAACGTATACCACCTAATAGTACCATATGACATACGAGTGTATGCAGTCATTTGTATTGTACACGACGATGTCACAGCTGCAACAAACAATCCAGAGTGGTAGCGTGAAATGCGATGTACATGCCAGAGACAATTAATGATAAAATGGCCGTCACAGCGCCCAAAATATATATGCTACGCGTTACTATGCGCCCGAATGAGATTTACTAGATTACAAAAACATGATTGAAAATCGTTACACAGCCCCCCCAAAACAAGCACCATCTACTGGTCTAGGCAACAACCTCGGCAGTACCGTTCTGCGTTAGACCCATCTTTTCGCTCTCCTCCTCGGCCGCCCGGCTCCTCTCAATGGCACTCTCCAAATCTCTGAGCTCACGCTCTTTTCTGAGCAAGTTGATCTCATCCAAGATCTCGCCAGCACCCATAGCCCGCAGTTGTCGCGCGCAGTCTTCGCCAAACTTTTCAGCTTGTTGGTAAGACCTGACGAGCACGGGAGGGGGGGTGAAGAGGACGTGTTTTGTGCCGTCGGTAGAAGTAACACAAGAGTGGAGAGTGAGCTTGGCGAGGCGTGACCGCAGAGGGGGGAGGGAGTGGGCTGAAAAGGCAGGGGTAGAAGGTGTAGGGGTGGAAACGGTGTCGACGAGACCAGAGAACCAGAGCATGGGAGACTGGTTATGCAGGGGCGCATCTTGTTGTTCTCTGAACGGGTCCTCGACGCCCTCCAACAGCTCGGGGTTGGCCGCAATCTCATCCTCATCCAGCTCCTCGAGCTCCGACTCGACACCAACAGGCACAGAGCATCCACCCTCCAAAACACGCAAACATCCTCGCTCGGCACCGCATGACCATTCTGTTTGCCAGTGACCGAGGCCACGCAGGCAGTTTCGGACGCGGGGGTCGTTGGAGCGGATCTCGATCGCGAGCGCGCCTTGGCCGACAGCGTGCATGAGGGTGGGGGAGGAAAGGGGAGAGGTGGCTCGGTGGCCCATGTCGAGACGCTGGAGACCAGACATGGCGAGGATGAGGGCAGCGAATCGGTTTTCAGGGTTGTCGAGCTTGTTGAATCGGGTGTTGAGGTTGCCTCGCTAAAGAATGACAAGTCAGCTATTGGTCCACTTAGCCAGCCTATAGAAAAAAAGACAACGTACCATATCCTCAAACACCAACCTGGGGAACGCCCTCTTGAGCTGGGCCACTCGCCTGACAGAGCCAGTACCGATGACAGAGCCGTCAGGCATGTCCTCGAGCCTGGTGTAGGGCAAGCCAGCCTTGACAACGAGGGCGTCGCGGGGGTCGTGTCGCTTGACCATGCAGCCAATCTCGCATCCGTCCTTCAAGACGGTGGGCACATCCTTGAGAGAGTGCACGAGCAAGTCAAAGTGGCCGTTGGTGAGGCGGGCCTCGAGCTCGTCGGTCCAGAGAGACTTGGCCGGTTGGGTGGAAGAGTAAGGGGAGAGGAGGTGGAGCGGGGTGGTCTGGTTGCGGTCGCCGACGGTAGTCATGGACTCGATGGAGAAAGAGTAGGGGTGCACGAAGGGGACCTCGGCCTCGCCGTCGACACCGTCGGTCTGGCCAGCCTGCCTCTCGCCGAATCGAGTGCCAGCGCCAGCGTGGAGGGCGCGCAGGTCATCGGCGACGTGGCCAGTCTGGGTAAGGGCGAGGTTTGATTTTCTGGTGCCGAGGACAAAAGTGTTGGTCTGCTCCTTGATGGCAAGGATGGTGGCCCTGTCTGGGAGGGGGCTGCGGCTGGGGGCGGCGGGGATGGTGTGGAAGGGGCAGGCGGAAGACATGGCGGAGAGTCAGAGGAGATGGAGTCAGAGGAGATGGAAATTGGAACGAAACCGTCGCTGTGTTTTATGCCCGCCGCTCGTTTCCCGTCCCTTTTTTTCACACCACCCGTCAAACGCGCCAATCACGGCGCAACCGTTGAAAATACCACCCCATTCGCCAGATCCTCGGGCCAGGCGTTGACATGATACGTGCATCGTCTTACTGGACACTCAGCAGCTTCAAGCCAAGTATAATTACTTGGCCTATTCATGCTCACTGCACTGGTCTTTCTCCATGGTATCGATGTTGCTGCTCATTCTCTCGAGATTGATATATGATCATGTAGTAAGTAGCTCGATACAGTAGCACACGACACAGGTACAGGGATGTGTGTATGCATCGCTCACTCTTCTCTTTCTCGAACAGATGCCTATCGCAGCATAATGGTCGCGCGGGGGTATACGTATTGCATTAGAAGAAAAGAGGAATCAGAAGAAACGGCATAAAAGGTCATGAACATGATAAGGAGGAGGGGAAAAAAAAGAATTTCAAGACACAAATGTCGAGGGACGCTGGAGATCACAACCTTTCTTGCTCCACCCTGGCCACCTTTCAACCCTACGGGCTCCATTACAAAGATCTATGAGACAGTAGAAGATGTCCACACAGGAGATTAACGGCGTCCCACGGTACCTCCTTGACGGTGGTAGGCAGCGATCTGGTCGAGCTCGGCCTGTACCCTGTCAGCGACAACTATGCGTTTGCTGGCGCAGACTCACCTCGAGAGACTTGATAGAGCTGTGCGCCTGCTCGAGATCCTTGTTGAGACGGTCCCTCTCCGCAATGAGCTACCCCCTATCAGCACACACCCAACATTTCCCAGTGGACCACTCACATGCTGCTCCCACTGCCTGAACCTGGACTCTTCCAACTTGACCTGCTCGGTAAACCTCTTGCGCAGCAGCTCCTCTTCCTCCCTGTACTTGGGGTTGTCAAGCTTCTTGACCTTGGGCTCGCCAAACTTGCGGGTCTCCATTTGCGCGAGGCGGTAGGCTTCGTAGTGCTTCTCTTCGGTAGAGGTGGTGAGGTCGAGCATGTATGTGCGGATGAGGAGGGATCGCAGTTTCTTGAAATCACAGTGCTCCTCGTTCTCGACTAAGGAATGGTCAGCAAAACCTGCTTTATAAGAGAAGGACGTACCTTCGGCAACACCCCAGAGGTACTCTCGTCCCTTGACGACTCGACCATCAGGCGTAGTCACATCAGTCGTACTCCCAATAATGGAGAACGGCATCACAGCCTGCATCGCACGCGCATGCTCGGCAGCAGCCTCATCCTCGGGGTCAGACGGAGGACTGTAGATGGAGATGTTCTGAGCAGCAACCGTCTCGCGAACGATTTGCTTGAAATTGAGCAGGTCTTCGGGGGTCATCGTGTCGGCTTTGGCAATGACGGGGATGAGGTTGACCCTCGTACCGAGCTTTTTCATAATCTCGACATCCAGCGGCTTCAAACTGCTCCCTTCGTCAGCCCCCACCTTCACGTCAAGAGATGGAGGACTCACGTGGTACCAGTAGGCTTGATAAAGTACAAACACGCGTGGATTCGGAGATCCTGCTTTTCCTTTCGGTGAGGCTGCTGCTCCTGCCTCATGTAAGACTCGTGCTGGTCATCGATAAAGTCGACGATGGGGGACCAAGAGTCACGGTTGTTGACATAGTCGCCAAAGCCGGGAGTATCGATCACTGTCAGCTACAAAGAAGAAGAAAAAAAAAGTCAGCGCCAAAGGCATGTGCATGTATTGAGAAGACCAACTTTGATGTTGAATCCACGCTCTTCCAAGTCGGCTTTGAGAATCTCGACTTCGGTAGTCTTGTCCATTTGCTTGGCGAATCTATACCCGCAAAGGATCAGTCATGGTAAGGTGGTTAGGCCGACTTTTGAGAACGGACCTTTGACGGTAGTTTCTGGGGGAACAGATTTCTGTAGCGAAAAGAGTGTTGATGAGGGTAGTCTTTCCCAGTCCAGATTGGCCTACATAGCAACGTCAGCATGACGGTTGAATGGTCGCAAAGAATCACATGGGGCATTGACATGTCGGCCTGCGCACGGACATGCCAACAAAGAACATCATGCAATATCGACGAGATGGGACGTACCAACGACCATGATGGTAAAGTGGGCACCATGCTGGCTGGTGATTTTGTGCCGCTACAGGATGGTGAGTATGGGGTGATGCAGTCTCGGAGGGGGGTCTTACTTGGTTGGGCAAGCTAAAGGGGATGTGAGTGGTGGGTTTGTGTGGGGAGGGCGGATGACTTACTTTGCGATTCCGATGCCGTCAGCCATGGTGGATAGGAGGGGACGGTGGAGGTCAGGAGCGACAGGGAGGGATGCAATGAAGAGAACACCCGTACTCGGAAACACCGTGCACCGCGACGCGCTCGCTGGCGGCCATCCCCGCCGTGCCTGGGGTGGAGGCATGCCAGCCCGTTTTAGTCGGTGGATAACTTTTGTTATCATCGCATCGACACCATGGACTCCTCCCCAGACCCGTCCCCCCTCCCGTCCCCCCTCCCCATCCCCACCACCGCATACCGCCGCCACGAAGACCTCGAAGACCACGAGCATTCCTCCCCCGCCTTCGACTACCACCAGGAGCGACGGCTCCATCTCAAAGATGAGATTTGGATGTCCCACCACCTCCCCCGTCTTCCCCCGGCGAGCGTCTCCGAGGCCGGATCATCTGTAAAGACGGAAACTGGCACGAGCTACAAGAACAAGATGGCCCCTGGTGATTATTTCGAATTCACCTCGCCATCCGCCCGCGTCAGGCAACTTAGCCCTAAAGCCTCGTTTAAGAACCTCACAAAGCCCGATTTCGGCAACGTGGCCAGAGGCGGCGACGGCATGGCTCGGTACGATACTGAAGAAGCCCCCAATGAGGAGGATGATTTCGCAGGGGCCTTCCAGCGTCGAGCTAGTATTCAGCCCGAGCCGCAGTCCACCCTCCTTTCGCCCTCGGGCCCAGAGTACGGCGACCTCGACCCTGCTGCTTCCATCATTCACAGACGGGAGCGAGACCAGCAAGAAGCTCTTGATTTGGAGGAAGAGAGAAAGGAGAAGGAGCTGGCGACGAAAGGGTTGGCGGGAATCGAAGGCGTCCAACTTGCGCAGATGGCGCCACAGGAGGCCCCCAAGGAGCATCTCCCAGTTGGTGAGTGTTTCTACTCTTATCTCGAGAATGCTGGTCCCGCATCATCCTTTGTTTCGTCATTTCCGCGCGGCTCTGCAAATCATGTGGTCGTCCTTTGCCATGTTGGTTCCATCTCTACCGACACCTTCGGGGACAAACGCGAGGAGATCGTCGGACGCATCAAACCTTTGTCTTGATCAGCCTGTCTTTCAGATCTGCTATCATCTGCTGGAATACAGGTGTGATGAAGACGCACGTTGCTCTGCCCCCAACGATTTGTTATCTGTGCCGCCGAAGGCCATCGTGGCTTATATAATGGGTCGCACGGCTGGTCTTCTTGTGCCCCAAAAGTCGTCAAAATAGTTCTATCTCTGGTCTTTCTTGCCACTTCTTGATATCCTCATCATGATCGACCCACAGTTGTTCATTCCCGGTGTCCAGACACCGTTCACTCGTCCCGCGTCCCCCAGCAGCCTCTCTTCTGGCAGTCTTTCACCGGGTCTGCCTGCACCCACTCCTCGCATAGAGCAAAGCAAAGATGAAATTGAACATATGCTGATCAAAATGCAAATCCTTGCCTTTACAGAACACGGTATTGGGAACGAACTTGAATCCCTCTAGTAAGTCGTGCCGCCACTTTCTCAACGCCACACTAACACCTCCTCAGCGCATCATTCTCCCGCTGCCTCGAGCTTCGAGACAAATACCTCGAACTGTCCAACCAGCGTCTCGGCGACAACCCGCGAGACCACGACGGCACATTCCACGGCTTCAACCCCCCCTCCGCCGCCGACGTCACCGGCCTCAAACCCGAGTACAACCCCGAGTCCTCCGAGCTCCCTCCCAATGCCGAAGACGCCCTGCCAGCATGGAACATCTATCCCCCTCCTCCCGCGCCGCATTGGCACTGGAAGAAGGCTGATAATGGTCCTCTGCCTGAGCCTGCGCCGCTGACTAACCAGGGTGAAGAGGAGAATGACGGCAAGAAGGCGAAAGGGGTGTCGTCGAAGGATAGTGAGGTGTTTGAAGTGGCAGACTGTGAGATTCCTGGGAGGGACCCGACTGGGTGGACGTACGGGCTTAATGATGAGGGTGTCTTTACTGTATTCGCTGCGGAGCCTGCTTCGGCCGAGGCGACTCCGGTGAAGGAAGGTGAAGCTCCCCAGCGCAAGACTCCTCTGAGCCGTGTGCCCACGCTCAAAGAGTACTTTACGGACCTCGACTACCTCCTCGGTGTCTGCTCTGATGGACCTGCAAAGAGTTTTGCGTTCAGGCGACTCAAGTATCTCCAGAGCAAGTGGAGTTTGTATTGCTTGTTGAACGAGTATCAGGAGTTGGCGGACATGAAGGCTGTTCCGCACAGGCAAGTCGCTTGTCTATTCAAAAAATGATAGCGCTTATGACGAGCGCAGAGACTTTTACAATGTCCGAAAGGTCGACACCCATATTCACCACTCGGCTTCAATGAACCAGAAGCATTTGTTGCGATTCATCAAGTCCAAGCTGAGAAAGTCGCCCGATGTGAGTGTCCATGTATCTTTTATTGATACCGGACTGACGTGTTGAATAGGAAATTGTCATCCACCGAGATGGCAAGGAGCTTACCCTCAAGGAAGTCTTCCAGTCGCTCGACTTGACTGCTTATGATCTCTCCATTGACATGCTGGACATGCACGCGCATCAGGTACGTAATTGCTTACACTGTGCCATCGGACGTTAACGTGTGGTGTAGGAGTTCCACCGATTCGACAGGTTCAACGACCGATACAACCCTACCGGATCTTCTCGTCTCCGAGAGATCTTCTTGAAAACTGACAACCTGTTGAAGGGCAAATACCTCGCAGAGCTGACTCAGGGTACGTATCTTCTCCCGCCTTCGACCTCCGCGCTGACAGTCATACAGAATTGATCACCGATTTGGAGCAAAGCAAATACCAGCAATCCGAATGGCGTCTTTCCATCTATGGCCGAAACACCAATGAATGGGACAAGCTTGCCAAATGGGTTGTCAACCACAAGCTCATCTCGCACAATGTCCGATGGCTTATCCAAGTCCCGAGGTTGTATGAGGTGTACAAGGGGCAGGGGCTGGTGAACAACTTTGAGGATGTTGTGAAGAGTGTGTTTGTTGCGCCCGGGTCTGGAGCACGCTGACAAGGAGCTGTAGACATTTTTGGACCGCTCTTCGAAGTCACTCAGGACCCTTCTTCCCACCCCGAGCTTCACATTTTCCTCCAGCGAGTTGTCGGATTCGACTCTGTCGACGACGAGTCCAAGCCCGAGAGGCGATTGTACCGCAAGTTCCCGACGGCCAAGATGTGGGACACCAAGCAGAGTCCGCCTTACAGCTACTGGTAAGTTTTGCTTTCGGCCAAGAGTACTTGTGCTTATTGTCTGTGCAGGATCTATTACATGTATGCCAACATGGCCAGTCTTAACGCTTGGCGCAGATCCCGTAACTTTAGTGAGTAATCCCTGTGTGTGTTTTTTTTGGGGCGAGCTAACAAGTGTCCCAGACACATTCGTCCTCCGTCCCCATTGTGGTGAAGCCGGTGATCCCGATCATCTCTCCTCCGCTTTCCTCACCGCCCACTCCATCTCCCACGGTATTCTCCTGCGAAAGGTCCCTGCTTTGCAGTACCTCTTCTATCTCAAGCAGATTGGTCTTGCCATGTCGCCTTTGAGTAACAATGCTCTGTTCTTGACTTACGAGAGAAACCCCTTCAAGGACTTTTTCAGGACAGGTTTGAATGTCTCGCTATCTACCGGTGCGTACCTTGTCCCTTACATCTACATCAACTAATAAACTTCCAGATGACCCGCTTCAATTCCACTTTACCGCATCTCACTTGCTCGAAGAGTACTCGTGTGCTGCTCAGATCTACAAGCTTACCCCCGCCGATATGTGCGAGCTGGCCCGTAACTCCGTCTTGCAGTCTGGCTGGGAGATGCAGGTGAAGAAGCACTGGATTGGACAGCACTGGTACCTGCCCGGTGCGGCTGGTAATGACATCCACAAGACGAACGTTCCCACCATCAGGTTGGCGTACCGTCAAGCTACCTTGTTGGAAGAGCTGTAAGTCTATCGAAGGTTTTTCAAGTCTGCGACTGACCATATCACAGTGCTCTCATCCGACACGGCAAACACTCCCCGTCCGCTACCCCAACCCACCTCAAACCTCGCACCGAGACCACCGCCGCCATTCCCGAGCGTCCCGGTATGACCACCCAAGCATCCGACGTCGGTGCTGCCGCCATGTCTATGAGCGCTGGTGTTGGCACTGCCGGAGTTGGGGCTACCAATGGATCGCACCTCGTCGGAGGTGCGAGCGAGTTGGACCAGAGGAGCTTGGAGAAGCAGAGAGGGCAACAGTAAGCGCCAGGCCGGGGGTTATTTAGAGTGCCTCGCCTGAGCTATTGCGCTGGTTATACCATACACATAGATTTCACAGTACATGTCATTGTAATATTTGCAACCTCCATGAGAATCATTGCTTGACTTAATTCATCATATCAGATACAAATAGCACAGAGTCACAAAGGAGTACTCATACAGCAGTCTTACTACATAACGGGTCCGCTTTAGAAATGGACGTGTCTACCAACAGCACGGGAGATGAGTTGAGTGAGTGATTCACCTTCGGATATGTACACGGGCGCTACGGCAGATAAGAGACCGACACCAAGGCCGCCAATGAAGCGGCCTACGACGAGCTGGGCAAAGGAAAAGGACGTGGTCTGGATGATACTGCCGATGATGAACTACAAAGATCCAAGAGCTATAGCTTTTTTGCGCGAGAACCTGTCTGCCACAAATCCAGCTTGAAAAGCCCCGATGAGGGCGCCGAGCTCCAAGAGCGCAGTCATGATACTGGGAGAACATCAGTAACGTAAACAGCAACGATGAAAACCCACCCTTTGTTAAAAGCGGCAGAGAATGAGGCGTCTTTGTCTACATCGGGAAACTGGGACAGGAATTGGGGCATGGTCAAGACGATGGACAAGATACCTACAATCATGTAAATCATGACTCGGCATCAACGGCTGGCCCTACCTTGATCGAATCCAAAGAGAAGGCCGCCCATGCAGGCACTAAAAGCAGCTGCCACGACCAACGGGTTCGCAAAGACATCATTGAGGGCTGGCGATCGTGTAAGCTTTTGGAAATCCAGAGAAAAAGAGTCGCAACGGCATGCTTTTTCCACCGATAGCGTTAGCCAAGGCCTCGCTGTCTTCGACATATTTTGCCGTGTCGGTGTGAAGCTCGACTCTGAGGCTTTCGAGTGTTGATGTGCTGTCCCTGTCTGGCGCACAGCGAGAAGGTTTCGGTTTGTCGGATGACTTGTTGGTGAATAACATGAACGGCGGATGTTGGATGATGCTTCGCTGTTGTATTCGGGTATGAAGATGTTAGAAGCAAAGTGAGATTGTATGGGGACGGTTCTGACTCTATTACATATATGTCGAGCTGGCTCAGGCCTGGGGTGACTCATCATGGCGATCTCCTTCATACGCGGCGGTCATTGACAGGAGGTCATGGGACTTCAAGACATAGGGTCGCCGCGCAAGTATCGTTCTGAACGAACGAGGATGAGCGAGGGGCGGGATGCTGCCGAATCTGCACTTGCAGTGACCGAGAGACTCCCGTGCGACATGAAGAGCGCGCACATGCTGTGATGACGGCCGTGAGGAGATAGCGGGGTGAGCCGCCGGGGGCCATTTGGAGTCAACAAAACAAACGGGTTGTTGCGGTAAGTAGAGGGACTCCATATGACCAGGGAGGAGGGTGAAATCTGGTTGGGTGTCACAGACAGAACGTGCAAGAAGGTCAGGCTCGATAAGGCAGAAAACACCTCCAGCATAGTGCATGGCAAAAAAAACAAGACCCAATTTATATTCTGCTGCTACAATCCATACAACCGCCCCATGCCGAAGCCTCGAACACCACTTAATAACTATGCGTGTCCCTCTCCAGCTCATGGACTTTACCAGTGTCTTGACCCAGGGCTTCTCGTCGACTCTTACCGACACCGTCGCTGACGGGGACGGGCTTTTCGGCAAGACTGCTAACTCGGGTACCGTGACGGGGCTCGGACGATCCCTCATCGAGATAGTCGTACACAGCAGAGTGAATAGCTGAACGTCTAATCAGTAACGGTCGATATATAGCAGAGCAAAATACTCACAAACACGGTTGTCCCAAAGAACACTTGTGCGAGGCGACCATCTAATCCTAGTCTGGATATCCGTGTTCTGCTCATACACCTGGAAAAGCTTCTTCAAGATGGCTTGAGATTCAGAGTACTCGAAGCCCTTGATACCGACAGTGTATCGGCTGTTGACGAACAGGGCTTTCCAGCCGGTGACGGGGTGGACACGGACGAGAGGGTGGGCGTTGACGATGGGCTCGGACTTGCCGGTCTCGGGGTTGGTGTACGAGTGGGCACTTCGATACCTACACACAGCGTCAGCGGCAAGTCCTAGTCATTTGGGATTATGAGACCTACAATCCCTCAAGACCGTCAAGGACCTTCTGGAAGGCGGGCGAAAGCTTGTCATAAGCAGCGTAGCCAGAAGCCCAGAGGGTGTCACCGCCAATACCAGGGAGGTGGTCGAGGTGGAGGTGGGTGACTCCAGGAGGTTGGGGCTCGTGAGTCAAGCTATTGAACCAGTCAGCGCAAATCCAAAGAGCCATTACTCTCTACTCACTCAGTGTGCCACTTTTGTGTAGGGAAGGGGCTCTTGTAGTCGGGTATGAGGCCGTTGGTACGGGCAATCTCATCAGTGATGATGGAGACACCAGGAAGGTTGGGGACACGAGCGGCAGTAGGGTGCACTTCGGGGACACCAAAGTAGTGACCAAGCTCGAGCTGCTGCTGGGGAGTGAGGTCCTGGTCTCGGAAGAGGACGATGGTTCGCTCGGCAATCAAGAGAGCAAGCTCGTCCTTTTGCTGGTCACTGAGCTGGTTCAGCTGGAGACCGACAATCCTGGTGCATTGTCAGCGTGAATCGTGGTGGCGATCAATAGTACTCACTCGGTACCGAGGTAAGGAGAGTAGTGGATGACCTCCTTGGCAGCACCGAACAAGGCCTTCTTGTCCTTGTCCGCTCGCGATCCAGGGTCGTTGTGCTCCCAGCCCTATGTCACGGATCAGCTTCAGTACCAAAAGTAATGAAAGTTGACTCACTTCTCGTCGAATGGCATTGGCAGTCTCAATGTTCTTGGGCTTGGGAGGGTACTCTGGGTAACCCTTAGAGAGGTCAATGCCCGCAGACTCGAGTCGCTCTATACCAAGGTCAGCAGGGTCTCCCACACGAACGCCAGGTCACACACCTCGAGTGCTTCGAGCGAGGGCAAAGGGGACACCTCGAGAGTCTTTGTTGGTATTTTGGTTGACAGCGATAGGCATGGCGGACAGAGGGAGAGGTTGGTGAAGAAGATAGAGATGCTTGATAATTTTGACCTATATACACGCCTTCCCATTTGACCGAGCTTACTGAGAGACAAGTTGCCGTGTCCTGCGTGAGATGGCATCATCTGGTGATGGATAAGATTGCATACCTCCTTCCAGGCACGATGGGCTCAGATAAGAATGGTGAAATCTCCGACGGGGCATAGGCGGAGGAGGTTGAAGGACCATGTGGCACTCGGGCACGGACCAGTCTCAGTTGAAGTGTAGGTAGTACAGCGCATAGAGTCCACCACTGGGACCTTAGGAGCCAGCGATGTTATCCAAGCAAGTGGACAATGTCACAGTGCGTGTGAACGGCAGACGACGACTCTGAACGTAAGGTCTCTTCTTGCGTGATCGCAGTCGGCCATTTCCGATTCACGTCACGTCATGCCAAATAATCTGGTCCCGTCCATTTCCGAGGGTTGTGGCGGTTGAGGAGCAACTTACGATATCTCACTTTTGATGTTCTTGAACAGCCCTGTTACTTTTTCAAAGTATGCAGTGCATGGAAAGCAGTACAATTTCGTACATTGTACAACGGGCTCGGACCTCACTCAACGTCACTAGTTTTCTGGTATCGTACCGTCTGGTCTCGCTTGACACATCTCTGCATATTGTCAGCACAATCACCACATGACTGAGTTAACACTCACCACATCTCCCATGATCCATCAGATTGATGAATGTGCACACCGCGCAGCTCCAGCCCTCCGTCCCATCCTCTCGGACTTGAACGTCCTTTCTTGGAGCAGGAGACGGTGTTTCCGACGCCGGAGTAGATCCAAGGGTACGCTCTCGGCCGGCCCCAGAAGAGGAAGAAGACAATCCCAAAGCACGCAGCCTCTCCTCCCGGACGAGATCGGCACTGAACCGGGGTAAAGGCTGATGTTTGGCGGTTGTGATCTTGCGTTGCTTTAACGGACCAGGCGAGATCGAGCGTTGTCGTTTCTTGTCGACTTCCGGCACTTTCGGTCTTTCATCTCCAGTGATGAAATCCTCCCATCCACCCCTGAGATTATTCATCTCTTCCTCATCCATGTCCTCTTCCATATCCCTCTTTCGTTCTTCGATACTCAGGTGTGGATCTTCGACGACTTGAATCTCGTCAGCGCCCGATTCATCGCTGTCGTCCATGCGTTGAAGTTCCTCGGATTTTGGTTTGATGTCTTTGGAGGGGCCAGCAAGTGCGCGGAGACGGGCTTCGGCAGCTTCAGCGCGGAGGTTGGCGGCTGTCTTCGATTTCGCACTATAGACTATATGTCAGCTCTGAATGTGATACTCAGATGAGATACTGACACTTTGCTCCTTGTATTACTCTCTATCCACCACGGATTCTCCTCCTCCCACATCTCCCCAGCCGTCTTCTTTGCTCTAGTCACAGCCATCCCTCCATCAGCGAGCGTCTGCATTTTTTCGTCGATGAACGCTTTTCGATCTTCTCTGTCTGCCTTGGTGATAGCTATACCTCCTCTTCAGCACGAATCACCATACTCAGCAAGAAGAGACTCACCACGAACACCATCCAACCTCGCTCCAGTCTCCCCCATATCCGCGTTATTCCTCCTCCCCGCCTTTCTCTTATACTCTGTCTGCCTGCCCGACAAATGTGAAGCTTCGCCTTTGACGAGCCCGGTGCCGCTCGAAGCTGGTCTTCTGGGCGCTCGACGTGCTTTCTTGGCATCCCTACTCTTTCATCAGCTTGGTCTCAGAAAGAGGAGGAGGAAGGGGAGACGTACGAAGCACTAACACCACAGACGTATTCCGGAAAGTCGGACGCGCGGAGCCCTTCACCGCCCATACGCACACTATCCTTCAAACGTTTCCCGTCCGACCAGAATCCTGCCATCATCAGTCAGCATATTCATTCTTCTTCTATCAGGACCAAAGGGCAGGGTTTACCATCGCCATAGTATCCCCGAGCTTGTAATCTGCCCACGTCAGCTTTGATGTCGTTCATGAGCTACTCGGAATCAGTTGGTGATGACCACATTTTTGTCCGGGGACACGGACACACCTTCTGGAAATTTGGCCCGTGGTTCATTTGTTGTATATGAGCCATCTCATGGCACATTACTGATATGATATATGGCAGGGGTAGGAATCGACCGGAAGGTCCTCTCAATACAAGCTCGATGCTCTGCGAAGTGTCAGCACAATGCCTTTTGCGTCATTAGATTGTTTACATACTTGACCATGGTTCCAATTTCTTCCAGCGAACTGTTTGAGATTAGTAGACTGCACTTTATAAAGTTGACCAAGACTCACCACCCGATTGAACGCTGCTTCTTCCAGGGTGCCGACTTGCATGAACCGTTCTTTCATGATGGTCCGCATCTGAACCCCGTTAGCAGACTGGGAAATACGAGCATTTGGAAGAGCCTACTTGGGCAGCTATGCAAAGTCAGTCGAAGCTACAAGAAGGCAGATCGATGAACTTGCCGACTGCTTTGAGGATATCTTCGGCATCCTTGACGTCGTGTTAGACTCCGACTTTTTGACTTTCAAGAGCAGATCCAACATACAGTATAGTCCTTCTTGCTCATCAAAGGCCTGATGAATATGACATAACTGGACATCCCTTCTTAGCGCATGTCATAGCTCGAAGGGCAGAGCCCGCACTCACGGATTCGGGTTTGCCTCGCGCTCGTTCAAGCGCCTAGCCGCAGAGTCAGTCTCACAAAGTTGACTGCAAATACATGCACACGTACAGTCGAGGTGCCTGCATGTTTGAGCTATGCTTTTATGATAACCAAGTGCCGATAAAGGTCGATGACGGACGAAAGATATAAAATGGACGCGTCCGCCACATGCTCGGCAAACGCCGCTAGCCTGAATAACGCTGATGGACAGTCGCATCTTGGTCTTGTTCCACTCTCCCTCGACGGCCGCCATGTTCCAGCATCCCCCGCCCCATCTCCACCCGCTCCACCGCCCCCCGACGGCCCCCTCCACCCCCGACACGGAGCACTCCGCCCATAACTGGCCCAACAACCCCAGCTTCCCACACCTCGCCCAGGGGCTCCAGCCCGCCAACCTCCCCCCCTACATTCTCGATCGCCGTCAGCCCTTTGGCGGCTACTCTGCCAACGGCGCCGACGGGTTCAGACCAAGTGCGAGCCACACCCCGCAGATAGGCAGCGCGCAGTCGACTACCCCGGGCCCTGGTGCTTCCGGCCCCTTACTGCCCCAAAACCTCGCCCAGCACCTCAACAACCCCCCGCCTCCTACGACATCACAGCACATCAATGCTGCAGTTGCGGCCCAAGCGGCGTCGACGCCCCATGTGCCAACGCCAGGCGGCAAAGTGTTGCTGATGCCGAATGGGGCGCTTCCCCCGGCGGGGAGCGAAGAGGAGAAGATCTACGTGCTTATCACCGAGCTGCTGGACCCGGACACTCGGGAAGGAGCGCTGCTCGAACTGAGTAAGAAGAGAGAGTTGTATGAGGATTTGGCTTTGGTACTGTGGGGTGGTTTTGGTGTGTCAATTGCATATGCCGTAAGGGCGAGACTAACCTCTAGCAGGGATCATGAGCTCGCTTCTGCTCGAGATTGTCGCCGTCTACCCTGCCCTTTCGCCCCCCTCATTAACGGCCCACGCCTCCAACCGAGTCTGTAACGCCCTCGCGCTCCTCCAATGCGTCGCCAGTCACCCCGACACCCGCGCTCTCTTCTTGAATGGTGCGTCTATCATTAGAGCCCCGTCCAAAGCATGCTGATGGTCGTGCAGCCCACATCCCCTTGTTCCTTTATCCTTTCCTCAACACGACAAGTAAAACAAGACCCTTTGAATACCTCAGATTGACTTCTTTGGGTGTTATCGGTGCGCTGGTCAAGGTGAGTCGACTTGTTGCGTGTTGCTGCTGCAGCTGACATCTAGCAGCAAAACGACAACTCTGATGTCATTAACTTTCTCCTCTCCACCGAAATCATTCCTCTCTGTCTTCGGATCATGGAGACCGGCTCCGAGCTCTCCAAAACGGTCGCCATCTTTATCGTGCAAAAGATCCTTGCCGATGATCTCGGCCTGCAGTACATCTGCCAGACCTATGAGAGATTCTACGCTGTCGGAACAGTGTTGGCGAACATGGTGGATGCCCTTGTGGAAAGTCAGGCGGTCAGGCTGTTGAAGCATGTTGTGAGATGTTACTTGAGGATGAGCGACAACCCTAGGTATGTTCTTTTTTTCCTCTATAAGAGGGTGTTTGTTGATATAATTACAGAGCACGAGAGGCTCTCCGCGCGTGTCTTCCCAAGGCGTTGCAGGATAACACATTCAACCCTCTGCTCAAGGGCGACCTCGTCACCAAACGATGCCTGTCAACGCTCCTCATGAACCTCAACAGCCCCGGCCCTACTCCCGACCATCAATAGTATCCTACCCCATGTCGACCGTCATCATTTCCTGTCAGGCAATCAGCCTTGCAACATAAAAATCATGCGTAGATCGCATGCCAAATAGCATCGGTTATCGGAATTGTTCCATCTCCACGTATTTTCCTTGGGAATTACCACACATCATTATACCCCCGGCTTCGCATCATCTTCTCCCATGTTTGTCATGACCATTTTCTCTCTCATTCTTCTGTCATATTTGTATTTGAACGCCCAGGACCTACATTCGACCATATCTTTTCGTACAAATATATATACGCTTATAGGGGCAAACGAACTTTTATCATCGGTATCATACTATTTTTTCCACCATGTTTTCATGCCCCGGTTTTCGATGGAGAAGTCAATAATTGAATAGATGAAGTACAGTATATGCAAATCTATGGCCAAGACAGATGCAGGACTTGTCACTCGACCTAACATCTTTGACGATGATTGCCGGTGACCGCCGCTTGTCGGGCTGCCGTCTATCCGTCATCATCATCAACGCGATGATTGGAAGTATCTCGTCTGGTATAGCACATTCTATACGCCACCCCGCTGGGACAGAATCAGCAGCATGTCCAACCTCAACCTCACTCGCGACTGGCTTCAGAATGTCCTCAGACCCTTCCCATCCCGAGAACGCATACAGCAGGAGGTCCTGCACATCCTCAGCGAAAGGCGTACCCTCGCTGTCAAGACTGAAGCTTTCAGTATGTATCAGAATCATATCAAATTGATAGACGGTGGCTGACAAGCTCGTATAGCATTCGATTCAGGCCATACAGCCCTGCTCCTCTTGGTCCACGGCACCCTGCCCATCACCTTCCGAGGTGCGACCTACCACATCCCGATTCACCTCTGGATACCTCACGAATACCCCCGTGCCCCTCCTCTGGCGTTCGTAATGCCCACAAAGGAAATGGGAGTCAGGAAAAGCCGGGAGGTGGAACCCTCAGGGAGGGTCAGTGAGGAGGTTGTTGATGGGTGGTGGAGGTCTTGGGAGGTATGTCTCATTGCAGCTGTTCGTGAACTGTTCGCTGATGATGGAGCAGTCCAAATCGCTAGATCAGATTCTCAAGCAGCTGGCGAGCGTGTTCTCGGCAGCTCCGCCGGTATACGCAAAGCCACCTGCTGGCGTCTCTTCGCCTCAGGCGCAGAGCCCGCTGAGAGGCGCCCCGTCGCCTGCACCTGTAGCTGGGACATCCCAGAACCAGCCTCCTCCTCCACCTGCGCGGCCTGTGATAGGCCCTCCTCAGCCTGAAGTGAGTCTCCTTCATATAAGGAAAAGTCATACTGACCACACGTTAACCGTTAACAGTCACTTCCAGTATACAGAGCCGCCCCCACACCTCCTCCCCATCCTTGGCTACAACAGTCACATTCTCGACAAGGCTCTGTCAACTCAAACTACGCTCCTCAAATACCCGCGACGCCCCCGCAAGCATCAGCTACCCCTCCAGTACCCGCTCGTCCGATACAACGAGCGCCTCATCCACAGTCACCAAATGGTGTGCCCTCGATACCTCAAAGACCCTTGTCGGGCGTGATGCTCAACGGCAATGGAGGTATTCATCCCCAGAGTACAGGGTATGGGCCTGGCTGGGGACCTCAGGCTATGACTGCCTCTCCACACGGCCAATCTCCAGCCCCTCTGCAATCACATACAAATGTCAACCCAACTCCCTCTTCTCTCCCCGCACAATCCTCTCAGCAGGCTGTGGAACCTTCATCACGGTCCCAAACCCTTCCAGCAACAAGACAACCAACCCAAGACCTGCTTTCCTCCCCAGAACCCAGTAATGCGCCATTACCTTCCGACCCCACAGGCCCCCCTCCTCCTCCACCTACCAAACCACCCCCTCCCTCACTCCTCCATCTCCACTCTATTCTGCTACCGCACTTGAACGCATCCCTCCCTTCCCTGGTCCATTCCCTGCAGTCTTCAGTGGAGAACCTCCAAGCTAGGACTGAAGACTTGACCACGGGTGAGCCAGCAATCAGGGATGAAATGGCTAGGCTGGAGGCTGTGAAGAAGGTGTGCGACTCTGTTGGAAGAAAGATGGAAGATGTGGTGCAGAAGGGCGAAGATCGTGTGGCGGAGCTGGAATCGAAAGGAGAGATTGGAGTGGATGAGCTTGTCTGTGGGATTTCTATCGTGCATAATCAGTAAGTTCTGTCATCTTCACTTCATCCCTGCAGTCGTTGTGCTGATAAAGTGCAGGCTTATAGATCTTGTGGCGGAAGATAATGCCATAGAGGACACAATCTACCACCTGACACGAGCTCTCGACTCGGAACGGATCGACCTCGATCGGTACTTGAAGTCTATACGATCTCTTGCCCGTGAACAGTACATGAAACGAGCCCTCATAGAGCGTATCCTCCAAGGGATGGGACAGACCTGGTAATCAGTTGTAGCGCATGGTAATGTAATGCATAGGGATAGATTAGAGTGTCACTTCTTTTTGAGGTCGCTATGAGCGATGAGTCCAGCTATAGTCAATCAGCATACCTCGTCGATGGAGAGGCAGAGCGGTCGGGTGGACTCACGATATACATATCGCTGGTTTGCAGCGGTAGTAACGTGTACACCTTCATTCTTCTGATTTTGCAACATATTAGCTTCATCCCACGGATCCAGCTTCTTATCGTCGTCTTTCTTCTTTGCCTGTACCGCCTTGCGACATGCAAACCACAGTAGCACCTATCACCTTGTCAGCTGAACGTCTGGGAAGCCGATATAAGATGTACATACCACTCCTGCAAGAGAACCCAATACGGCACCGATGATCACACCTATATTTGGGGCTCCTCCTGATGTGCCCTTTACGCCTGTAGATGTGGCAGTAGCGCCTGTTGTAGTCGTGGCCCCGGTGCCAGATGGAGATAAGGTCGTCGTAGAGCCTGCTACGGTACCGCTGAGTACCAGTCAGCTATTGAAACGTTATGTTCAAGGATTGCTGACATGAAACCGACACCTCCCGCCGGGCCGTAGGCCACAAATCTGTCAATCACCAGCCCTCCTTGCGCTTCTAGAGACATCGTATGCGTGCTGCTTGTGTCAAGATTGGTGGTGAAGAATAAGAGGGTGTCGTGTACAGTGACGTTGTTGGAGGTATCGAGTGTGGCGGCAACAGTGCCGTCGAGGGTTACTGTGAAGGTGGAGCAAGATGGACAGACCACTCCCATTATTGAAATCGACGCTCCTGTTTGCTTCGTCAGACAGATCCCTGACATCTAAAAAACATACCATTGAAGTCAACCTGAGCGGTAGCACCTGCGGTACTCGTCATCGATAATGTTGAGTTGTGGTCGTTTGACGATACTTGTACTATTTCGTTGTTCGAGTCTATAGGAGAAAAGCCCGAGTATCGGGCGAGCTCAGAGCCGTCATCGAGAGTGACACTCTCTGTATCTGACCTGGGATAGTCGGTCAGCGACTGTGAGATCGAACGAGAAAAGGGTGTCATACCCGCTAGGGGCCATCTGCGTTTCCACCCAAGCCCCATGAAACTCAAACGCATCCTGACATCCTCCATCCACCCCGCACGATGACTGTAAAGTGAACGTCTGCTGATTGAACTTTCCATCCGAGGCTGTCCAGTTTTGAGCAGTTTCCCACGTCTGCGAATCATCCGAGTTGATCTGAAGTGTCACATTGTAGTCATTGGCATTGAATATGGGGGCAAAGCTGGTGGCTGCAAAGTGTCAGCTGGACATCCTACATCAGAATTGAGCAACGCACCATAGATCGAAGGTAATATGACCCCAGCGCTCCCTGTGGCACTATGATAAGTAGATCCTCCCGCGACTGTACCCCCAATCTGCCGCTTGGCCGTAGAGCTTGAGCTGTCGGATCCTGTCCAAGGAGACAAGTTCTGACCGGAAAAGTATGCGTCTGCAGGTGAGTAGAAGCATAGCGGTGAAGCATCCGATATCCAGAGTCTTTGGGTAGACATTGCACAAGAGGGCCGGCGTCAGACTTGGGTCGTAGGGATGACAACACCAGAGACATTGTGGGCGATGGCTGACTGACGGCAACATATCGATTCCTGTAGCGAGAAAGGATTGACTGAAAGGATAGCATCGGTGACGGGGGTGATAAATAATGAGAAGATATCAGCTGCCTCTGCCCGGGTTTCATCCTGACTGGTCGCGGGTCCCAGTGGTACCCCACTTCGTGCGATACCAGCAAATCATGCCCTCATCCTGCATGGATGCACCATCATTTGGCCATGCGCCGGAATCAAAGCTTCCCCGTGAAACGCCTCCATTTTCCTAATGGGGCAATTAGGATGCGAAACAAATCTTTATTGTTCTCGCGGAACCCTAGATTTGTACCTGAGGCACCCTTAAGCTTGCTTCGAATCCTTATTGTCCTCTGCTGCACCTGTCCGTCTAGCGGAAATTATAAGTATGCAAGCCATTTCTCTGCATTCATTCTCTTCACTCACTCTTGAAATCAATGTTCGGCATGTTCAAACCCATCGTCGCCCTCATCGGCGCTCTTCTCTGTCTCCTCCCCTTCACCCAGGCCAGCGCCGCTGCTCAGTTCAACCTCGACGTGAATAAGCAAGCATCATGTGAGTACCGGGCTTGCACAGTCCACCGCAAGAGATATGCTAAATAGAAGCTGTAGTATGCTTCCAGACTTGTCACTCTGCTATCGTTGGCTCACTTGCTCTGGAGGAGACCGACACCAATGCCTACCAATGGATCAAGCAAAACTGCAAATACGACGTGAGTTGCCGCCGATTCTCGACCATTCCTGCCTGCTGACAATATCTCCAGAAATGGCAGGCAGCCATGACTCTGTGTCTCCCTCAATACTGCACATCAGCTCCAGATGTCGCATATGCCATGGAATACGCCAAAGGCTTTTGTGCTCGAGCAGGCGTGACGGTGAACATAGAACTTCCCGAGAGCTACCTGAGCGGCGTGAATGGGACATACTTTACGTGAGTGATGCGTCCATACAGAGGCTACGCAGCTGACTTGGGTCACAGCTCTGAAGAGTACCTCGACTCTGCTTCTTCAGCTGGGAGCATGCCCAGTGGGTTGTTGGCTGGGGTAGTGGCTATGGGCGTCGTGGCAGTCACTTTCCTGTGACCCCTGCCATCCCTATTACCTTCTCTCTGTATCTTCTGCTTTAGAGCTTCTGACTAGATTGTATTATATGGGTATTCGAGACGCCGACGAACTAGTAATAATCATGTGTCCAGGCAGACATTGATCAGCGCATGCGGCCGTACGCTGCAGAATTCTGCAAAGTGAATGCAGCATGCCTATTCAGCGAGTTTTGGGACAAGGACGGAATACTACAATGCCCAGATTCAGACTTCTCACAAAAAGGGTGCTTCAAATAGACGACGAGAAGAAGAAGAAACGAAGCCAAGCCGGAACTCAGCCGGCGGCCGCGGGTCATGACAAGAGGTGGACGCCTCCGCCTCCTACAAATCCAGCCTGAATCTACTAGCCTCTGGGCCCTCTGAGCATAATACTGATAAGTCGTATGATCATCAACCGCTTGTAATAGCCATATCACGCTCTTTATCCTCTGTAAATAATCTCCATGCCTCAAAACTCCTCCCCTGACCGATCATCGCCCATTGCCCTCTCCCCACCCATCTCCATCGGCGGACGTCATACTCAGTCCGCCCACCGCTCAGCAAGACCTCCCAGGAATGACCGGATAGGAGGAGATGTCGTGGGGGATATCAAGAGGGGTACAAGAGGCTCAAAAACTGCATCAGGCGGGGGAAAAGCATCGAGGACGAAGGTCTTATGTGAGCTGAGCCGTTCGAAATCGTATGTGGGTACGTCCTAACATTTTCCAGTGGCTGTTGCGCTCTTGCTATTTGTCATCTTGACCTCTGTCTGGGTCATGCGCTTGAATCGCAGAGTACAAACATTAGGAGGGTTCGGCGGTATGCTCAGTAAGGCGCAGAAGAGATGGGCTCAACGGGAGGAGCTATAGACCACCTCGTCTGCTCTTGTTATGCGTGGAATATAGATATATGCAATCTATAATAATGCTGCTAATGCTGATGCTGATGCGAGTGGTGAAAACGTCCTGCCTCAAATGGTCTCTCCTGTCCTAGGTCTACTTGCGCAACCCAAAGCCCGATGAGCGCTCTGGCTCCCTCTCCCTTCTAGCTGGATTGGAACCTCTTTCCTCAGATCTAAAGCTCGGGCGGCCGGGGCGCTCGAGGCTAAAGTTGTTGTTACGACCGTAGGCGCCATCCGTCTTGTTTGCACCCCTTGACCCGAAGCCTCCCCGGTCTGAAAAGCTCGAAGAACCTCGCTCTCGGAAGCTTCTCTCGGGTGAGTCTCTCTGTCTAAAGTCTCTCTCTTCAGAGTCTTTGTGACTGGCTTTCCGTCCAGAGAACTCTTGTTTTCTGGGGCCTCGTTCGCTGGCGTCCCTATCCCATGGTCGCCTCGTCACAGTCTCTCTCTCTTCGCCATCTCTTCCTCGTCCTCCACTTCTGTCCTCCCAAGGCCGACTGGAACTTTCACGCCCTCCTGATCGCCTTCTTTCAAAATTTCCTTTCGTCTTCCAGCCTCTCGACCTCTTGTCGCCGTAGGACTTTCTCGATACAGGCTCTTCTTCCAGGTCTTCGTCTTCCCATTCCGCTTCCTCGCGCTCTCGGTTCCCCTTCGTCCTCACCGTAGAGACTGCAGAGGCATCCTGCAACACTCTACCCTTGAGCACGGGTCCCCATCGCGAGACAATCTCCCCCATACCTTTAACCAGCCCCTCATTGGCTTCCCCTCCAATCCTCTCCGCTGCCCGCACCACGTCCCTTGCCAACTCGACTCTGTCGACAAGTGCTTTGCGCGCAGAGGCAGTGACACCACGCAAACTCAGCGTACGCAGGAGAAGAGGCTCATCGCTCCCTTCAGTGTATGGCCACGCTAAAAAGGCGCCCTCGCCGCCCAGATGAAAGAATATGTCAAGAGCGGAAGCGACCTCCTTGTTGCTCTTCTGTAGAGCCGTCTTGAACAAAAGCCCCAGGAACTGCGCGTCCGCGTCCATCTTTTCAGGCTTGATCCACGTCAGGCCCCTAGCATCTTTGCCTTTCCCATTGGGAGTAGACCAGATGTAGGAGGCGACTTTGGGGGCCTTGTCCGAAGGGTCCATACGGACGTGACCAATGCCAGTTGAGAGATGGGTTGCGCGTTGGAAAATGGAGAGAGCGGCGGAGTAATCACCGGCCCAGCGAGCGGCGGTAATGGCGGCTCGCCAGGTGTCTCTTGACCAGCCATTTTTGCCGGCCCCGGGAGGCTGGTACATATCCAGCACACCTAGCACCGCCTGGATATCCCCAGTGGAAGAAAGCGCAAGAATGGCAATTTTGAGAAACTCAAGATCAAAGTCTGGCTCCAGACCTTTGTTTGCGAGGATGAGGTGGGTGTAGTGCGATGCTAGAGTCGGGTGACGAGCAGTGTGGAGGGCAGAGATCAGGGCAGTGGCTGACCTCACGTCGACAGACAGTTTGGGGAGAGATGCGACAGTAGGGGTGATACTGGGTTTGGAGAGTATAGTAGACGAGGCAGAAGCGGGGGCAGCATGACCTGGGGAAGGGAGATCCCAGATCTGCTCGGCTACGCTGATAGCTTGTCGGTGATCCTCTGGTCGGCCTCTCATCAGACAACGCAGATACTGCGCAAACAGGACATTGTCAATCCGCCTTGATGGGTCTCTCCCCACCTTTCCAAATTGCCTGATGCACTGATCCCACATTCCTCTCGCTGCCGGCCCAATCTTGAGCGCCTGGGCTTGATCGTTTGGTGCCCGCTCGAGAGAGCGGTGGACGTGGTATAGAGTGGTGAACATGATGGTATAGGTGGTAGTATCGGCAGCGAGGGGGCCTTCGGTGTCGAGGGAGAGAAAGACGCGCTGCATCTCATTCCACATCCCATGTCGGCTGAGGAATTTGAGATAGGCGTTCGTAGGCGCCAAGTCGACTTCTTCCTCAATCTCTGCTTGGTTCGGAAGAGGTTTCCGCTTGCTCGCTTCTTTGAGAGCCACACCTGGCAGGGACACACCCAAATCGTCCTCTGAAGGAGCCGAAGCCTGTTTCAGGCGCGCGGCGAGACCTTTGATGTGCACCTGGGACTGCTCGTAGATGATGGTGACTCGTGACAGAGTGCGGTCAGAAGGCGTGACAAAGCTGAATTCTGGCTCTTGACCAGAATGAGAAATGCCGGAATAAGCATTGAGGACTACAGAGTACGTTCGAGATGTGGGGACAATGTTGCGCTTTTTCATCTGAACGGATGTCAGTACGACGTCCCGTAAGGGTGGGACGACTCACTTGATTGTACAGCGACCAGACTCTATCCAGCTTCTTTTGCCTCCCCATGAACCCCAGCAGTTGATTCCATACAGGGGCATTCACCATGTGATTGGGTGCCTCAGTGATCATCTTTGAGACGACCTCCGTGTCTTCCACTGACAGCGGCCCCTTGTGTTTATCTATCCATCTTTTCAAACGGGTCGCAGTCGTCCAAGCATTCTCGTCCCTATCTTGGTGGTTTGTTAGACCTGGTGTGTTGATGCCGCCAGAGAATTCTGTTCTATATCTTTGAGCCCGAACGGGGCCTCTTTGGGATTGTCGCTGACGGTTCTCGTCGGGGTAAGAACGGAGCTTGCCGATGGCCGGGGAGGCACTGAATGTCCGAAGAGTGCTGGGACCAGCGTGCGCTGCGAGTATCCGAGGGAGTTGTAGACGGTGCAGCATTGTGCACTCGTATGGCGATGGACAAGACAAAAGTGCATACGATGGACTGAAATTCAAATTCCACCGAAACAATTCAAGCCAAATAGGCTTACGTAAACAAACACGTGAGCGAGCTTTGGTTCCGCCATGATGAAATGCTGGGGATCAAGTGGCCACACGTCCAAGTCCAACTCGCCGCCGCCCCTTTGTGCTCGGACCTCCTCGTGCCCGGCCTCACCCAGCGGGAAGTATAACGTCAGCCACAGCCGCCACCTACTGCCTATCCGGCCTCCAGCTCGGCCGCCTACCTCAGACTTCACAGGGAACCACAGGGCATTCGTGTAACCGCATCCTTCCTCCATCCGCATACCTCACCATAAAAGGGCAGGCAATTGTATCTCATCGCTCCATCTCATTACAACACACGCGCAAGATGCCCGCTGGATTCGCCTGTACGTTGACCACATTGTTGCCCGCCCCTTGCTAAATATATCTAGACGACTTCCTCCTCCTCTTCTGGAGGATCATCATCAATATCTTTTTCCGCGAAATCCGTCCCCGTGGCGCGTTTAATATCCCTCAAGAGGGCCCTGTCCTGTTTATATGTGGTCCCCACGCCAACCAGTTCTTGGATCCCTTGTTGTTGTTCTCAGAAGTCCGGAAAGAGTCAGGGAGACGTGTGTCTATCTTGACGGCTGCTAAGAGTATGAACCGCAAGTTTATTGGTGCTGTTGCTCGTGTATTTGACTCGAGTACGTTCATCCTCACATCATTCGGTTCCACAAGCTGACTTGCCACAGTCCCTGTTGCACGAGCGGCCGACTATGCGACGGCAGGCAAAGGCCGCATCGTTCTCTCTGAATCCGACCCTCTCATCGTCACAGGCCTCAACACCGACTTTACCACTCAAGTCAAACCTCACTCTCAACTCGTCCTGCCTAAATCTGCCGGCTATGCTGCTGCCACAGTAGGAGAGGTTATCTCCGATACCGAAATCCGCCTCAGAACCGAGTTTGTGGTGCCTAGCAAGGACGGAAATGCGAATGTCAAAGCCTCTACCAGAGTCAGAACCGAGGGCGAGCAAAAGGAAGGATTGGAATACAAAGTCTTGCCGCACGTCGAGCAGGAAGACACGTACGGCGCTTGTTTCCAGAGGTTAAATGAGGGCGGCTGTATCGGCGTGTTCCCCGAAGGCGGCTCGCACGACCGTACCGATTTCCTTCCCCTGAAAGCTGGCTTTTCCATCATGGCTCTTGGTGCCAAAGCCCTTCACCCGGATCTCGACGTCAAACTCGTTCCCGTCGGTCTCTCCTATTTCCACCCCCACAAATTCCGTTCTCGCGCTGTCGTCGAATTTGGCCCGCCCATCTCAGTCGATCCAGAGTTGGTGGAACTCTACAAACAAGGTGGAGCGAAGAAAAGGGAAGCATGTGGGAAGCTCTTGGAACAAGTCCATGATGGTTTAAGAGCGGTCACGCTCAGGGCCCCGGACTGGGAGACGATGCAGGTCATTCAGGCTGCGAGGAGGCTGTACCGGATCCCCGGTCAACACCTCACTCTTGGCCAGGTCGTCGAGCTGAGCAAGCGCATGATGGAAGGGTACCTCGTGTACAAGGATGAGCCCAAGATCATTGATCTTCGCCAGAAGGTGCTCGCGTACAACCGTCTTTTGCGGGATATGGGTATTGCCGATCATCAGGTCGAAAGAGCTTCCAACAAGAGCGTCAAGAGCCTACTGCTTTTAATTTATCGCACTGGCTTGCTCATCTGGTGGTCACTCCTGGCTCTTCCCGGTACCATTCTACATGCCCCCGTTTTCATCCTCGCCAAACTCATCAGTATACAAAAGGCCAAAGGTAAATCGTATCGTCTCCATACAGTCCTTCTCTGACAAATCTCGCAGAGGCACTCGCTGCTTCCACGGTCAAGATTCAGGGTCGAGATGTTCTCGCCACCTGGAAAATTCTCGTTTCTCTCGCCGTCACCCCCCTCCTCTACATCTTCTACTCCATCCTCGCCACTTATCTCGCTTACAAGTATGACCTCGCCCCGGCGTACCGCCACTGGACGCCCGTTGTCATCTTTTGCTGGTTGCCCGGATGGGCAATGGCGAGCTTGAAGTTTGGAGAGGCCGGGATGGATGTCGCAAAGAGTCTGAGACCATTGTTCTTGTCTGTATGGCCGGGGAACCAAAGAGAAGCCGACAAGCTCAGGGAGATGAGGGAATCTCTCACAGAAGAGATCAGCGAAGTCATCGGTGAGTATCCTTTCAGTCATGGATACGCAGCGTCTGACCAAGTTTGCAGATGAATTCGGTCCCGAACTCTACGACAACTTCCAACGCGGCCGAATCCTTCCTTCCGCCTCCGTACCCCAGACTGGCCGCAATCCAGGTCTTCTCTCCCGCAAGTCCCAATCCGCCGACTCATCTGTCCTCTCACACCCCATGCTCTGGCTCGACGAACGCATATTCGGATGGAACCGATCCGCTTCTATTGGTCAATCAGTCTGGTCTTCAGGCAGGATGGAGAAGACTAGGAGCGAGATGGAGGCAGAGCCGCTTAGCCCGACGGATTCGGATGGAGAGGAGTACGAAGCGGATGTGGATTATGATGACGTGTTGGCTATCATTGATACCAAGAGGTCAACGGGGGATGATGCTGCGTCGCCGTCTGAGAGAAGAAGAAGGTACACCGGTGGGTCGAGAAGCGAGGGCTCCGCGGCCTCACCTCGGTCAGATACATCCGGCATGCCCCTTCCGAAAGTGGATGATGAGGGCGTCTTGAGACTCCACAAACGCCCCGGGGTAGCTGCAAAGGGCGATGTGGATGAGGATCAGGGTGAGCAGGGGTTGGGTTTGGACACCGGCAAGGGTAAAGCGGGTAAATCGGAGTAGTTTTGGAGGTGCATTGGATACACCATGATAATAGAGCCGGCATGCACATATACATCTTACAATTGATTCATACGCAGCAAAAGTGGACGTCAGTCCCAAGTAACAACACGCGATAATCCTTCAGGCTACGAACGTCCACAAATAACACAAAGCTCCATAAATGACACAGACGACCAATGCCACATCGTCGTCACTCGCCACGAATCAAGCGAGCACATCCTCGTCCGGCCGCACTACTCTTCACCGGCTACAGCCACAACCCTTTTCGCCAACATGGCTCTACCGCTTCCTGAGAGTCGTGGATCTTGAACCGAAGGGTCATTACGTTGATGATTTGCTGGAGGGGTGACGGGACAGAGTGTTTGATGGCTTGTGGCGAGCGATGCATCAGGGGTTTGGGGAGTTGGGTGGATCTCTGAAGAGCTGGGTTGTATTGCTGACTTTTGGAGGGCTTGGTGTCCGAGATACTGGGCTGCTCGACTGTAGTCACTATTGATGGGATACAAGGTCTTTGAACCCGCGGTTGGGATGGCGATAGCTGCGCTCTGTCCGTCTTCGTACGCTCTTCCTTCACCGTTATTATGCGTTCCAGCCTTCAACGGGCTCTGCACACTCTCGTATGGCACTCCATTGTGGACGGGGAAGACTTTTCGAGGGGTGTCGTCAGCGGTAGGTGTGGGCTGAGGGTGAGTGGGCACTGGAACAGTGTGAACCTGGGTGTTGGCGACCGACGGTATCTTGGCAGCGGAAGAAGGCGGAGCCTTGGGGAAGGGTACAGTCTTGGATGTATTTGGGACACACGGCGTGGCTTGAACAGGCTGGTCCAAGCCCGGCGATACCCTAAAGTCGGATGCAGGGTAAGGGCGTGGTTTCCGGTAGTGGTGCTCCAGATACTCGAAGGCCGGATCATCCATCTCAGTCTGCAGCCTCTGTAGGGCCTCCAACAGCACCTGGACCTTTTGGTTTGGGGGCAGCTCGGGTACACCGCCCACTTGCAAGGATGGGATCGCAGCATAGCTTTGGGTCACACAGTAGACATAGGTCTGGCGGGCTCTCACAATGTGCGAAGCAGCTATGCGAGCGATGCGCTCATTGACCTCCCACAACTTCTGCTTCCCACCAGCTTCCTGCCTCATACGACGACGGATGGAAGTGAGCTGCTCAACGATCTTATGCCCATAAGGGTGCTTTTCGAAGGCAAGGAGCCCCTCGAGGGTGGATGAGTGGCGAAGTGCTGGATCCGACCATACTGCGTCAAACTGCAGACGTGGGTCGGTGAGGTCTGAGCGCAGAACTGGACCTTGCAACCCGAAGGACGCTTGCCACACAAGAGTGAGAGCCACTCGGTCCAGCTTTGACCAATCGAGTGGTGTTTTGGTAAATTGATAGTAGAGGGTCATCATCCAGATCTGGAAGAGTTCAAAGTTGAACGATCCATCGTGAATCTGTTTGAATCGCTCAACGTTCATGCGAAGCAACACTTCGTTGGCGGAGGGATCTGAGGAGCGAGATTCGACGGGGGTATTGTGGATGACTTTCAGCATGTAGTTCTCGTCGTGGACCTGTGCGCGGTGAGGGAGAGAGGGGAAAAAGAGCTGGCGTTGACAGAAGCGGCATATGGGCACGCGTTTGGCTCGAGACTGGTGAAGGGTGGCGACCATTGCACAGCCAACACAGTAGCCTGATTCAACATGTCAGTCACGCACATGGCCACTAAGAGCGTACTCGCATCCTGTACACTCGGGGTTGGCACAAGGGTGGAGAACCAGAAAGGCCATCCAATCGCAGTTGAACGCCTGAGCTCTCTTGTAGCATTCGTTGACGGAGTGTTCGCAGACAGAGCATTTAGATCTATCTGCTCGGAAAGTCAGCCTAGCCCCTAGTTGCAAAGGGAACAGAGGCATACCTTTGTTCGAGTAGCGCTGCTCCGCTTCCTCTTCTCCCTCGTGTAGAGATATGTTTGAACGCAGTGCCGATGTTGCATCACTGTCGTGAGACTCGGACATGATCATTGGCTTGCCCTGCCTGTTGCCTATCTTGATCAGGTGGGACGGGGTATCGCTGTGTGGGGTAGGGGGCAGCAAGATACTGAATGTACAGGTAAAGCTGTGCAAGATGGATAGAAGAAAGAAAGCAAGTTGAAGGAGAAGATACACCCATACCCAGCAATTAAATGGGGGGGGGGGGCGGCGGCCAACGGAAGCAATTGGAAAAGCAAAACAAACGCGTCAGAAAGCCGAGCGCCACTTCACAAGCATCTCTACAAATCCTCAATTCCTGTTTGAAACTCGACAAACTCCAAAATGGCGGCCACCCAAGACACCCTTGCTGCCGCCCTGTCCTCTACCGTCTCCCCAGACGCCCAAACCCGCAGATCTGCTGAAGAATGGCTTCGGAACGGAGAGAAACAGCCTGGATTCTTGTTGCTCGTCCTCGACTTGATCAAATCGGACGCTGCCGATGCTATCGTCAGGCAGGCAGGCAGTGTTTTCTTCAAGAACACTGTCAAGAGATTATGGTCCGGTGACGAAGTGAGTCCTCCATCCGCGGCGCCAAATCGGTGTATCCCACTAACATTTGTCCAGGAAACGCAAATTACACCTGGTGACAAGGAGAGTGTCAAATCTCAGCTCGTCCCTATCATGATCGCTCTGGGAACTCCCCAGACTGCCAGGATTCAAAGCCAAATCGGAGAGGGTCTGAGCCACATCGCATCGCTCGACTTCCTCACTCAGTGGGAAGGCTTGTGCGATGAGTTGGTCAGTTCGTTAACACCCGACAACTTTGTCATCAACAACGGTGTTCTGGCCACAGCTCACTCCATCTTCAAGAGGTATGCAGCACTCTTTTCCTTACTGTTTCGAGCTGACATGCCTGCAGGTGGAGATCAATGTTCCGTACCAACGAACTTTACTCCGAAATCAATTTTGTTCTCAGCCGTTTCTGCGAGCCTTATTATGGGCTTTTCCAACATGTTGACAGGCTTCTCCAGACACCTGCCGCCTCCCTCCCTCCCAACGCCTCCCTCCCTCTCCTTTCACAGGCCCTCCTTCTCCTCGTCCAACTATTCCAGGACTTGTCCAGCCAGGACTTGCCTCCCTTCTTTGAGGACCACATGGCCGAGTTTATGGGCGGCGGAGACCAACCTGGATGGTTGAGAAAGTACCTTGACTGGGAGGTTGAAGAGCTCAAGGGTGACGATGATGATGAGGCGCCAGGACCCTTGCAAAAGATCCGCGCATCCATCTGCGAAATTGCCGAGCTGTACGCCCAGAAGTACTCGGACGTCTTTACACAGCTTGGAAGTTTTGTCGATGGTGTTTGGAACATGTTGGCTCGTGTGGGTGCTGGTACTAGGGAAGATGTGCTCGTTTCTCGAGCTCTCCGATTCTTGTCTGTCGTCGTCAAGATGGGCAACCACCAAGCTATGTTTGCTGCCCCCGAGACCTTGAGGGCGTTCGCCGAGAAGATCATCTTGCCCAACATGGCTATCCGAGAGCATGAGGAGGAGATGTTTGAGGACGATCCCATGGAGTACATTCGACGAGACCTTGAACCCTCGACGGACAGCGACACGAGGCGTCAAGCAGCTACCAACTTCACCCGAGCCCTCATGGAGTTGTTCGAGAAGGATGTGACCGACATCATCAAGGGTTACATCACTGCGTTCCTGCAAGAGTATTCCCAAAACCCTGCTCATAACTGGAAGGCAAAGGACACCGCCATCTACTTGTTGACCTCGATTGCTTCTCGAGGCTCTACTCAACAACTAGGTGTCACTTCTACCAATGTCCTTGTTGACGTCGTCGAGTTCTTTGGCCAGAATGTGTTCTCAGATCTTCAGGCTGCTTCTGGGTCGGTCCACCCGATTCTCACTGTCGATGCCATCAAGTTCCTGTACACCTTCCGTAACCAGGTATGTGAACCACCGATGATCATGACACTGCTGACACATTTGCAGCTTACTAAAGAGCAGCTGGTCTCTGTGCTCCCCCTTCTTGTACAGCACCTCGGTTCCGATAACTACGTCATCTCTTCGTATGCTGCTATCACCATTGAGCGAATCTTGTTCATCAAGGTTGAGAGGCAGGCCTTGTATGTCCTTCAAGTAATCAGAGTGAAAGAGTCTGACGTTGCGAAGGTTTACGCAGGCTGATGTTAGGCCGTTTGCCGAGAACATCCTCATGGCTTTGTTCGGGAACATCGAGAAGGGCACCACACCCGAGAAAGTTGCCGAGAACGACTACTTGATGAAGTGTAAGCATACTTCCATTGCTCAAGGGCCGCTCTGATTGTCTTGTTTAGGCGCGATGCGGGTCATCATCACCGCCCGCCAATCTCTCACTCCCTCTTACCAGGGTATCCTCGAGCGCCTCGTCTCTATCCTTGGCAAGATCAGTCAGAACCCCAGTAACCCAAAGTTCAACCAATACTGCTTTGAGAGTGTTTCGGCCTTGATCCGTTTCGTCTGCGAGGGTACTCCTTCAGCATTGCCGACTTTCGAGGCTGCGTTGTTCGGTCCTGCTCAGGTCATCTTGACCACCGATGTCACCGGTATGCTTCCACCCACGAACCAAGATGTACTGAGCTCACTCTATTTAGAATTCATCCCCTATATCTTCCAGATCCTCGCTCAACTCCTCGAGCTTCACCCCACCACCGAATTCCCGGACGCTTACAATGCTCTTACCGGACCCCTCCTTACCGCTGCGCTTTGGGAGCAACGAGGAAACATTCCTGCGTTGGTCAGGATCTGGAAGGCTCTTCTCTTGCGTGGCGCTCCCGCCATCGCGCAGAGCGGTCAAGTCCAGGGACTTTTGGGTATCTTCCAGCGACTTGCACCCAGCAAGGTCAACGACGTGTATGCTTTCGAGCTTGTCCAAGCCTTGTACGAACACGTACCTCTGTGAGTATTCCATCCATTACCCCGAAGGCATGTGAACTGATTTGATCTCAGCAACATCATGCAGCCCGCTTCCAACAGCGTTTTCGTCATTCTCCTCAACAGGCTGCAAAGTAAACCATCTGGCCAGTTCAACCACTGCTTTGTCTACTTCTTTGCGTACCTGGCCAACTTGGACAACGTCGGTATCGACTTCTTGGTGCAGGTCTTGGACGGCATTCAGCCCGGGTAAGTCAGATGTCGGAGTGGCGCAACGTCAATGCTGATGATCCCTCAGGCTGTTTGGTAACCTCCTCACTGGTGTTATTCTCGCCAACACCCAAAAAGTCACAGTTCGCCACCGAAAGCTCGTAGAAATCGGTCTCATCAAGACTCTGTCTAAAAGCGACGCCCTGATTTCTACCCACAAGCAATACTGGCCCTCTGTCCTTTTGGCTCTCTTGGACCTCTTCACACTTCCTCAAGATATCACCTACACCAACCCCGAAGGTTCAGGCGATATCACCGAGCTCGACCCCGAAGAGGCTGGCTTCCAATCCAGTTTCTCCAAGCTGGGCGCCAGTGAAAAGAGTGTCAACGACCCTACAGCGAATATCGGCGATACCAAGCTGTTTGCCGCGAAGGAGCTTGCTAGAAGGTCCGGTGAGAAGCCTGGTGTGGTGAGTGCTTATCGTGTTCGTCACGACTGCGCTAACGTCTTCTTCAGCTGGGACCCCTCATGGAGGCCGCACAGAAGGAGGAGCAGACTACGGTCTCGAGTTTTGTTCAATATATGGCATCTAATGGTAGCACGATAGCATATACGTTTTCAATTTCTTAAAATATAGGTATGGGTATATATTTTGCATCTTCATTCATGAAAACAGCATTCATTTTCAGCATCCGGGCGTAGACCGGGTCGGCCTGCAGACACTGAAAACAATCAATCGCCGTACCTCTATGTATGTAAGGATGCGGAATAGAAGACAGTGACTTGCAGAGCAATGCTTCTGACATCTTCTTCGGCCTTATCTATGATTTTAGGCTATATATAACTTCGATTGCTAGGACTGGCGTTTGCAGGGCCAACACCTTCTCAAGGGCGGTCAACACGATGGAGCTGATACAAAAAAGATAGGCGACTCAAGGTGGAGATACTGGGTGGGCAATCAAGAAGACTGTCGTCATTGGAAACGTACATCGACATTTAAGGGTGTCGTTGCCGCGTCAGTATTGTAATACACACAAGGGGGACCCTGTGCTGCATAAGAATCAGCGGCAAGGACGCTGTAGTAGAGTACTTTAGAGATTCGTTGAAACATCCTTCTGTCCCTCGTTTGATCGTCCGGAGCTACCGATAGATCATCATCGAGGGTGGTCCCTTGAACGCGACTGTGGCTTACGAATCATTCAACGTCGTCGCAATGACCCGATGAAGCGACTACTGGAGTACATAAACCGAGAGCTCGTCGATATACCCGCGCCCCCATCAACCACACGCGATGTTTTTGTCCGCCAATACCGATCTCGCCCCCTTCCAGCTCTCGCCAGTCTCCTCCCCTTCCAAAATCTACAATCTCCACAGGGAACAGAGCTTCTACCAAGAGGCATTCTTCTCCTCTCTTCCTTACATTCAGCAACTGCAACAGCAGCTTGTACCATATGGATTCCGAGAGATCAACATCATGGACGAAGCTGTGAGTAATAAGCCAATCCTTCATGGTGGGCCCTTATCCTGACGCTTGAGATGACCAGATGTTGAAACCTGTCATACAGCCATCCTTCTCTGGGTCAATGATCCTCAATCTTATCTCCGCCCCACTCTCCCCACTCACTGCCACCGAGTCCTTGGCAGCCGAAGAGGCAACAGGCACCATCCATCTTCTTCAGCTTCCCCTTGACCTCACGACCTTTTTTGCCCCTGTTGCCCCTTACACCTCTGTCCAGCCGGCTTGCTACGAGAACCAGAGAAGGATAGCCTTCGCGACTATCGTCAGCCCCAGCACTTGCCTGATTACACCCGAGACCATGGCTATACCCCCTCTGCGAGACTTGATCCACTTCTTGCAATGTCTTCTGCCCTCTTCCTCTGCTCTGTCCCTGTCCTCAGTCTCGTCTGCTACCAAAGATCAGTATCCTGGAGCTGACAGAAGCTCGGCCGCTGCAAAGGAGGCTGAGGACCGAGTCAACGAGGTCGCGCTGTGGAGGCAAGGTGTCAAACCGGACGTGACTTGGCTTGACAAGAACGAATTGGTACTGCGAGACACTGTCGGATGTAGCTACTTTAGGTCTTTAAGAAAGTCGCTGGGAGAGGGAGAGCCTATCCTTGATTGACATTCCTCACTGTTGATACTGGTGGTGTCTGTCATTCTGATTGTTTATGTGTGATACGCGACTGTGTGTGCTTCTGCTCCCTCTTTCACAAAGCTTGATTAGAACCCTGTAGCACTGTTCATGCACGATAATGATATATATCTATAAACACCTACTAACTATACAACATTGTATCGAACTCTATGGCAAGCGATGTATATTGCACATATCAAACATTCTCGTCTCCCTTGATCACCTCTTCATCCTCTTTGAGCACCTCCCAATCCGACTCTCGCCTCGAGTGTATCCGGCCGGCACTACTTGCCCGAAGCCTCACCTCATCGTCGTCCGGTCTACCAAGCAAGCCCGCCGCACTCTCTCCTCGACGCCTCCCATGACTATTCCTCGCCGGATTGTCCGCCCTCACCCATCCATTCTCACCCCGAACGACCCCGATATCTTCTAGTGTGGGTCTTCCAGAGTGTACGAGTACCGTTCCCACAGAATCTCCCCTGGTTCGTCCCAACTCATCTATCATAGGTCGGCTCCAAGTGGTGGAAGCACTATCACCCCTGGAACGTCCGTAGCTGTACTCTCTCTTCCAACTAGAGCCGCTCATGTCGAGCGCAGCATCATCCACTGGACGCCCAAGTAGAGCAGCGCGCGAGTCCCCTCGCATACGGCGGAAATCTGGTCGCTGACCACCATGGGCGACGGCGTACGCATCGGCATCATCGGCCATCTCCCGTCCGCCATACCGACGGGGCGTGCTTGTCCCGCTCCCAGGCGACGGCTCGTAGATGGAAGACGTGTCCGATACAGAACGTCTATCTGTATACTGTCGGCGAGAAGCAATGGTAGGAGGGTGGCTGTTGTTGAGCTCAAGGAGCGAAGGGGATGGAGATGGCGAGGCGAATTCTTGAGGGATGAACGCAGGACTGATGTTGCCGGGTGTGGTGGCCGCTGTGTCCAGCAGCTTTGGCGATGGGGGAGCAGAAAAGGCCGGAGGCAAGTCGTCGAGTATGGTGACACCTTCTACTTTGATAGCCGGTGCCCCTTCAGCAACGCCAATCCCTTCACCCTGCACGCCCGTCGAGGCAGCCATAGCTTTTTCATTCTTGATCTCCGCCAGCCACGCCCGCAACTCTTCGTCGTTCATATGCCCAGGCATACTCCACGACCTCGTTAGTGTCCTAAAACCGCCATTATCCCCGGGAGCACCATCTTCGGTGGACAACCATGGTCTGCGGGATTGTAATCCGTCGCGCTTCTCGTCGGTAAAGTCTGACAATACGACCGAGACCGTTGCAGTGTCGGGCGCGGCAGCGAGCTCTTGTCGGCGCATGACGAGCCGCATCTGGTAGTAGATATAGACGGCGGCGACCACGGTAGCCAGGATCGTCAGGACGGTGGTGACCGCAGAGACAATCTTTGTTGTATGTGTAGAGTTGCCAAAAGCTTTCCCCAGATAGACAATGGTCCATTGCTTTGGTAATGTCAAGAAGGCTGCTAGAAGATAGCTCCAAAAGTTGGCTCCAGCAGAAGCGGATACCTGTGAGGTCGTGAGCAGAGGCATCACGGATGGTGCGGGACTCACAGCAGTCGTGATATGACCTGGTACAGCACTGAACCTCAGGATTAATACAAACATGAAACTCTACATAGTAGATCAGCGACCGCGGACAAACTGCTCCTGCCGACGTACCTTCTCCCTGATCAGCTGCGTCAATGAAGAGTATAGTTTATTCTTCTTCTCGAACCTAAATAATAATGTGAGTCCAAGAACTGAATAGACATCAGGGGAGCTTACTTGGACGCCCTCGCCTGGCAACACCATTTGAACGCTATCCAGGTAGCTATTTCTCCCAAAAACGTTCCGGCGGCAAGAATAGCAAAACCAACCCTGATGATTGCTCAGCTTGATTGAAGACCGGAGCAGCACCGAACATACCACAAACCCCATACCAGCCCACATAACACGCCCACAACTTCTATACGTCAGCTGACAATTCCGGTCAATTATAAAGGTACACACGCCTGTTTCGTGGTTAGCTGAAGGTCTTTTACGGCATGTGGAAAACGTGTGCGTACTCATGACCAGCAAGAGGAGGGAACGATAGTACGATAAGTGCTGCTATGGGTATCAAAAATCCCCCTGGCCAGCTCTTGATACGGTCACAAAGCGGTCTCATGAAATCCACGATGGTATCGTGTTTGGCGGTGATCAAAGCCGTCAATACGGCGATTATGAGGACAATCGCATACCACTCTGCAGTCCGTCAGAATGGAGTCACATGTATGAGGAAAACAGCTCACTGTACATGTACCGCTTCTGAGCCTCTCTTCTAGCTTGTCTGAAATCCAGCTCTTTCATATAGACCTTTGCGCTTGCAAAGTCTTCCTTGAAAAGCGACACCACTGATACACTCCCACCATCCGAGACAGAAGTGGACCTCAAGGATGATGTATGTCGATCTTTGCGACACTGGTGATCTTTATGGGTAGGAAGAGGAGACGACGAAAGGTATCGGCGTGAGGCTGATCCCCTCTGATTTGAGAGGGATTCGATAAAGGATTTGTGGGTGAAGACCGTGGGTATCCTGAGTCTCATGGCGGCTAGACGAACTACGGTCCTTGGCCCCTGCTATAGGAGATGCCCCTTGCACCTGGCGTTGAGAATCCAATGAGTGTCCTCGAACAAGACAAATTAAGTGTCGCGCGAGTGGTGACGTTTGTTGGAGATCCGAGTCTTGCGGTGACTGATGAGTTTGTTTGGTTCGAGTGCCGAGTGGTGGTAAAAATTACAGTACGACTACAAGGGTGGCGTGAGGAGTCGGGGGCTGAACAACAGAGTAAAAGGGTGACTCAAAGAGAGGGCGAGGGGCAGCGACATTGAGCGAGACGATCGGAAACTCTGTCTTGGCGTCTGCCGCAAATGGCCCTGAGTCAAACAAGTAGACGCGGTGGAGGCAGTGCAAGCAGAGTGCAAGCGTGGTCTGCCCTTCTTCTTGCACAGGGCTGCGTGCGCTGCATACCCACAGCATTACATGCATACAATGGCAGACCATGCGGTCTATACAAGCTCTCACAGTAAAAACTCTATACAACTCCTGACATTACCGCCACTCAGATACAACCGATGATACACTCGGTCTTGTGCTTGCTCCAGCGCCAAACCTGGCAGCGGCAAAGAAGCTCCTCTTCCCGACACGCTCCTTCTTGGGGGGAGTGCCTCTCTCATGGTCCTCATTATCATTCTCGTCATCGCTTTCCGGTGTAGGACGTTGACTAGCAAGCCTTGTACCGGCAAGATTTCCTTTGCGCCCATCTCGCGAGTTGGATGCCGTTCCAGGTGGTGTGGGCCACTCGACGTCCCTGCCAGCAAGTGCCCTCCTGTCTTGACTACCATTCGCCTTTCTGCTTGAGACCCCACAAGGGTCCTCTGTCACGTCCTCAAATGCAGCATCTTCGTAATAGCGCTTTCTGCGGCCGTTGACGGTAGTAGATGACCTGGAGGGTCGGCTGACTCCTTGTCGTTTGCTACGGGATGTTCTTGGGATGAGATCGTCTGATTCGTCTCCCGAATCGCGAGAATAGAGGCCATCAAGGTTCCTTTGCGCGAGAAGTTCTGTACGGTATCAGCTGGCGACCTCTTGAATCCACTAAAGCACTCACTTTTCAGTCGCTGGTCGAGTTGATCCTCGGGCTCTTCCACGTCCCACTCTTTCCTCAACCCAATTGCTCTAGCCACGGGGATACTTGGTGTACATTTCATCTGTGCACTAGGGGCGAATGGTAGATCCTTGAGATGTTGGAATATCTGCTGTCTTTGACTTCGTGTCAGAATGGTCAATAGATTGAGTCATCGAACTCACTTTATCTCATCAAGATATTCCGGGGTGTTGTAGTTGTCGGCATTTGAGGCCAGCACTTCCATCTTGTACCGCGGTCCGTAGTACTCCATACTAAAGTATCTTATCAGCATGGCATTGATATCGCCGGCAAATGGGAACTCACTACTGGTTGTTTGGCAGGTCCTCGGCTAGCTCCTTTCCTAAAGCGACCGCCGTCTCTTTCGCCCACGCTCTAGCAACATTCTTACTGGAAGCCATTGTTGTCAGTGCACAGATCAACTCCCAGAATTCGAAAACTCACGTCGTATATCCTCCACCTCCAAGCATCATAAGCGGAACACCGAAGGTCTTCAAGAATCTTGCGCATTCAGAGTGTCCCTACGACAAAGTCAGCTTTGATATGATTGTGAATAGACCTGCACTTACAGCCAAGGTCAGGTTGAGCTTTCCCAACTTGTCCCCTGACAGACTATCTGCTCCACCTTGCAACACCACAGCGCCTGGCCGATAGTGTTCCATGATCCGGCCAATGACCTAGGTGCGTCAGGCCTTTGACGTTCAACTAGTACGATCGTACTTACCGGCTTGAAAATAGATTGGAATCCTTCATCCGTAATGCCTTCTCGAAGGGGTACGTTGACAGCATAATTCTTGCCTTTGTTCAAACCGACGTCCTGAACCTCAGGTCAGCTGTATCCATCGCTTACAGAGGGATTGCTTACCTTCACTTGACCAGTACCAGGAAAGAAATTTCCGTAGAGATGAAAAGAGCAGGTCATGACTCTATCCGTGGTATAGAAAGCTTCTTCAACGCCATCGCCATGATGCACATCAATATCGATGTATAACACCCTCGAGTTGAATCTGAAAGGGGACCATCAGCTAGGTCCAGACTGACAACGACGAAGAGCTCGTGAGATACCTTAGAAGCTCCAATATCCCCAGCACAATGTCGTTCACGAAACAGAAACCGCTTGCCTCGGACTTTTTAGCGTGGTGCAGACCACCGGGCCAGTTGATGGCGATGTCGGCTGCTCCGCTGTTCAATCTTTCTGCAGCAGCTGAAAAAGGTCAGATGATGAAGAGGCATGCTCAGATGGGCTCACCAATAGATCCTCCAGCCGAAATCGAGGCAAACTCAAAGATACCCTCTACCGCAGGACAATCGCTTCCAACCAAACCTGATCATCCACGTCAGTCCAACAGGTCATCGCGAGATAGAGGACACTCACATCTGGTACCATTACCAGTAAGGGCATCTGCATTCTCAGGCATGACATCTTTCAATAGCTGAATATACTCGTCGGTGTGGAATTTGGTCATATCCATCTTGGTCGCGCGCTGTGGCCGCTATCATTCCCGATATCAGCTTTGAATCGCGTCGACAACTCGCTCGACTTACTAGTATCTGCACCCCCCTACCTCTCGCCCCTCTCAGTCCAGCAGTATTCCACTTGCCCTCTTCACCCACCATCCCCAACTCCCCATTGAGCTGCCGCGATCCCTCCTCTTCCAGCCCCTCCATCTCATCATCACTATCGGCCAAGCCGTAGTTGACAACCAAATTGTGGGCCATACGGATGCGATGGGGCTTCATAGGGTGGCCGAGGGTGAAGTGGTAGTTTCTGGGGATATGCGTCAGCCTGTGGACGCTAATCGGGGAGAGGATGCAGCTTACCCGACATCATGATCATAGAAGTAGGCCACGCGCCGGCCGTCGGGGCGAAGCGGTGTGGGGTCCAGAGGCTCGAACGAGGTCTGTTTCTTGGACGACATGACTGAAGAATGGTGTTTGTCGCTGCTGGCCCTGAGTAGAATGTACCAGCCAGTCTGCGTAAAGGTAACAACAACACACCCCTGCTTGGACGGACAAGGCGAGGCGGAGAGTGGAGGTGAACGCGGGGCCAGCGGCGGTGGGGTCCGCAAACGAAGATAACAGAAACACATGCATGTGGATTCAGACAGTAGTACCGACACTAATGCAATATTCAAGAACATACAACCCGTAAAACGTAAGACTATTCGACTAAGATATCACTATGTTGGATCAAGACGCTGCAGACGTATCAATGCAGAACGTCGGTTCGCGTCTTCTTCGACAGAGGTTGAGAGGGCGACGGGAATGGAGACTACCGGTCCATGAAAATCAGCTTTGCTATTGCAGTATCAGTAGCGACATACCTCGGGATCTGGTCGGGCTCGCTTCTTGCCCTTGACATCCTCTCGCGCGCTCCTGGCCACCATATCCTCGCTGGGGATTAACCTCTTTGTTGTCGACTGTCGGTGGTCTCCATTGGTAGAGAACGATCCAGGTTTATACGAAGCGCTTGGCGTGGCTACTTCGCTTCTCCGAGGGGCAGAGGTGCTCAAGTTTTTCTTATAGCTGGATGCCCCGTTCAACGTAGTATCGGCCAGCTTGGGAATGGCAGGTGGTTGAGAAGAGTACGACCAGGGAGGTGGGTGAACCTTTGAAGATTGGGCGGCAGGTGGCTGAGAAGGGTACGACCAGGGAGGTGGGTGAACCTTTGCAGATTGGGCATGCTGAGCGGCGGTGGCAAAAAACGAAGCAGGGGGCACAACCTTCTTGAGCACCTTGGAGGCGGAAGCGCTGTAGTCAGGATACTCAATGGGGTGTACAGCCTTTAGTCGTTATCAGCTCACCGGCCTCGCAAAACAAGTCGATGACTTTACCTTTCCTTTGCCTTTATCTGTATGAGTTGATCCGCCGGCCACGCCATTGTTCTTCTCTTTGCCATTCAGCGGACTCCTTATCGCCTCGTTTGCCCTGAGCTTCTCCGGGCTCCTGCTGTCGAAGTTGCCCGTCCCAAACGTTGACTCCTCGGGAGTACTAGCGACAGCTGCTTGCAGCAGGATCTCCTTCTGCCTCTCCATGTCGTTTACGATTGACGGACCGGCACCATCACCTTGTTCGGGAGCGTGTGCTGCCTTGTCCTTCGCAGAACGCGCGCGAGCAGCAGCAGCGATCTGCCACTTGCCAGTCCCTGGAGGTCTTCCCCTTTTTCTCAGCGACTCGCTCTGGATAGAGGTGTTGCTGGAAGGTGCGATGGGGGTTGTTGTGAGGCGGGCAGATGTCGACGAAGGACCGGGTGATGATGCGCCATTGACTTCCGCCCCATTCAATTGTACAGGTCTGGCAGCAGCAATCTTCAATACAAGCCGTGGCGTCCGGCTCTGAGGAGTCCCAGAAGATGCGTCCGTAGCGACATCCGCAGTCTTTCTCCTAGGCCGGCTTCCGGAGACAGGTTGTTCCAGCACTTTCGGGGTAGGCTTTGTTTTTCTACCACTAGATCTGACACCAGTAGAACCTGACCGGGGGGTTTGCTTGGGCGTAGACTTTGACCTTTGGGCGGAAGTCGATGCGCGAGATTCCTGCGGTCCATCACCGACTCCTGATTGGCTACGAGCTGGCTTAGACGAGGGCCCGGACTTCCTTGCCATTTGGGCACGGCCATGGCCGGCAACGGCGGCCACCCGAATCTCGTCCTCCAGGTCGTCATCGTCAATGACAATGGGCGCTCCTTGTGTACCCCAAGCACGTGGTCGTTTCTCGACAGCGCGAGGGGGCCGTCGTACAGCAGGCTGGATATCATCCTCGCCATCAATAACGATGGGATTATGCTTGCCGCCGCTCCGCGTTACTCGCTTGAAGACTTGGCGGTCCTCTTCTTCTTCCTCGCTGCTACTCGCCCCCTCCGTCTTTCGCTTCTCCTTCTCCTCCTTTTCTTCACGCAGTTTCTCGGCTCTCTTTTGCTTCTGCTCTGCTGCGCGGATCCTTCTCGCTGCATCTTGAGCCTGCTTCTTTTCTCTCGCGAGCCTGATGGTTTCTCGTCTCTTCGCCAAGCCTGCTGCCTTGTTGGCGTTTCGTCGATTGAGATCCTCTTCAGACTCGGTCTTGGCTCCGGAATCTTCGTCCTCCGACTGCACTTCCTGTTTGACCGTGATTGGTTGCCATTGATCCTCCCCTTCATCGTCCCCGTCCGGTTGAGGGACACTTCGGACCGTTCCTCGTCTGGTGAGACCCGGTTGGACCTTCCATCTGTCCTCTTCCTTTTTCCGCATCGCTTGCTCGTCAACGTACTCGTATCGGGACCATACACCAGATCCCTTGACCCGCGTAGCATCCAGCTTGCGCTTCTCCTCCAGTCTTCGCTTTTTTTCCTCCTCCTTAGCCTCTTGAGCCGCTTCTCTAGCTTCCTGGACAGACCAGGCAGCTTCACGCAGAGACTCGATGACAAAAGTTTCGGCGTCGATCTCGTCGCGCAAACGGCGGGCGCGACGATCGTAGAAGCCATCGTGATAGCCATCTTGTTCTTCCGTGACGATGAATTTGACAGGTTTGATGCGCGGGGCTTTACTGAGAGAAGGAAGTGGGACTGTGGAGATTTTGCGAGGAATGAATCCAGGAGGGACGAGATGGGCGGGGGGATATTCTTGGATATCCTGAGAACGATGGGCCGGCCACGGGAGATCAAAGACAAGTGCATGTCGAACGCACCTAAGCATAGAGTAAGCTCATGTCGGTTTGAAACACAAGACTGCACGTACCTCTGACAGTGGTCAAAATATCGGCCATTATACCAGATTTGATCCGTCAAGGGCTTGGCACATGTGGCACATCGAGGGAAATCACAGGGAACATCCTCGTCGTTGCCGACATATTGGACCTCCTGTTCGACGTACTTTCCTTTATGCTTTGGCTCGAGCCAAGGTTTCAATGCCTGAGTGGCCTTTCGAGCGTAGCGCTCTCGACGAGGGGGTCCGTTCTCCTCGTCTTCTGTAGCCACACTTGATTCCCTTTTGACGTTACCCCAATCCTCATTATCTTCGAAGGGAGTGACAGCATTAGACACCTCTGCCACAGCAGACAAAGAACCTTCTTCTGTTCCTCTTCCGGACTGCGCCAACAGGGTCATGGAAGGGCCAAAGTCTATCTCTTCCTCTTCTTCATTATCAGACATGGGCTCTGCTTTCACAGTGACCTCATTTCGTAAAGAGCTGGGTTCGCGAACAAACGTCGAGTCGTGAGTTGAGCCGCGGCGAGACCGGTATTGACTGTCGGACGTTGTCGAGAGACCCCGGGTGCCGCGCCGAGACGAAGCTCGAGATGTTGGAGGAGGTTTCGGCGCGAAGCCACCTTTCTCTTGCTGCTCGCATGTGAGACACAGGCTTTGAAGGCTGGTTAATATACAGTAATCGTTACAATACAAGACTTGCCATTCGTTATTGTTCTTGCCGACTTGATAGAGGTCAGTAAAGGCTTGGTAGATCAGCAAGAATCTCACAATAGTTTTCTCCACTAAAAACGCCACATTAGATACACTTTACTCAATGGTATACCATGAACTCACTAGAACGTTGTCAATTCGTCACCAATCTTGATGGGCTTTGTCACTCGAAAGGTCACGTAGTTTCCTTGTCTGAGCAGCTCAACATTGGGGTTGCAGTCATGCTGTGAATTAAGAGTCAGCGCTGCAGACGAAATGCAGACCGCATATCACTCACATTCAGAAATCTGGCCGGGCCCAAGAACAGCTGATAGCACCGCTTCAACCCCGACCAGACGATGCTGAAATCTCTCCTCTTCGTCCGATCACTCCTCCTCTGACCCTGTTGCTTCCTCTCCTCTCTCGCTCTCCGCCGGCGTGACGATCCTTCTGCCGCAGATTCGGTATCTCTTCCATCGTCCTCTTCCTCCATCGCGTTTTCATCTTCAGAGTCAGACTCTTCCCCCGCGGCCTCCACCGCGTAGTCATCTCCAATGTCCATCTCTTCTCTCCATTCATTTGGGAGCGGTACAACACTGCCTTGTAGCTCTTGCATGACAGTGCCCGGGATTAAGGGTCTAGTCGCAAAGACGGCGAGTTCGGTGTGCCCAGTGATGAAAGTGTATCGGGATGTGAGGTGTATTTCGAGTCGCGACGCGGGCTGTAGTACCAGCAAATATCGCCGGAGATGTCTACGAAGATTGTGGTAAGCATCAAGTTCTTCCTGCCCCATGGTATGCTGACTTTATGAAGCGTTCCTTTTGGCCGGCTGTGATTTTGGTGTCAATATGTTGCCGAAAAAGATGAAACCTGGGCACATTAGCAAAGCTCCGTATCCGTTGTACCTACTCTTGTAGCCTCTGCATAGCTGCTTGTATGTTTCCCTTTGTGACAGTCTGGTAAGAGAATGACAATTAGCATTGGATCTTTCTCCTGTACGCGCCAAACTTACCTCCCGAACTATATTCAAGACTTCGTCGGTCTTGAAGACAGGTCCAACGAATTTGACCTGCTGGGGATGTACACCGAGCTTTGTGTTGGGCATGGATCCTAGCTGGTCCACCAGAACCCAGGATAGAAGGTCATCGTCCGCCGAGAGGTCTTCTGCCGGATGGGGAAGCACCACGTCGCGTGAGGGCGTGTTGTCTCCGGGCGGTTGACGCGACATTATGCTGCCTTGCTGCCTTGCGGTGGGAGCGCTCCGCTGGATACCGAATTCAGATCCTAGAGCAAAGTTTTGAAGGCAAGATCAGTACTTTTTTCGGGGGGTACAATGTCAAAACAATAAACAACGAAAACATTTAAAAACGCCAGACGCGTCTGGTGTCGGTGGTGTTGTGCGCGGCACCAGTTTGCCTTTTCAAGTCTTGCTTGTCACGCTCATTGGCATCAGGCTCAAGGCTCCCAATAGTCAATCTCAGCATCCCATATTACTGGTAGTCATGCGCCTGTCGCAAGTAAACAAGATTCTGCTCGGGTCGTGCATAGTGGTCGTTCCACGTGAGTCTCTTTCCCGTCCCTGTTTTTTCACCAATGACATCTCGAAGCTGACTGCGACCAGTATCTTTCTACGGCGGCCTTGCAATCAAGGAGTATTACCTGTCTAATGAACTGGAGCAGACCAGCGCTACTAGATCAGCGCCCCATGAGCGAGCTATGAGGGCTCGCATTGTGCAGTATGTTTTCCCCAAGTCCGGTCAAGAATCAGTGGCTAACATGTACACTCGCAAAGACTCGAAGCCGAGAGGAAAGAGCTCTTGAAAGAAGGCCAAAATCTGGATACAAAAATACTAGACATCAGGAAGCGCATGGCTGAGCAGGTGTAGCCGAAGCGAAGGACGATATCATACTTCACTTGGGCAATAGGAGGTCCAAGCGACGATACTATGTTGTAGTGTATAACTTGTAAGTGCAGCTTGAAAGGTCGGCGCCTCCCATCCCGGTCTCGAGCTGACACCTCTTGTAGAGTCATGTCTTGGCCATCGCAGCCATCATCATCTCACGCAATCCCGGCAGCTGGCTAGAAAGAAGTACCATTTCGCCGACCACGCAAACATATTGAGTAATGCTACGCATGCCATGCAGCGTGTGAGTATGCCAGAATTGATATGGAATGTGCAGAGCGCAAAGATTGCTACTGTATGGCGACAATGGCTGCATCGGATGTTGGTCCCAAGTTTGAACTTGTGACACTTTTTGTCCGCTCATCTGCTCGGATAGATTCTGAGTGTAAGCTGTTATAGGAAAGCGTCTCCTCAGAGAGCAATGACCTCTTGGGAAACGCCACGTAGGTTATATTATCATCATTGGGGCCTGCAGAATGTCCTTATGTAGATCATCAGAGAGCACAGAAATTTCCGTCGATTTCGAAGCAGTTCGACCACACTGGCTCTGAATCAATTCGCTGGGTCTCACGATTCATGATCATATCAATCAACGTGCTACGGCGGTGGTGGTGAACATGATGGACGAGATCTAGATGACGTAATACACTATGCATCAATGCACAGACCTGCCTCCTAAGCAGGGACAAGATAACAGCGCCAAGTAACCAAGTTGTTGAAGGCCAGCTGACTTTGGTTGACGACGGGCGCGAAGCATTTGTATGTAGTTCTGCTCTCAGTGACTCCTTTCCATGCATACAGTCAACACTTTCAGCAACAACATCCCAAGTTCTGCCTACGGTCATCACTGCTCCCATTCATCAACTTTTGTCGCCTCGAAGCTGGAAGAAAGTAGTTGAGAGCCCGGCGAGGCGTTGGCCCTGGCCTTCCTGTCTGTGGATGAATAATCTGTGTTCTGGCGTTCTCCTTGGACAGGGATGCACAAAGCCCAGCCTCATGTTTCTCTACCGGTAGCCACGAGCTCTACGTACCCATCGAATAACATTCGCTCGTCTTTGATGTGCAGAGGGACAATACGTAGGACAATCGACTTACGCCGCGTGTAGTACGAGCATCATCTCTCCCATGTACGACAACACTGGACTCCTTCGCTGAATCCCGTCTAGGATTTGGCATTGACTTTGCTGACAGTGGCTAATAGCGCATTCGCCTGTTACTGCCCCCCTCCATACCATCGACAGCCCTTCTCGCAAAATTCTGATGGTCATCAAGAAAAGAACGTCCCGGACGTGGCCCAGAAGTCTGTGGCGCCCTTGCCTGCTATCATTGGAGATTCGGATTATTGGCCAGCAGCCCTTGATCAAGATCGTTGCCGAACTATGACAACGTAACGCTCGCCTAAGGCCTAACTATGGGGAAGAGAAACGACCTGCGCGACCACCACCATATAGAGGATATAAAGTCCGGATATTGTCCGAAAGAACGCCGCGGTGGGGCATGGCGCAGACGACCGACTGCACCATGCATGCCGAGGGCTGAGGGCTCGTCCGGCAGACGGTAGAGAGAAGATATAGAGGGAGAACTGCAAAAGGTCTGGTGCTACAATGGGCGCTTCAGGCTTGAAAGCAGCATGTGGATGCACGGATTTATGAGAAGATACGTAGGGTGGCTCAACATGTGATGTCACGGGCCGAAGCCGCGCGACGAGCACCCGGCCGGCCGCATGTACGCTGGATCGCACTTTTCTCTCTCCCACTACTTTTCCCCATCTCCAAAGAAAATGAGCGCTCCTAAAACAGACATCAAGAGCAGCCACGACACCCTTGGTCGCGGCGTCTTTGGCACCGACGCCCTCGACATCACAAAGCTCTTTGACGTCAAGGGTTGGGTTGCTATCGGTAAGCCGTCTTCCATCAATGCTTACTCAGCTGATACTTGATAATTAGTCACTGGAGGTGGTACCGGGCTGGGACTCGTCACCGCTGGTGCTCTCGCGAAGAACGGAGCCACCGTGTATATCACCGGGCGACGACCCGAGCCTCTTCAGGAAGCGGTCAAGACGGCCTCTCCTACTGAAGGCGCTGGCAAGATCATTCCCGTCCAAGCTGACATGAGTAGTAAAGAAGGTATACTCAGTGAGTACACTCCATGAACTATAGGCTCGGACTGATGGTTGCTCTAATCAAGAATTGAAGGAAGTGATCGAGAAGGAAGAGAAATGGGTCAACGTCCTCATCAACAGTGAGTGGGAATCATGAAATGTTCCTGATCATCACGATCGGAGCTTATGATGTGTGATGACAGATCACGGAGTGTCATTGGATGTGCCCAAGATCAACGAGGCCGAACAGACAGCCCAGGGCATCGCCAAAAAGATGTTCGAAGACGAGACTTTTGAAAGCTGGTGCGCTCGCGTCGGATTCCCAGCAGCGGCGCCACTACAATATCAGCTGATGTCGACATAGGGCAGACGGGCACCGTATCAACACAGCATCCTACTACTTTACCACTTTTGCCTTCCTTCCTCTCTTGGATGCTGCCCAGAAAGTGGGCAAGTATTCAGAGCCAGGGAATGTCTTGAACATCTCGTCAGTCAGCGGGATAACTAAGACCTCACAAAGAGGACAGTTCAGCTACAATTCCAACAAGTGAATTCTAGTTCCTCAATCATAACAGAGGCTTACAATCTCACTAGAGCGGCCACCATATCCCTCTCACACCAACTTGCAACCGAGTTCGCCCGTCGTGGTCTGGGTATTCGAGTCAACGTGGTGTGCCCCGGCTACTTTCCCTCTGTAAGATTCTCGTATCCAACGAGGTTCCACTTGTCTGATGTACTTCAAAGGGCATGTCTCCTGTCGATGAAAAGTACCTTAAGCCAAGTGAGGAGTTCAAGCAAAAGTATGGAACTCCTCTCGGAAGGTCTGGGAACGCTCAGGATTACGCTCAGTGTATTTTTGGTCTTATCAATGTGCGTATGCCAGCAGTTCCCCACAATACAGGTAAGCTTACTGCAACCAACAGAACCAATATGTCACTGGGGCTGAAGTAGTGATTGATGGGGGCTGGCTTCTCGTCCAAGGTACGTGGTCATTTCCGCCCTGTCACGAAGTCAAATCATCAGCTAACAACTGTCAGCCTTCTGAACACGTGCAATACTGACTGAAGTCTGACTGGAAGTATGGCTCGATCCCTGGTCTCAATTGGAATATCACTAGCATGCATTTTAAGCAGAGAAAGTTGTATACAAATGGTATGACTATTTGTGAAATGTGAAATGTGAAAACGAAGGTCATGAACTCGGAAATGATTCTTATACAACATGAAAGTAGTCCATCAATGTCTCCTCGCGACCAACGCCGCCCGCAAAAGCTCCTCTGCCTTCTTCTTCTCCCCGTCCTCAACGACAATCCCGTCTAGCTTCTTGATTTGAGGACAAGCCTTCATGACCAGCCCTCTATGCAGTAGACGTTTAGAGTACCACTCATCGGGAAGATTCTTCCTGAAGCGATTATCGTAGCTGTGCCACAAAGCTGGTGGGGCAGCCACAGGTTTTGCAACAGTACTCTGGTCTGCCAGCCGGGGCTTTGCAGTCGAAGGGTCGAGGATGGAAGACGGGGATGAAGAAGATAGCAGAAGAGGGAAATAGTAGCTCAACGTTGAGGGGTTCATCCTGAAGACGCTATTAGCATTTGACGCAATGATTGTGCAAGACGACGCACCTCAGATCAAGCTCCTCGATAGTCTCCACGCCCCTCAAGCCCGAGATAATATCCTTATTCGCTTTGCTGTCCTCTTCACCTCCAATTCTTCCACCAACAATCGTCAACTTCCTAAGCTCTTTCAGCCCTTTGATGCCGTCAAGACTTGTCAAATAGTTGTAGTTCAAGTTGAGCATCTTGAGATGCGGCATGTTGCTGGCAAAATTGCTGGGCCAGGCAGTGATCTTGCAAGCAGCAGCTTCAAGATACACTAGCGAGTAGAGAGGACGACGAGGGAAGAAGTCGTCGCCCAGCGGGTTGCCAGAGACATAGAGTCTGCGAACGTTCTCCAGGTCGGCAAACGTTAGGCGGAGCGATGGCGCCCGCTGGTTACGGAGGGAGATATTTTCCAACCGACTGGAGGCGTGTCGGTCGGTACGAGCAATGTGAGTAAGGGAGTTGTTGTCGGCGTAGAGCGTCCTGATCTTCGGGAAGAGGGAGACGTCAAAGTGCGACACTTCGTTGTCACTGAATCGCAGGACGCGGACATTCGGCATCGGCTTGGAAGGAGCCAGCACATCCAGTTGATTCCCATCTACATCGAGTCAGTCACTATATTGGGAGAGTATCAAGCAAAGCCTACCGAGGTTGATGGACGCAGCTGAAGACAATTGATGCAGATCTTTGATGAAGGTAATGCTGTTGTTGCTGACATTTAGACTCTCAAGTTTCGACCATCTGGAGCTTGAAAGGTCTAGTCCCTCGAGCTTGTTGTTGGCACAGCTGACCTTGATGAGGCAGTCCATATCCAGAATACCACTGAGGTCCGAAATGCCATTATTATCGGCCTTGAGTTCACGAAGGTGAATGAGGCAAGAGAGTTCTGATCATGATGGTCAGCGCGATCAGCAAAGAGGAGCCGGTGACTTACGCGCTGCGCTGTCCAGTTTGTTTCCAGAGATGTCAAGGTATTGCAGGTTGCGCAGATGGTTGACGGAAGTGAGACTTGTCAACCGGTTGCCAGCCACGTGGAGTGTCCTAACCGACGACGGTATGCCACTCAAGTAGCCGATAGCATTGTCATCCCTGTTCTTGGTCAGTTTTGAATCCGGCCAGGGCTTTCGGCTCACAAATTCGCCTCGTCAAGATTCGGCAAGAACTCCTTCAACCTAGCAACACTGTCCGCTCCTTTTCCCTTCAGGTTGATACTCTTGAGCTTCTCCCAGTGAGGGTTGAAAGGTTCAGCATCCGTAATCATTTCTACAAGCTTATCATGCGCCACGCCAAACGAGCATTCCGTGAGGAAGGTCGCATCCGCAGTGTTACGCGGCCCACCAGAGCTACGGTTTCGGAATGAACGAATGGGGACGGCGGAGTCCGAGTCGGAAGAGTTGGCGAGGGAATGGGATTGTCGGGATGAATTGGCGAGCGAGTTGCGGGACGAAGGACGATCAGACTTTTCGACGTATCGCGAAGGCGGCTTGGAAGGCGTCTCGTCTGCGAGAGCTATAACAAAGTCAGTGTGGGGATCAGAGATCTAGAACAAAAACCTACTGAGGTCGCCCATATTCTCGAGCAGCCCCTGGATCCTTTTTGTCCTCGCACTAGGCAAGAAGCTCTTCTCTCCGCTGGTCCCATCGCCTCTGAACAGATCCTCTTCTTCATCTTGTGCCTTGGCCGTCCACCTTGCCATCTGAATTTCCACCTCAACATTCTCAATCTTGCCAGCCTTCTTGCCATCTGAGAAGCTGACGCTTCGCCTCTGGCTACTAGCAGGAGTGGCTCCTCGTCCCGCAGGCATGGGTGTCGCTTCGTCAGACCATCCTTGTCTCTTCTTTGGCCCAGGGGCGGGCGTAGCACTACCTCCGTTGACGTTGCGAAGAGCAGAGCGCAAAGGCCTGGGGGCGAATGCTGATGGCGTTGGGGTCATCATCGCCGGTGCAGAGTGGACGTGATGAAGAGGACGTTGAGGAGATGTCTGCAATGGAGCAGCCTGTGGACGGACTGTCTGCTCGTCCACATCAGACTCGGAGCCTGAATCGTCTTCCTCCTCATCTTGCACGAGGTTTGTAATGTCGTCATGGTGTTGAAGCACTTGATCGTCCTCACTGCTGCTGCTGGAAGTCACAGCGCTTCTCTCGGGGCGGCCAACAAGACTCTGCTCGTCGTCGGCATTCTCCCTCAATTCGCGGTCATGTTCAATGATGGACTCGTCAAGGGGCTGAAGGTCAACCGGAGCGGCTTGCTGAGGCACGACGCTCCTGCTCCTTTCCTCCGCAGCCAAGCTCTCCATCCCAGCAAAGACATCAACACTTTCCTCGCTTCCGGTGAGACGACTCTCTCCAGCTTCATCCACAGCTCCCAGCTCTCGTACCCATCTCATCCCAACCCGGTCATACCTCATCTTGCCAATTCTATCAGGCACAACGTCCCGAACTTCATCCGGACGGATCATGCGCATGGCAGAAGGTGTAGGGGGAGCTGCACGCGGACCACGATGTTTGACAAAAGAAGTGGAGAGAGCAGTGGTAGTAGTCGCATGGGTAGAGGAGGACATGTAACGATTGAGATCGTCAGCATTGAACTGTGGAGGTTGGGGTATGTGTGGCCCACCCGCATCGTCTACGGAAGACGCTTGGCTTGTCGGTCTGCGTTCCTCGAGGTACCGAGGAGGTTGGCGGTTGACGGAAGACGTATGGGAGGCGTACGATACACGGGAGACCTGGGAGAATTGTATCTGTTCCCCTTCGTCGTCGCTGTCGGTTTCTTCTTCGCGGGCGCGCTTGACTTCCTCCGACGCACTAAGGTGCCGCAAAATCCTCCGGGGGCTTGGGCCCACCTTGCCTTTTCCTTTGGCCATGGCATATCGCCCAGCTTCCTCCTCCCAAACGCGATTGTCATCCGACTCTGTCAAGGCGCCGTGAATATGAGGGCTATCCGAGGCAGATTCAGAAACTTTTCGCTGCTTGATACGTGCCATGATGTCTGCGGCAGCTTGCAGGTAGCCGGATGAGGTGGAAGAAGGGTTGGATCGATGAGTGGGACGATCACTCTGGGTACCACGATCAGAGTTTGATTTGGCTGGAGGCGGAGCTTGGACAGGGGGAGACGGTGACGAGACATAATCCACCGTGTTTCCTTCTATCACAATATAAGCATATAGCTGTTAGAGACATACTTTATCACTTACCTTGTGCCTCGTTACCACTGAACCCACTCACACTCCCACCGTCCGTACTCGCATCTACACCACGAAGCTTGCCTATCATAGCGGCTCCTTGAGCTGCCCAGTCTCTCAAGGGCGCCCTCCTTGCTGGGGGAGAAGCAGGAGACAATCTCAACCTCTTTGAAGATCGCGCGTCTGATGACATTGTAGAGGGAGTAGACCCGGCGCGAGAAGCCGAAGATGGCTGAGAAGGTGAAGCAGAGTCATCGGCCGCAGGGGACCACTCCCGCAAACCTCTCACACTGGGTATACTGGGAGGTGAGGGAGAAGGTTCGATGGCAATGCTGTCGACCATTGCAGAGAGGTGTTCCCGGGTAAAGGTATCGTATGTGCTTCTGAATAGCCGCAAAGCAGGGTTGATGGGTGTTTGTCCACTGCTTGGACCGGCTGCCAGACCAGCAATGACAGAAGGCAGAGGCCTCGAACGAAAGTTCAAAGTAGAATGGGAAGGGCCATCTACAGCCGCATCGCGCTCTGGGTCAAAAGGGCTTCCCTCGAGGCTAAATTGAGCACTTTGTGACGGTTGGTGAGGAGATTCAAAAGTGAATTGGTAGCTAGCACCGGGGGCGGAGAAGGGAGAATCCTCTCGCACCCGAGTAGATGAAGCATACGACTGGATGGAGATACCCTGGGATCCGGCGTATTGAATTTCGTTTCGCGACTCTTCACCCTGGGGCGCAGTCACGAAGTCGCCGCCAAAAGCAGAATCATCAATGTCGCTTCTGATGATGGTGGAATCTCTGAGAAGAGAGTCCTCGCCTTCATGTTCTCGAGGAGGAGCTGGGATGGGGGTGGTTGAGCGCGAAGGTGCGCTAGAGGTGGTTGTGGTGAAGGAGTCGTTGGACGAAGGTGTGACTGATTTACTAAGCCGCGATGGGTTCAGAGGCGCATATTGATGAGACGCCCTCCGAGGAGGTTCGGTAGCCTTGGGAGCAGGTGTCGGGGGTGCAGATTCTGGCGATGTTGAAGGTTCAGCAGTTTGCGCATGTTCGGCCTTGACATCGGCTGCGGCTGGAGATGGCGGGTCAAACATCCGCTCAAGGGGCAGTGCGCCAAAAATATCCTTTCCCTTCACCCCCATACCATTCCTCGCAAGATGCGCTCCCCGATCATCGTCCACTCCCTCCTTCACCACGAATGTCCCAGCGACAGGTTCGGGCTTGCCATCCGAAGACGCCCGCGAGGAGGGCGGAGACAAGACACCAACGTCGAGGCCTGTTCCTGATACGTGCCCCCGGCCTTCATCCACATGGCCCGAGACTATCCTCTTTGGCTCAGACGCTGATGCACTGCTGGCACTTCTGGAGGGCGGAAGGGGGCGGGCAGCAGCCTGTCCGAGCATGCGTAGTGAGCCGCGCTTTGCACTGATTGAGTCTGGGTTGGTCTTGAGGGAGGGGACGGGGTGGTGCTTGGCGGTGGGGGGCGGGGAGGGAGATGACTCTGGCCACTCCTCGCCGAGTTCGTCTGTGGCCCATCCAGGAATCGCGGCCATCTCTACTGCTGCTGTTGTTGTTTGTTTACTGCAAAACCAACAAAGAAGTCGCGCCAAACACGAAAGCGGCGAGCACCGCCAGCATGCGGGGGGTCGATTTAAAGGTGGAGGCGGGTTACGTAAGTGCAATATTTTGAAGAATCCGAGCATGTTTTGGAGGATGCAAATGTTTTGGAGTGCAGTAAAGAATCAATACAAACGCCAAAATGCCCAGAATCAGGAAGAGTGAGTGGGGAGGAGGGATGCATGGGTAGTGCTGACGACGATCAGAGACCTCTAACCGACAAAACACCCGTGACAGGGCCAAGATCACCAAGAAGGCCGCTGAGCAGAAGCGCAAGAACAAGAAGGCCGGCAAGAAGGATCAGACATGGAAGTCCAGTATGTGTATGCCCATGAAGCCTGTGGGCTGGTGCTGACTATTTGATAGACAAGAAGGCCGACCCTGGAGTTCCCAACAGCTACCCCTTCAAGGACCAGGTCCTTGCTGAGATTGCCGAAGAGAAGCGAAGAGTGCGTCGCATCAAGACGCTACCAACATAGCTGACCGTATCGCAGGCCGAGGAAGACAGGATTGCTAGGAAGGAAGCTGCCAAGACAAAGAAGCAGGAGGAAGAGGAGGTCGACACCCCCGGTATCTCCTCCGTCCTGCGTTCTGTCATGAGCCGCAACGGTCCCCTCACTGCCACTTCTGCTCTCCCCGTCGAGGTCGAGGAGGAGGACTCTGACATTCCCGAGCTCATCGACACTGCTCTCCCCACTCTGCAAGAAGCGCTGGACAGGGCGGATGTGATCTGTGAGGTTGTGGACGCCAGGGATGTTCTCGGTGGCAGGAGTGCCTACATCGAAGGGCTTGTCAAGGAAGCGGAGGGCAGGGTCGTTCTCATTGTGAACAAGATTGACCTTGTTCCCCGAGAGGCTCTTCAATCGTGGCTCTCTCATCTCGACATTCCGACCTTCCTCTTCAAGTCTGCTCTCCCTCCTCTCCCTCCTACTGCCGGCTCTTCCAAGAACCCCGGTCCCCATTTCTTCATGGAGCCCGAGTCTGTCCTCGGTCGAACAGAATTTCTTGCCGCTGCCAAGAAGTGGTCGCAGAACAAGAAACAGTCGACAAAGAGCGCCGAGCCCCTTGTCCTTGCCCTTATGGGTCTTCCCACCGTCGGCAAGACTTCCATCCTCAAATCTCTTCTTCCCTCCACCGCCAACAAGTCCAGACACCTTGTCACCCCCATCATCCCTCCTGCGCAGTCTTCCAAGCAGCCCCAGCCTACCACCAAGGCTCCTGTTGAGGTCGAGCTCGATGTGGATGGTGTGACCATCAAGATCATCGACACTCCCGGATGGGAGCCTGTTGAGGATGACGAAGACGAGGAAGAGGAGGAGACTGAGGAGGAGGAGGACCCTGAAAAGTGGGACAAGCTGGAGGCGAGGTTGGCTGGTGACCTTTTGAGGAGAAATATGGGCCGTATCGACAGGGTCAAGGACGTCTTTCCCTTAGGTATGTCATCCTTACACTACGTTGAGCCATACTGACATTGTACGCAGTCAACTATATCGTTCAACGCTGTAACCACCAAGATTTGATGCTCGCCTACAACATCCCCTTTTTTGAGAAAGGTGACCTCCAAGCCTTCCTTACCGGTCTCGCGCGAGCCCATCAACGGATCAAGAAGCACGGAACGCCCGATCTCGAGGGCGCCGGCCGTGTCCTCTTGCGTGATTGGGCATACAACACTTTCCCATACTACGCCACCGCCCCTGCGGCTTCATCAGCGGACATGGAGGTGGAGGAAGTGGAAAAGTTTGACATGACTGCTGTGCTTGAAAAGTGCAAGGGAAAGAAGGACATGAAGAAGGAGAGCGCCAAGGGCATTGTGAGATTCAAGAGCGGAGATGTCGACACACGTGATGTGAGTTGACCATGGTCATGTTGCTAGGCATGTGCTAATGGTATTACAGATCATTCTTGATGATGACTACACAGAGATGGCCGCGGGGTCCGACGATGGATCCGAAGACGAGGATGAGGATGAGGATGAGGACAGCGAGGCCGATCTTGAATTTGATGAGGCAGTCACCGAGGAGGGCGACGAGGATGAGGCACCCTTGCTGGTCGGTTCTGAAGACGGCGAAGAGGTCGAATTCGACAACGACGTCGAGCCTTCTGATGATGACGAGGAAGCCGAGGAAGAGTCTGACGACGAGCCTGAGCTCCCCTCCCCTCCCAAGTCCACCCTCAAATCCAACAAGAGACGTATCTCCGAAGTCTCTCTTGCGCCCAAGAAGAAGGCCAAGAGGGTGTCTTTTGCAAAGGAATCGAAGGCTGGCAAGGCGGTCAAGGGCAGCAAGTCGCAGAAGAAGGGGAGCAGGAGAAAGTGATCGGGTCTGTGATTGGGTTTGGGGGGCTTCTTTTGGGAAGCTTCTTTGTATGCACATCCACTATTTCTGTCCTGCGCCATGTGAGACCAGCAATAGCAGGCGCGTGGGTGACTGCCACGCGATTCGGTCGGGGCCGAGATCCGTATGTTTTACTTTCCGGCAATGCCCCGCCTATACTCGGTCGGGAAGTGTATAAAGCAGATGTGAAGCTATTAGTGGCTTCTCAGCCTTCCACGTCCATCCCACATGCCTTTCCTACGAACCACGTTGAGAATCAGTACCCCCCTGCGCGCGCCCCCCCACGCTACCTGCGTAGGCGGCCTCCCGAAGGTGCCGGCCAGGCAGTTCACAGCGTCCGCCCATCTCGCCAACAGTCTCTTCAGGCAAGTTAAAGCGTATCATTGGGGCAATGATGACCCCATATATCAGCGTTGGAACCCCTCAGAACGACGACTTTCATGTCTTGATGATCGGAGCCGGCTATGTGAGTACCCACGCAATCCGCGATGCGCAGAGGCTGACTTCCCATAGGCCATGTTCGGCACTCCAGAAGGTATGTCATCTTGCAACATGTGGCACACATGTCTAACAGTCAATCAATAGGCCCTTGGAACATCTCTCGTAAATTGGAAAACCGCCTCGGACCCCGGCTCAAAGTCGACGCCATTGTTGAGATCAATGGTCCTCGAGCGGAAACGGCCCTCACCTCGAAGCGAGAGTCATTTGTACATGAGGCGTACAATGATACTGTAGTACTGCCGGACATTGAAGAGTTCAAGAGGAGGGTCGAGGCTGGTATCTTGAAAGAGCCTCGGTACGTTCATATTCGCCGACCACGTGCGTGTGCGTGAGCTTATGCATCTACAGAGCCATCTTTGTCGCTACCCCACCCACTTTCCGAGGTGGTCTTGGATCCAACAACAATCTAGAAGTCAAGATTAATGAACTCTTCCCCAACTCTGCCATCTTTCTAGAAAAGCCGGTAGCCACTGGCCTCCCAGCCGAGCAGAGTGTTGGCGAAGCGAAAGCTGTAGGCGCCATGCTCGAGACACAGCACAACGCCCCAGTTTCTGTTGGGTACGTATCCTTTTCTACCATTGACGGTTGCTAATTGTTCCAAGCTATGTCCTTCGATATCTCAAGGCCGTCCAAGAGATGAAGAGGATAATTGAAGAGAACAATTTGACCGTCATGGCTACAAATGCCCGATATGTCACCGCCTACGAGCTTGCTATCAAGACTGTCAGCCACTTCACCTGTTTTATCTTCCCCGCTGACTTGTAAACTTAGGACTGGTGGGACAAGTCTCAAATGCAAGGCCCGATCATTGAGCAAGGCACTCACATCTGCGATCTCTCGCGTTACTTTGGCGGCGAGATCGAGATGGAGACCATCGCTGCTCACGCGCTGGAGGCTCACGAGAAGCCTGGATACCTGTCAAAGCGCAACTTTGACGAGACGGTTATTTTGGATGCGAATCGTATTCCCCGAGCTACTGCTGCGAGCTGGTGAGTCTCAAGTTGAGGGAGCTGGGCGTGAGAGCTGAAGAATATCAGGAAATACGAATCTGGCGCCGTCGGAACATTGTTGCATGCCACTGCACTGCACGGCAAAGACTATGCTATCGAGCTTGAAGTCTATGCGGATGGGGTAAGTACCGTTATCCTCATCCCTTGAGAATGACGACTGACCATCCCATTTGTAGTACCAACTGATGTAAGGCTTATACTTTGTCATTCAACATCCATCCACTGACAACAATCACAGCCTTTCTGACCCCTACGGCACGCCAGCTCTCCACATCCGCAAGCCTGGATCAGATGCCATTGAAATTCATCCCACCCCTGGTGATGACCCCTACCAAGCGGAGATTGATACCTTCATCGACACGGTCGAGAAAGGTAATCCGGCGATCAAGATCTTGTCGTCCTACAAGGATGCGGCCAAGACGTACGAGATGACTTGGGCCGTCAGGAAATCCTCAGAGGAGTCGACGAGGAGGCTTGATAGAAAATACAGGAGAGTGTAAGAGAAAGTTCCCTGAGAGATCGTACATAAACAGATGTTTTGAAGAGCGAAGGAAATATTGTCAAAACCTTGTCAGAGGGGGCTAGTTGAGTGCCAGAAGAAACCCATGCATAGAATAAGATGGGTCATGTGTCGACCCATCGGACCCCTTCCCAATCAATTCTGACCGTCTGCTCAGCTGACAGCTACGGGAATGCCCATCAGCTCCACTTGCCATAGAGCAATCGGACTCACAGATGTCCATCTCGAAACCACCCTCCCGTTCCTCAAGTCGCTCAACATTGTTCCTCTCTCCAGCTTCATTTCGCCTTTTCCTCCTTCCATTCGCTTTCTCACCGCTTCCTCATAAGCCACATAGTACACCCTGGGCCAGACGGAGCCGACCGGGTAGATGAACTGCGCGAGAGTTTGGGTCATGGGTGTATAGTCGGTGAGTCTGACAGAGGATATCAGGGTGATGTTGGGTGATGCTTGAGGTGGAGTAGGTGGGGAGATGATTGGGAATGTGGCTTTTGTAGGTGAGTGGAGGTGAATGAGAGCTGAAGAAAATATGACAGGAGAGTTTGTATAGGCTGCGTCGGCAGGGCTGCCAGGCTTGTCGCCAGCTGCAGACGCGGTGGTCTGCCCGGTGGCGAAGGAACCAGGAGTGGTAGGCACTCTCATATGGTACCAGAAGAGTAGTAGAGAGCAGAGGCTAAGCGTGATGGCGGCCAGCAGACTTCCAGAAATCTGTGAGCGGCGAAGAACAACGTTGGGCCACGTTGAAGAAGACAGCCAGAGTGGAAAGGTCTGCCCCTGGGAGATATGAGACTTGAGACGTGAGAGATGGTATCCGAGCTGAGAGTGGGGCAGCTGTAGCCGAGAGAGGAGACTGTAGATGCCAGCGGAGGAGAAAGAGGATGAGATAAGCCCCTCAAGAGGCGACGGGAGATGGATGAGCATTGTGTCCGCGCAGAGTTGAGAGAGATGCAGATGCAAAATGAGGGATGCCTTTGGGTGAGGAAGATAACTTTGCGCACGGTCCCAAGTTGAGTCGCCTCGCGTGTATGGCTCACATCATTTATACCGAGATACCGAGGACTATTGTATGTACAAGCAAGCAAGTTATATGTGTATTGGTAGAGACGCCAAAGGCCCAAAAGACCGTGCAAGGTGTATGAAAGAAAAATGTCCGTTTTTTACACGACGCCAACCACTACCGTGGCCCTCAACGTACACCTTCCCCTTCCACTCTCAATCCCCGAAGTGTCAACCTCCCCAGTCCACCCGAGCACCCCTTCACCAAGATCGTCTTTGCCATCTACAACAGGCGGTACCGATAGATACTCTTCAGACTTGAGAGCTGACGATTTCCATCCCCAAGATTGAGAATGGGCGAAAGAGTCGGGACCAGAGGTGAATCGGATTAGGGCTGTACCCAGAGCAGACGCACAACTGATGGAAAAGTAGGCCTATGCGATGTCAGCGTGTATCCTGCGTTGATCATGGGCGAGCTTACCTTGGTAGTCTTTCTCGTATCATGATACGGCACGTTACTTGCCATCCCACTGCCCTTGCCCTGCTGCCCCATCCTCAAACTCAACAAATTATTGGTGGCAGGGGGGCTACCGGGGATCACGGGCGACGGCATCAGCAACGCCTGGGGCGCTGCAGGAGTCATAGGCCCGCCGGTAGTCGAGAGGGTCGTCGTCGTCCGTGTAAGGGAGAGGCCGTCTGCAGGGTGGGGAGCAGAAGGGGCCGGGAAAGGCTCATTGGGCGATTGTCGATGCAGGTAGATACCGAGCTGGACACCCTTCTCTTTTCTCTTGATCATCTGGATATAACTGCCGCCGTCGTCAGCATTTCATTATCAGACGAAGAAATGTACTTGCCAGTTGAAAAGAGAACCAGCATAGAAATGCGTAGCCGAATAATACCTCTCCTTCTCCCCAAGCTTGTCCACATCCCAAAACTCGACCGAGAACCTGAATGGCTCCGTCTTGGTCCATTGATCCTGCTTTTCCTTGCCCAATCCCAGATTCAACAATGCGAAACCACCCCCCTCGTCGACCCACTTGTCTTCAATTTCTGACGCGGTGGCTTTACCGCCAACAAGGCCAAACGAAGACTTTTCGCCATGCGGTGCGGGTTTGGATTTGACGGGGCTTGTTTGGAAGAGGACATCGGCGAGGTCGGGGCCAAAGTCGGGGACGCCCGAGACGCCGTTGATGCCGGAGCTAAGCAGACCACTAGCGCCGATACGGTGCGTCTCGTCAGATGGTACGGGGTACCACACACTCTGGGCGAGATGGTTGCTGTGGTTCATGTCAGTCGTAGAGGATACAGACGAAGGCGGGGCGACAAATGCAGATGCTGTCGAGGAAGACGCCCCCCAGGTGGTGGTGGCTGCGCTTGGCACCCGACTGCGAGGCGTGGGACGTCGGCGTCGATTACGAAGAGTATCTACAATCTCGCTTGTCGTATGCGTAAGCCCAAGCTCATCCTTCTCCTCGGCCTCTTGACCCTCTTCAATTCGCTCGTGCGCCGTCACTCTTGCGCGGAGGTCGGCAGCAGCCCAATGCGCCGCTTGCAAGACTGCGAGCGGAGCGTACGGTAGACTGGTATGCGGGTCGAGGTCTGATGCAATCGTTGACAGATCCTCGAATGTCATGTGACAGTACCGGATCCCCTCCGCAAACACCCTCTGAATCTCTCTCTCTTCGTCCTCCCACTCGTCCCACTCGTGCTCCACGTCCGTGCCCGAGAACGACACATCCCCGACCCCTTCCATCACCTCCTCCCACCCCTTCCTTCTCAAATCGAGCACATTCCTCGTCATCTGGTATCGCTCCATCTCATCTTTGACAAAGAAGAAGTCAGAAGACAAGAGGGCGCGGACGAAGCGGGCTAGGAGACCGCCGTGGCCCCAGATGCGGTATGCAGCATTGGGCGTCTGCATCTCGGCGTGCAAGGTATCGGCTCCCCACCGGGCTAGCCAGACATTACAGGCTTCTCCGATCTTGTCGCCAACAACGCCATAGTACTGCGGCAGAGCATGGACATCGGTTGAAGCGAACGATGCCTGATCATGGCTGTGTAGAGTCTCGTCGCCCTGGAAAGAGGATGAATAGTCGGACGTCCCGTTGAGATAGATGGAAGGGTCTGTATGTCCAACCTTGGTGTCTGAATCAGAAGAGAGTCTAGGACGAGAAGTACTCTTGGAAGGCGTCTCCATGGGATCTTCTTCCACTGTTGGCGACATTCCTGAAGGATGCGCTCTCTGTGGAGCAAACAGCGGCTTGGCAACCTTTTCGAATCCTTTCGCTCCTTCTTCACTTTGCCCCTCCCACTCTTCCTCTCCAATGCCATCACCGGTCGCAAAGGCCAGATACAGCCCCACGGTCACCGGGCTGACAGTCCTCAGTATCATACAGAGGACTTCACGGAGCAGGGCACCGTGCCCGAGGTATACTGTAGTTGCGAGAAGAGAGAGCAAGAGACGTGGAGTGGCAAGGTGGGTGTTCTGGGGTTGAGAAGAGTTGAGAGAGGCATAGGCTGGTTCGTGGCTGGAGGGGAATGAAGGAGTCAAGGGATGTGTCGAGGTGGGGAGGATGGAGGTGGGAAAGTTAAGGGTGGGGTATGGGCAGTATAGCCTTGCCAGGCATATCCTGCATACACGTGTCAGCTGTGTCGGCACTCCCAGAAGACGCCTTACTCGAAAGCAGCTCGTGTGATATTCGGGTCGTCAAACTGAAGCTCGACACTCTCGCCAAGCCAGTTGTCTGCAGGCACATCTATCCTGGCTTTCCCCTTTCCCTTGAATGCAGGCTTGGGAGTCACTGTGGCCTCTGAGAATCCACCCAGAAAGAGCGATGTGAAAAAGCCTACTTGAAATGAGCCGTTTCCCATGCAAGACACCTGGCCACTCACTGGACTGAGACATAATCATCTTGTGCACATCATAGGCGACGCCCCACTTGCGTACGATAAGCCTCACATCTGCACACATCCCACTCAGGAATGCATTGTACAGATGCTCGCTGATGGGCTGCAGGGATGGTGTCGGGATGACAGCGGTGGTGGGATTGAACGATGTGGCGGCCGGCGGGGCAGACTGCGTGTGTACATGGTGGGCGCGTTCATCGGTGTGCGAGAACTTGACGGGCGTCCGGGGCTGTGTGGCAGGGGCAGGGACGCTGCTGGAGGGCGCTAGCAGAATAGGGGGAGCGATGGGAGGTGCGATGGCGACAGATGGCGCGGACGGTGCAGACGTCGACGGCCTCGAGGGCCCTGCGTCTGTCTGGAAGTCGCTCATTCTCCTAGGCGAGGGGGCAGACCGGGCATCGGGGCTTCCGTTTGCGCTGGTGGGGGCTGTTAATGCTCGTGCGCGCGATAGACTGGCGGCAGCAAGTGGTGATGAGACAGACGGCGAAGTGGCGGTCGTAGCGGTCGGCGTGTTGCGCCCTCCCGAGCCAGACGAGCGTTGCCGCCCCTGGCCCCCATCGGAGCTCCCGCCTCGTGCCATGATCATTTGGTCGAATGTGATCTCGCGGGACGGTGTGGGAAGGGGCGAGGTAGCGCGGCTGCTGTCTCTGGATGACCTCAGTTCCGGGAGGTCTGGAAACGGGAGCAACTTGGGCTTGTTCGGCGTGGTACCGGATTTGGAACGGCCATGTCTCGAGGCATGTCTGGGGGAGGAGGCGGAGGATGACTGAGGGAGGCGCGAGGTGGAGGGCGGGGTCATTATTATGCGAGTACAGATGCAAAGCAGAGATACATAGAACGGTCGTCTATTGTTGTTGTGGCCTCTTCGGGAAGTCGCCCGACCCTGGGCTAATCCCCCTCGCAGCGGCCCCGCGAGCGCCGAGATGTTCTGCTGCCAAGCTGATGCGGTGATCCTCAAAGGACAGTGTGCATGTGGTAGGGATTGTCTTCCCCGCTGTATCCATTAAATTGTTGTGGATCCCTTGCAGGTCATAACGAGATGCTTTGACATTTATTCTGTGACAAACAGTTACACTTACAAGGCCTGGCCTTTCCCGAGGTGGAGGCAGAGTGGAGGCAGAGTGGAGGCATAGTGGAGGCAGAGTGGAGGCACCTTCGTACTCGAGTATATATACAGTTATGGCCACAGGGAAATCCATCTTGGCCCCTTTGTTAAATTAAACATCACCGAACACTGACTCGCAATGGCTTCTGATACTGAAATGGAATATGGCAAGTGTCGTTACCCATCTCATCATCGACAACTATACTGACGTGGGTACAGTGAGGCTCGGCAAGAGCGGGCTTAAAGTCTCCAAGATCATTCTGTGGGTTCCTTCATCCTATCATACTAGTTTCGATGTGCTGATAGCTACTTGTCACTCAGGGGCTGCATGTGTAAGTCAATTATCGGCCCTACGGCTCTTATCGACTGTTCATCGGGCTTATCCGTTCCTATCTAGCGTATGGGGATCCCGAGTAAGTCGCACCGCTAGCCACCCGATCAATACCTAACAAGACGTCTAGGTGGTCTGGCTGGGTCCTTGGGGAGAAGGAAGGTATCGAACAGATCAAGTATGCCTACGAGCAAGGTATCAACACTTTCGAGTAAGCCCAATCGACGATCGCTGCGGCGTCTATAACCGCCAGGCTGACTCGACTCTAGCACTGCCGACACGTACTCTTGTGGCGCTTCCGAAGAGATCCTAGGTAAGGCTGTCAAGGAGATTGGCTGCCCCCGAGAGGCAGTCGTCATCTTGACCAAGCTCTACATGCCCATCACCCGGGGCAGTCACAAAAGGCCGCCGGTCTTGGGTGTTCTCGATAAGAAGGGCTTTGTCAACCAGTACGGGCTGAGCCGAAAAGTTGGAGCAAATTCATCCTGCACAATTGAGAAGCTGACACAGAGCAGCACATCTTTGACGCTGTGCAAGCTTCCCTCGAGCGACTCGACACTGGCTACATCGACGTTCTCCAGTGCCACAGGTTTGACTACAACACCCCTATCGAAGAGACTGTATGTTCATTATTAGTATGCGCGCAACTTGGAAGGCTCACTATTGCAGATGCAAGCCTTGCACGATGTCGTTCAGAAGGGCTGGGTCCGATACATCGGCATGTCCAGGTATGTCCGACTGGTCCTTTGTGGCACTCTCATTGACTTTTTGCAGTTGCTGGGCCTACCAGTTCCACGCCATGCAGAGTGAGTGTATTCAACACCTACCAAGAACACAGCTCACAATGATACAGACTATGCCATCAACAACCGCCTCACCCCCTTCATCTCCATGCAAAACTTCCACAACGCCTGCTACAGGGAAGAAGAGCGCGAGATGATACCCACTCTCCAAATGTTTGGCGTCGGATGTATCCCTTGGTCCCCGCTTGCCCGAGGTTTCCTCACAAGGCCATGGCAGAATGCCGAGGAGAATAAGTCTACTACCAGGGCAGAGTCTGATGCGTGAGTTGTACGCCGCGGTTGGAGCTTTTGGCTGATGAGACTGCAGGCTCTTTAAGTCTTCAGGCTTCAGCGCGCCCGAGGCAGGCAAGAAGCGAGTTAACGAAGCGATTGCTGCTATCGCTTCGGCTAGGAGCGTGAGTATGGCTCAGATCGCCGTGGCCTGGTCCATCAGCAGGCCTTTCGTCACTGCTCCTATCGTCGGGACAACTAGTTTGGACAAGCTCAAGGATTTGTTGGAGGGTATCAAGATTGAGTTGACCGAGGAAGAGAAAAAGTCTATCGACGATGCGTATGCGCCTCAGGTTGTCGTAAGTGAAAATGATATACAACGATGGGCATAAGCTGACCATGTCATCAGACCGGCCACGTCTAAATGCTGCAGCAGGAGAATAGGTTGTTTTATAGTCATTTTGTCTGATGTATCGGGTAGAGCGCCAAATGAAGTCTTGCACTTCAACGGGTGGCAGCGAGATACAAAGATGGGATGGACATATCATGGGTAACAAACAAAGACGGACTGCACAACAGCCTATGGCAGTTCAGCCTCCTTTTCGACTTCAGTGGGCTTGTCCTCTCCTTCCACAGCAATCTCGGGAACAGGAGGCTCTATCTCCCCCATTACCAACCCTTCGTCTTTCTCCACCGGTGTTTCTCCCTTCTCCTCAACCAAAGTCGCTGGCTGATCCACCTCCATCTGATCCCCACTCTCCTGAACGGCCTCCTCCTCCACGGCCGCTTCCTTGACACCCTCCATCTCAACATCCCCATCCTCTTCATGGCTCCTCTCCGCTACCACACCCCCCTGCAGCCCCAAGTCACCTTGTCCAAGCTGGGCAGAGTCGCCAGGGATGGAGTTTGTTATTTCGACAGCGTTGGAAGGGATCTCGTGGTGTGGGGGGATGGGAGCTTCGTGGGTGGGCTCGGCGGTGGGTTCAGTGATGCTTTGGGGGTCTGCCGCAGGGACGGGGGCGGGTTCAGGGGCAGGGGCAGGGGCGAGGGCAGCTTGGGGCTCAGCCACAGCTTCAGCAGCAGTGGACAGCGTTTCAGGAAGAGCTTCAGATTCAGTCTCTTTGGGAGCTTCTGGCGCGTCGCCTTCGCCCTCGGGCTGGGCAGAAGTGTCATCTTGAACGCCCGTTGTTTCAGCCCCTCCTTGAGCTGCTTGGACCTCGCCCTTTGCTGGATCTCGAGACTCTTCCCCATTCTGACCGTTATCGCCATCCTCATCATCTTCATCATCCTCGTTCTCCTGTCCTTCCCCTTCATCGCCCTCATCATCGTCTTGTCCTGGCGTATCGTCCCGGACTTCGTAGACGGCGTCATTTCCAAACTGAGCCTGAGCAAGAGTGTCAGCGCGGAGCGGATGGATGGGCTCGATATATACCTTGACGTCGCTCTTGACCCATTTGAACACCTTGTATGAGCTCTCCGCTGGTAATCCTTCAGGGGCCACCCATTCGCGCTTCCACTTATTAACCCTATCCATAGCGTGTGTTAGTGACCACCGTTTACTTAGCAATGCAGAAAAGAGCGTACGGGAGTGACAATTGACGTTGTTGGTTCTCGCCTCCATTGGCGGTCGCGAATCGGCCTCCTCGACGATCTTTTCAAGCGTGTATCAGTGATCAAGCATATATATATTACTCGAGTAGCACTTACACTGAGCGCCAGACATTGTTTAGCTGATGTGGAGAGGGGCAAAATAGATGGATGGCTGAAGATGAGCTGGAAATGCGAATGGTAAACAAATGAAGGAATAGAGAACATCCGTCCTCAGCTCCTCACGCGTCTTGTGTGGCGAAGATAATCCCGAGCTATTGTCACCACTTGCAGAAGTCAGAAGTGGATTGAAATGGGTCGATTGTGCATTAGCTGCTTGGACATGTACTACGTAGCAATCACCACTGTATATGATACGTAGAGTGGCCGTAAAAATAGCAGCAATAGCAGCCACGCATAGAAACTGGTGATGTTATTGGGATGCCTGCGACTGTGGTAGAGTCTCGAACGGGGCTTCGCATGCCTCTAGACTATGCATGGTTTTGTTATACAACTGCTGACTCAACAAACTCCTGATTTTCATATAATTGCTTCTCCAAGATCAAAAGCCCTCTCTACTTCCTGCTCCTCTTGGGGAAGTCGACGGTGGGGAGGTCGGGGTCAGGGAAGTCCTCAGTCATGTGTTCCTGCCATACAATCAGCCATACCTAGAGACACCGAAAGAAGAGCTTACAGAGTAGTACCTAAAGTGGTGGGTCTTACCAACATCGGTAATCTCCTTCAACTCCTCGGCGGTCAAATCAGGCACAGAGTCGAGGGCGGCGAGACCCTTGATCCTCTCCTCGTTCTTGGAAGTGGTGATAACCACGACGCCAGACTGGATGGTCCAGAGGAGAAGGACAGCGGTAGAGTCGAGCTCCTTACCGGCGTCCTTGGAGAGACGCTGTGCGATGCGCTCAAGGACGGGCTTCAGAGGACCACCGGTGGGGTGTCGGAGGACGGGGGTGAGGGGACCGTAGGCCTCAATGACGATACCGTGTTCCTTGGCAATCTTGAGGACGGGCTCAAGGTGGACAAGGACGTAAGGGTGGAACTCGATCTCTGCGCGTCGTCAGTAATCTGCCAAAATGAAACTCGCCAACTTACGGTTAACGACAGGCTTGATGGTGGCGATCTTGAGCACAGCTTCGAGGTCTTGGGGCCTAAAGTTGCTGACACCCAAGCTCACGCCTTCAAGAGTACCGTCCTTGACAAGCTCCTCGAGAGAAGTCCAGAACTTAGCAATGTTGCCGTCCTCGACCACAAAGGGGTTGTGGATGAGCAAGAGGTCAGGCTTGAAGCCCAAAAGCTCGATAGAGCCGAGGACATTCTCCTTGATGGCCTCCTTGTTGTTGGCAACAGTGCCAGAGACTTCAGAGTTATCGTCAGCGAGGCATCAGAGAAAAGTGGACCGGTGGCGTACTCTTGGTGGTGACAAAGACCTCGCTCCTGTCGACACCGGCCTCCTTGATCGAAAGGCCAGTGGCCTCTTCGGTCTCGTAGGCCTGGGCAGTGTCGATGTGGCGGATGTTGGCGTTGAGAGCGTGGACACCGGCGTCAATGGCAAGTCTGTTGTTGTCCTTGCCCTTGATGCCGCCCGAGCCGCTTCCCCAGCCAATGGCGCGGAGAGTCTTGCCGTCAGAGAGCTTGATAGTTCGTACCATTGTTATGTGTGTTGTTGGATAGATGCTTCTTATATAGGCAGGAGATGGAAAGAAATGGAAAAGAGAGATGAACAACCATTCCCGCGTGCGGCGGGTTAAATACGTAGCCCACACGTCATATGGGGCCATGCGGCTGCAGTCGGCAAAGGACGCATCTCGGACTGCGGGTGCCATATCTGGTGCAAACCATGCCCCATAAGCTCGCTTGCATCTGCCAAGCGTCATGCTTTGTTCAAGTGTCACTCGGAATTGTACAGAGCACCATGCGGACAGCCAAGGAAGCGAGAGGTGTGGTGGACAAAAGCAGAACTATGACTCCGGACGTCCTGATCTCCAAGTTCTACAACCTACTCTGAAATATCTAGGCGGGCCGGGCCCAGCATTGCTCTCCCTCCTGGGCCTCCTGGCCTTATGTTCAACTCATGTCGTTGATGCCCAAATGGGTGTGGAATGATCCTATTGTATGTAATCGAAATTAGCTTGTTGATCAATCGGGTGAGTGACGATAGCTGCTTCAACAGCCACAGCCTTACCACAGACATCTGCGCACTTGACCCGAGAATCCCCCGAATGCTTCAAGAGTCAGCATGAAGGTGGATAGAGATGCATGAAAGCTGATGCATGTAGTGCGCGAAGATTGCCTGAGTTGTGCGTCATCTAGAATTGATGCTGTCTATCACCTCGGCTGTCCCAGAAGCCCTGTAAACCTTTCAATCCAAGTCACAGAGTACCATCTATTGATCTTCTTTGGTCTCCTTCTTCTCTTCCGCCGCACCTTCAACCTTCACATCCTGCTCGGGCGTCCCGTCAACGACCGTTTCCTCTATAGTACCTGTAAAGAGAAGAACAAACCTCGTCAACATGGGTCCTGTAGAGAGAATGAAATGCTCACCGCCCTCACACTCACCCCAGCCCAATGGTCGGATAGCACGCAAACCTACCGCTTCCCCAACAACCTCTCAACCCACCCAATCACTCCCCCAACAGCACTCGCAACCTTTCCAGCCAACCCAGAGTCATCAGAGTCGACTGGTTCGTAAGGCCGCGAGCTTTCCTGTTGGGACGAAGAGGAAGGGGAAGAAGGATGGGAGGGGAAATGTGGCTTTTCGTAGACGGTACGACGAGGGGCATCGGGGTGGGTGGACCATGAGGGTCGAGGGCGGGAGGTATTGCGAGAAGAGGTCTCACCGTTTGGCGTTGACGCTGATTCGGATGGTGAGGGGCCAAAGTGAATTTGGGGGGTTCGGCCTTCGAGGTCGTCGGCATAGGCCTGCAGAATCTTGCGTTGGAACGGTGTCAGAGTTCTGGCGGAAAGGTCAGCTCTGCTCGATCATGCGTCACAACGACGTACCGAGGAATCTGGATCTTCCACTGCACGATAAGGTCTCCTCGCTCACTCTTCCCTCGCGAGTACACACTCTGCACACCTCGTCCCTTCAAGACCGCCTCCTCTCCATTCTGTGTACCTCCCTTCACCTTGACGTCGACTTCGCCTTCAAGCGTAGGAATTCGGATGACACCTCCCAGCAAAGCTGTATGAAGCGGCACCTTGGCATCGTGGTGGACATTGGTCCCTTGCCTCCTAAACTTGGTAGAAGGTCGGACCAAGACCCTGACGAGCAAGTCTCCGGGGGGACCAGAAGCCGCCAGAGGCATGTCACCAGCTCCCGGTATCCTGATCATCATACCATCCTCCACTCCCGCCGGGATCTCGACATCAACCACCTTTCTGTCCTTGACTTTTCCAACACCTTCACATCCTCCACACTTGGCACTCGGCGGGATACTCGACCCCGCTCCTCCACAGGCCTGACAGGTCGATGCCATAATCATGCCCTGCACCTGGAACGTTTGCTGACCCGTACCGCGGCAAGTAGAACACTGCGTCTTTTTCTCCCCAGGCTTGAGACCAGAGCCAGTACAGGGTTTACAGTCGACGACGGGGGTGATGGTGACTTTGCGGGTAGTGCCCTTGCAGGCTTCGAGAAATTCAAGGTTGACGCCAGCCTCGAGGTCGTCTCCACGCACAGGCCGTTGTCGAGCGCCACCACCAAATCCTCCTCGACCGCCACCAAACTGGCCACCAAAGAGAGACTCGAAAAGGTCGCTTGCGTTGCCACCACCGCCAAAGCCTCCTCCGAAGCCTTGGAAACCGCCAAAGCCGCCAGCGCCACCAGGGAAGTTGGGGTCGAAACCTTCTTGTTGAGAAGCAGAGCCATAGGTGTCGTAAGCCTTTCTCTTTTTGTCATCAGAAAGGACCTAGAGAGATGTTAGTTTGCATAGCGGGTAGATGTATTATACATACGTCGTAGGCGCTCTGAATTTCGTGGAAGCGGTCTTTGGCATTGGGCTCCTTGCTCGAGTCGGGATGCCACTTCTTTGCAAGCTACAAAAAGTCAGCCTCATACCCCTGAGGCACTGGGTCATACGCACAGAGTAGTATGCTTTTTTGATATCAGAAGAAGACGATTCTTTTTTCACCCCAAGGACGTCGTAGGGGTCCTTGGCTGACGCGCTGTGGACCGCTGTCGAGTGGAATGACCGCTACACTGCATTAGCACCGAGCCTTACTTGCCACTACACTACTTACCCTTTTCTCAGTCGCGTTGCCTGAAAGCGGCCTGGCAGCAGCATGCAGGGTGCTAAAGTGGTGGGATGGCGATGAACGGGGAGAGGTGCAGCGGGGCTGGGGCGGGATGGCTGATGAGCTGGCGACGGGCTGGGAGATGGGCAGCGCTGTGAACGCTCTGGTGGGGATCCGAGGGGGCATCGTGGGGGCGGGGGGTGCGAATGCCGACTTTTTGATTTTCTTATAGACTCGAAGAGCGCGAGCCTGACGACGTCTGGAAATATCGAGAAGCTTCAGCGCGGCGACCCCCGCAACTCCACGTGCAGACCACGTTTCCCGGGTCACCGAGATTAGAACTACATCGGCAATCTAAATCCCCTCGTGCAACTCTTTCTCCCTGTCCGCCATGGCCCCCTCGTCCTTCCCCCTGCTCGCCCGCGTCCTCGCCCACGCCCAGTCTGCCCCGGACTCGACGGCCATCGTCGATGTTGCCCAGTCACTTTCCATCTCTTATGCCCAGCTCTGCGCCGACAACCTCGCGCTGACCTCCCTCCTCTCTCCCCTTATCCGGGAGCCCGAGACCCGCGTAGTTGTACTCTGCGAGAAGGGATACCTGGTACCGCTCACTATGCTCTCCACATGGACGGCTGGTGGCTTGAGTGTCCCCGTTTTGCCTTCGCTGCCCATCCCAGAGCAGGCATATATGGCGAGCAACAGCGACGCCCGATTGGTCGTCTGCGATGCAAAGAACCGGCTCCGGGCTGAAGAGCTCAAATCAGAGATACTCAAGGAGAACGTCTCTGCGGAGGTACTCGAAGTCAGCTTGGAGACTATCCGAAAAAGCAGCCCCGCGCAAGACGCCGTGTCCGAGCTTGCTACCTTGCCCCAGTTGGACGGCGAGCGAAGGGCCATGATGCTTTTCACCAGCGGCACCACCGGGCGTCCCAAGGGCGTAGTCACCCGGCACTCTGCCCTCGCCGCCCAAGTATCAGCTGTCGCCGACACCTGGCACTGGTCGCCTTCCGACAACCTCCTGCACGTCCTGCCCCTCAACCACCTCCACGGTATCGTCGTAGCACTCTTGCCCACCCTGTGGGCAGGCGCGACGGTAGAGCTTTGGGAAAAGTTTGATGGGCCAGCGATCTGGAAACGATGGATCAACGAGCAAGGTCTTGAACCGATCACAATGTTCTTTGGCGTGCCCACAGTCTACTCTAGGCTAATCCAGACCCATGCTACCTTTTCTCCAGAGCTGCAAGCCGCAGCTACGGCAGGCTCCTCCAAGCTCCGTCTGCAAGTCTCTGGCTCTGCGCCCCTTCCGGAGAGTGTCAAGAAGACTTGGGAGAAGGAGGGTGGTGTTGGTGGTGGGCAGGTGTTGCTCGAGAGGTATGGGATGACGGAGACTGGTATCATCGCCAGCAACGGCTGGGAGACTGAAAAGCGTGTCAAGGTGAGCATCCCTTTTTGTATGAGGTCCAGGGCTGATGAAAGTAGGGGCACGTTGGATATCCTCTCACCGGGACCCGAATCCGACTCTGGTCCGAAGAATCTCAAACCCCCATCACCGTCCCTGATACCCAAGGCGAAGTGCAAGTATCTGGTCCCCCAATCACCAAAGAATACTGGCGCCTACCCGAAGCCACTGCCAACGAATTCATCGACGGGTGGTTCAAGACTGGTGATGTCGGTGTTTGGTCATCAGAGCCGGGGGCGGAGGGGCAATTGAAAGTGTTGGGAAGGAAGAGTACCGATATTATCAAGAGCGGGGGAGAGAAGATTAGTGCGGTGGAGATTGAGAGGGCCATTTTGGAGCTGCCTGGCATGAAGGACTGTGCTGTTGTGGGTGTGGAGAATGAGGAGTGGGGGCAGGTCGTAAGTCTCCTTATTTTGAGACGACTGGCTGTGGCTGATGCTGTACAGGTGGCTGTCTGTTTGGTCACCTCTCGACCTCATGTGTCGGTCAAGGATCTTCGAGAGGAATTGCGAAGCGTTATTGCCCCTTACAAACTTCCCAAACTTCTCAAACTTTACGACAATGAGATTCCTAGGAACGTGAGTCGTTTTCATGAATGTTTCTCCACATGCTTACTTGTCCATCAGAATATGGGTAAAGTCAACAAGAAAAAGCTCGTCCTTGAGGCGTTCCCCAGCGGAGCCTAATCCGCAGTAAATATACCACTTGAAATTACAACGAACATGCATGAACGATTATGCGATAGCGTCCACCCGCCGAGGGACAACTAGTGATATCTTTGGGAATCCGCCCATCCCATCTTCTGACCTTTTCATTGCTAATTGCTTGTGTGAATATGACAAGTTTCCCAGCACCAAACTCTGTGACAATGGGTCAGCGGAGCCAAGAAGAAAAAAGGAAACGACGTACTTGGTCTATAAGACTTGCAAGGATGACGATTGTATCTTCGATGGTGATTGTGCCGTCTTCCACTTCTCCGGTACCTTCAAATACTTGCCCAGCTGCTACAGTAAAGACCCACGTCGGACATCGGCTATTCTGTCTCGCTTGGGGGTCGAGGTCATAGTACGCTGTCAACCTGATGAGACTGTCAGTACGGCGCGTCCATTGAATGTCTCATCTTAGAGTACTTACGCAGATCTATACAAGTTGCGCCAGACCAGCATCTCTCCCCGCTCATACAACATCAGCCATATACTCCTCCGTCTGAACCACTCTCTCTGCTCGTCTAAGATCCGCCGCCAAACTGGGACATTGCCCGTTTTGAAGGCTTGTATCAAGGGGTAAAAGTGCGGCAGGTCGTACTGTTGCAGTGTCTCAGTGGAGGGAAGAAGACCAAGCAGGAGGTTCACGGGGATCAACCGTATCAGGATAGATCTGCATCAGTGCGTTAGCAATGGCCATTGATGTTCAGGCGGTGAGCCCACCTCTTCTGCTTCCAGCTCATATCATCTTCCGGACACATCCTCCAAGCCTTATTCAGCCAAAACACTGCTCCCCTCATATCCAAAAGCAGAACTCCGAGCTTTCCCCGCCAGTAATAGCTCTGACAAATGTCGGTAGCCGCTATGAGAAAACCACGAGAGGCAAGGCGTTTGTCCTCTGCAGGAGAGAGGTTGTGCAGGGATTTCTGGAGCTCGGTGGATTGGGTGTGAAGTTTACGCTCGGCATATATCCGAAAGAGGATATTGGCGAGAGGCCAGATAATATCGCCTACGGAATGCTCCTGCGCCGCCTCCGACTCCCACTCTTCTGCGCTCATCGAAGAACTCGCGATCTGTATAGACCGCTCGATCACTTGACGCGTAGCATCCCGGATAGAGCGTGCTGATCTGGAGTGCCGCAGTGGGTATGTAGAGAGGGAGGCGGCGGTGGAGGATCTGTAAACCACGAGTCGAGCGAATTGGAGGATGAGGGGATTCAGGAAGGGGTAGAGGTATGGGCCGTCTGGTGAGGATGTGCCGTAGATTTTGTTTGCTTCGCTATTCAAGCGTTAGTAGCCGATGGAGATGATCTCGTATGTACGCACCTGTAAGCTTGCTGGAACGCCGCAAAGTCTTCATATGCTCGCTCGCTTTCAGATGGTGCAGTAGAGCCCTTGATGAAACGCAAGACGGCCGAGATGAGAGCCGCAACATTGTCCTTGACATCAGTTGGCGTTGCGCTGACATAACTGCCCAGACTTGCAGGGGCTATATGAGAGGGAGAAGTCTGCTATAGATGAGTCTCTGATTCTTTCGGTCCTTGAAATACTCACGTTTGCCAGAGCTTGCCTGAGAGGAGCGAAGAAGGGGTGGGCTTCGTCGAGGGGGATGGAGGAGAGGAGGCTGTGTGCTGATGCCGAGGCAAAGCATGTGGCGATGTGGGACACAAACTGGGCGACGATGCTCTCCATCCTGCGAGGTTGCACGTCCAATGCTCGTTGAGATGCAGGTCGAACGACGCTGAACGGCGACCGCCGCTTCTGCCTCCACCACGGACGTTACTACTGACGCTGAACATCTCATCAACATCTCATTCTTCATTCTCCAACACCCAACATGTCATCCACCGGCTGGGAAGTCCGCTTTTCCAACTCCCGCCAGCTCCCCTACTTCTACCACGCCCAGCAAGCCACCTCCACCTGGGAGCCCCCTGCCGACCTCACCCCAGAGCAGATCCAGCAGCTTCCGGGCGCGAGCCAGTATCTCAACCCCCAGACAAAGCCGCCTGGAGGCAAGGACGGCCAGGCTAGGGCTAGCCACATCCTGGCCAAGCATTCCGGGAGTAGGCGACCGGCTTCTTGGAGGAGTGTCAGTTTGTCACGTTGTAGTTGGGGCGTCGCTCATGTTTCTGTAGGACAACATTACGATCTCTTCCGCCGAAGCCCAGTCCATCATCGAGAAGCACGTCGCATACCTCAAGTCTCTTCCTAAGGAGCACCTCGCTCGAGAGTTTGCCAAGATTGCTTCTACCGAGAGCGACTGTTCTAGTGCAAAGAAGGGAGGCGATCTGGGATGGTTTGGCAGGGGACAGATGCAGAAGCCTTTCGAGGTGAGTAGACGAGTGTCCTAGTAACTTGAAGTCTAACGCAATGACAGGACAACACCTTCTCCACCCCCATTGGAGAGCTCAGTGACATTGTCAAGACCGATTCCGGTGTCCATGTCATTCTCCGAACTGGATAAGCGTCTTCATGCCCATTCATAGGGAAGCAGGTCAAAACGTCGTTTACAGCAGCAGACGCATGTATGTTATGATGATATGATAGAGTACGACTGTATGTGATCATAACGCTCCCAACCTTCAGAAGTGAACCAAGGTAGTCACAACAAGTTATGATGTGCTATTGCGAGTACAATGCAACGTGTGCATTGCCCCTGAGTTCCAGCCGGATATGGCCCGCTAACAGTGGTAGTTGCTTCAATCAACATAGACCTCTCGAGAGTGGCCAAAGACTAACAGGTTCATAACTTTGACTTGCCCCCCGGCCCCTTCCCCCACCCATCCCACGCCGGATGTACCTTGCTCGCATCGCTCCACCTCGGATCCACCGCCACCGACCCTTGCGCTCCAGAGCTTCCAACAGGTATTGGGGAGTTTGAGATGGTGTGGTGTATGCGCGTCTGCACTGATGGTATAGAGAAGGAGGAGGATATGGAAGCGGGGTGGATCGCTGATGAGGGAGGTGGTGGACGAGAGGTGGCGGGTGTTTGCACGGTAGGGCGTTTATCTCTGGATATCATTTCGAGAGCTTGATGTGGGGCTGTTTCTTGTTTTTATGAATAGTATAGCCAGTCGACAGAATCCCAACTCGTGGATCGATTCAAGTCATGAAGTCATCGAGGTGTGGATTGGGAGAGTATCTGAAAAGCAGTTAAAAATGCGCATTGCAGCCCAAAGATCTTGGGCCCAGCCGCCCAGCAGCAAAGTTGAACGATCCATGAGCGCCAAATCACAGCTTAGAACAGAAGCTCTGTCACCTTTGGACAGCAGTGATCTCAGTACATATAAAATGCCATCAAAGTCGTCTACATAGTGCACACTATGTAGAATGGGCTACACAGAGCTTTGCACTCGCTTGTCGTCTCCCCATACTCCCCCGCCTTACCATCCTTCTATCGACTCCCCCTCTAATCTCCTGGTCGATTCAACCCCAGATTATCTTCCCGCAGATACTCATCTTCAGCCCTCACCAGCATCCCAGCAGCTCGAGTAATCATGTCATACAACCATTCTGCACCTCGCATGAAATCCTCTTTGCTGCTAACCAGAGTCGGTGGAGATGAAGGAGACATGGGGGGCTGTCCGATACGGCGAGGGCAAAAAGCATGAGACTGACGTTGAGAGGAAGTAGCGTAGGGATGGAACGTAGGGCTTGGACGCTGTGATCGTTGTTTGTAAGGTGAAGAACCATGTGTCGGTTTTTGGGCCTCGGGATGTCGAGCAGGCGCATATTCCTCTTGACCAGTCCCTTCTCTAGTCCCGTAAAAGTTCGCGTGATAATCCGGTCGAGTCTGGGCGTGAGCTTGGGCCATGATTGCAGCCATCCGCCGCGATATGATCCCGTGGGTACCCGTATCAGAGCCATGGCTTTTTGGCGATATGGGAGAGGTGTATTCTCCTGACTGTAAATGGTGGGGGGTATGCTGCATGGTTTGACGAGGAAAGAGAGAATATTCAAGACAATCAGAAGGCGGCTGCTAGTAGAACATTTGGCGACGTGACGTGAGCACGCATCTCTTTTGCTTATGAAGAATCTCACCAGCATCTTCCGTTCCTCAGCCCACCAGTTTGGTGGCATCACCCCATACCTCGCATTGTTTTCCATTCCCTGCCTATTCATTCGAGTATCTTCGGGGGGCGTAGGGCTTCTCCGCAAGGGAAAAAGAAGCGGCAACGGTCTATCCGTACCCCGACTCCTCTTCCAAAGCGCACACGCATTGCACAACGTACCCCTCCACTGTGGGGTATCCCTTTCACCACAGTTGGTGCATTGGCGGTCGTTTGTGGGGGTGCGAGGTGGAAAGCGGGAGCCTTGGTTGATGTTGGAGGAACGTTTGCGGGTGGAAGGTGGGTTGGTGCGGGTGGGTTCGGAAGGCAGGGGAGAGGACTTGGCAATCGAGTCTTTCGAGTTTTGAGGGGTCACAGCTCGAAGAGGAGGTGAAGCAGGTTCAGACGACGGGAAGACCAATATGACAGGAGCTTTTCTTTCGGGAGAGGCAGACATGGAAGTGTTTGAGGATGATCGCGGCTCAGGGCTCATGGTGGAACTTTTGTCGATAGTGGGAGCGTAGCGGCCGGGCTCAACGGACATGACATTCTGTCTTTATATTAAGCATGACCTCTGTTAATGTCCGGTACACAAAGCTGAAAGCAAGGCGGTGATCAGACTCACCTTGAAAGGAACGTATATATCCCCGATGAATCGATGGTGATCAAGGAAGGGTTTCACACTCCTTTTGATAGACTTTCTGTGATATCTTTCCGACGACTCCTGGTATCAATGAATGGGCGTATTGAGCTGATCCCACCTTTCTCTAGCCCCAGGGAGACCGGATGAATCGATATCATTCGCTACCCTCCCTCTTGATCATTCTAGACAGGAGAAGCAGATCCAACCTTTGGGGCTGTGTTTAATGTTTGGATCGATGAACAAAAGTGATCAGCAGAGCGGGCGAGACCTCCTTATCCTCCTTGATGTCGCTTGATTCCATGCTTTGAGGTAACGAGACGAACGAGATCGAATGAGTTCTTTCTTCCGGAGGCTGATTCGAGAGATACATCAAATCGAAAGGAGCGAGAAAGTGATTCTGAAACGGCGGTGATAGATGAGCGATCCCCCCGTATATAAGTCCAAATAGCCCCTGGAGTCTTGGTTGACCAAGTCATGTATCGTAGAAGAGCCTCCGCTGTGTCCTTTCATGGAAACCTGATGTCAAAGGAATTGATGAAGACCCTGAGCGATTATCCCGGACGGTGATTGATCGCTAGGGGCACACCGGTGCTCGAAAGACTGGCCTGAGAAACAACGGTACGCATGGCGGTACTCACTCAGCCGCAGGGTGACAGATAAAATAGCGAGGCTGCCCCCATACACGCTACTCGTACGATCGTTTGATGTCGTCGCGCCCTTCTCCATTGTTTTGCAACCTTGAGGCTTCCACGATGCTAGGTCTACGGGTTGCATGACAGCATTGAAGACCGCCCATTATGGAAAAGATGTCGGGTGATACGCAGCACACCGTCTCACAAAGAGACATCGGAGACCCAAGCTCCGGGTATGGCGAGAGAAAAGGTTGGTTATGAGGGGATTTAGATGCAGGGAATAGGGGGAAGATGCGAGACCAAAGACGACCATCGAAACAAGTCGCGAGGGAATCACGATGATGCACGAGGGCAAGGAATAGGGAGGCGGGGGATATTTTCTTGAAGTTGGGGATTTTACATCTCCTCCTCCTCGATGGGGATCTCCTCGTCACCGTAGATCTCGTCATCGGCACCAGCCTCCTGGTATTGCATGTACTCGGAGACCAAGTCTTGCAAATTGGATTCGGCCTCGGACTACAAGTCTGTCAGTGAAGGCACATACTCCGAAGAGACCGACTTACGAATTCGAGCTCATCCATACCCTCACCAGTGTACCAGTGGACGAAAGCCTTTCGCCTGTACATGGCAGAGAACTGGTCACCGATTCGCTTGAAGAGCGATTGGATAGAGGTGGAGTTGCAGATGAAGGTAGAGGACATCTTGAGACCACGAGGAGGAATGTCACTGAGAAATGATTAGCGTGACAAACAATAAGAGTCCAAGCGGCATACCATTGAGCGGCGGAGATGTTTCCGGGGATCCACTCGACAAAGTAGGCAGAGTTCTTGACCTGGACGGACTGGATCTGGTCCTCAACCTCCTTCATAGAGACTTTGCCTCGGTAGTAGCAGGCAACAGTGAGGTATCGCTATGAAACGTCAGTCACTGACCAATGTACATCCTTGATCACTTACACCGTGACGGGGGTCAGAGGCAGCCATCATGTTCTTGGCGTCAAACATCTGCTGAGTGAGCTCAGGAACAGATACAGCTCGGTAGCTGGCGGAACCCCGAGCGGTAAGAGGAGCAAAGCCGACCATGAAGAAATGGAGACGAGGGAAGGGCACCATGTTGACGGCCAACTTTCGCAAGTCAGAATTGAGCTGACCGGGGAATCGAAGACAGGTGGTGACACCAGACATGACGACGGAGACGAGGTGGTTGAGGTCACCGTAGGTAGGGGTGTTCAACTTGAGAGTACGAGAGCAAATGTCGTAAAGAGCTTCGTTGTCGATACAGAAGGTCTCGTCAGAGTTCTCAACAAGCTGGTGGACGGAGAGGGTGGCGTTGTAAGGCTCAACAACGGTGTCGGAAACCTTGGGAGAAGGAATGACGGAGAAAGTGCACATCATTCGGTCGGGGAACTCTTCTCGGATCTTGGAGATCAAGAGCGTACCCATACCGGCACCGGTACCACCACCAAGAGAGTGGGTGATCTGGAAACCTTGGAGGGCGTCACAGCCTTCAGCCTCTCGTCGGACGACGTCGAGAACAGAGTCGACAAGCTCAGCACCTTCAGTGTAGTGACCCTTAGCCCAGTTGTTACCGGCACCGGACTGACCAAAGACGCTGCAGTATGTCAGCCTTTTGCTTCAGATTCACCATACGACGTACAAGTTGTCGGGCCTGAAGAGGCTTCCCAAGGGACCACCTCGGATGGAGTCCATGGTTCCGGGCTCGAGGTCAATGAGGACCGCACGGGGCACGTACTTGCCGGCAGCGGCCTCGTTGTAGTAGACGTTGATTCGCTCGAGCTGGCTGTCGGTGGTACCCTTGTAGGAACCATCGGCCTGGATGCCGTGCTCCTCAGAGACGACTTCCCTGTATCACATGTCAGTCGACGCGTTGCTGGTGATCAAAGAGGCGCAGCTCACCAGAACTTGGCACCAATCTGGTTACCACATTGACCGGTCTGAAGGTGGACGATCTCTCGCACTGAACGGCCCATGATGTAGGTGTAAGAAGGGAGACGAAAAGAGGATCAAGAAAGGAAATGTAAAGATGTTGCGATCAAGAGGTTGGAGGGACACAAGTGTTAGCAGGGCGTCCGAGCGTAGTCACGGCGCAGGGTGGAGGATGGCGCGTTTCGAAGGGGAGGTGGTTACATACACGTCAGCTCGTGCACAGGCCCGTGATTTTTTTAGCGAAGAGATCTTCTGTTACGCACTCTTGGATGATTACGGGGTTGAGATTGGGTGGTAGGAGGGCAGAAAGAGTGGCAGGGAGAATTTGTTGGGACTGGCAGTCGCAGGGAAAAGAGACAAGAGAGCAAGAACGAGCCTTTCCACCGCGGCTGCCCAGGGTCCCTGCCGTGTTTGAGCGCGTTGGGCAGGACGCGTCGATAATACCGTAATCCCGTTGTGGCACCTCTCCCTCAACTCCAAAAAAGTCTTCTTTCGCTCGGTATGGCTCTCCCATGAGCATCGGAAAGCTTACAGTGCTCGAGTAGTGCACGTCAAAGGAGATGCCTTCTTCTTTGGGATATCTACCCCCGATCCATCTTGTAAGAAGCCATGCTTCCGGAGATCCGTCTTGCTACTGTGCGGAGGGTCAAGAGTCTTCGAGTTAATTTACGCACACCTCGTCGGGCTCTGGAGTTCTTCTCGGTCATAGTATTCTTTCTCATGCAGCATATATTAGGCATAATGGCAGCTGATTTTCCCCAACCTTTATCTGCCGCCCAACACATTTACAATGCCACGAAGTCTATCTCCAGTTGGCGCTCTTCAAACCAAGAACGTTGAGTTTGCCAAAGATCACCCCTTCTACTTCATCACCCCACCAAGCAGCTCGTTCCGCAACGAGTCGTCTCGCTATCTCGGAGAAGAGCTCGACCATACTACTTTCGTCGCCCGGGCGTCACAGGACGATCCCTCAAACGTAGACGCGTTGACCAGGACATACGACTGGGAGACAACGGTACCGGATACCGTTCAAAAACGCTCAGGACTGCTTTATAAAGACTCACACCAGAGTGGAAAGTGGGTGAGGCACGAGTACGCGATTGAAGCATCGAGTCGCCCCAAGGCTCGGCTCTCCGGGAAATTGTCTCGCCTACTCGAGGAAGATGATGGAGAGGCTGTAATTACGCTGCCAATCCAAGAGAGTCGTTTTTCCGCCCTCGATGAAAGCCTTTGGGATTCCGAGTCGTTAGACCTTCATTTCCAGCATGTTTCGTTGGATGAGAACCAGGTGCCTCTCGTCAGTACAGGCGGTAGCAGACCATGGGACTATGAGGCCGCATGGCTTTTGGAGATCGATGATTCTTTAGATGTCTCTCTGGCTGGACACACTACTGATACAGGCTTTCCAGCCGTAGTCCATCCCTGGCTCGTGTTGCGAGTATTCTCACATGAGACCGGCCACCGCCCCAAAAAGATATGATACAGGTAGTGATGATGCATTTGATAGACCTGCATGCATGCGCGGCATATGATGGAGATGCCTTGCCCGCATCAGCTTCCATGTTGAAGTATTCAGGCAGAGACTGACCAACTGGTGGACGGATCAAGGCAAAGCAAGGCAAGAGCAAGGACGGAGAGGAGCTCCTCCTGGCTTTTCGGCGTTCCCCGAGAGCGGAAGCTAAATTAAGCATACTCTCGGGTTTGACCGAGATGATTTTTGGAATACATATACAGCCGGCAACTGGGAGAGGTGACCACGCAGATCGATGGCAGGCAAATTCTCCCCATTTCTATCTTGTCCATCATCTTGACCACTGGGGATCCTTGCGAACCAGAAGCCATAAAAGCGAGCTGCCCTTTTCAAACAGACACTTAACCTCAACCCAAGGGTGACCATTTTATCGATATCAACTCCCGCTTGTCACTTGACTCGCCTCTCCCTATCAGCACTCGCCTATTAGCTCGCCCCTCGTCTTCTCGCCACACTAGTATTGCCAAATACTATTCCGCCTCCTGCTGTCACCCATCAATGACAGCGACCAGCCCGTTGTCACCGCCAACTACCCTTGGAGTGCGGCCCACCGATGATGCTCCAACGCCCGGTTACGAGTCTCAGGCGCCGCTTGGTAGAACTCTGACCAGTGGCAGTGCTCATGCTCAAAGTGCACTGAGGCGCATGGCCACGCATGAGACCGGGGATTATGCTGAGGGAGAAGACAGAAGACCTGAAGGTCTGGATACGCATGACGAGGATCAAGAAGATAACCCTCGGGACGTCGGGAGAAACTCTGAAAATCCAGAAGGGAGCGACGAAGAGAAGAATATAGAAGGCAAACACTCCAGGGGAAAGAAAAAGGAGGCTGAACTTCAAGATCAGACCAATCTTTTACCCACCAAGCAGGTGATTCTTGTCTTTTGTGGCTTGACTTGCGCCCTTTTCTGCAGTTTATTGGATCAGACCATGTGAGTGACAAGGTGGAATATGATTCGGGAAATGCTGACTTGTGTTGCTTAAGTGTGACCACCGCTTTACCTACGCTTGGCCAAGTCTTCAACCGAGCAGACATCGCCCCATGGGTCGGCACGGCTTATCTCTTGACCTCGACTGTAAGTGATTAGCACCACGTTCGTATTGGGTTCTAAGCTGACGTCCCAAATAGACCGCGCAGCCCATCTATGGAAGGATATCGGACATCTTTGGGAGAAAATTCACCCTGCTGGCATGTCTTTTCATATTCTTGATGGGTTCTTTGGCTTGTTCTCTAGCGCAGGTATGCACGGGCCGTCTTATCTCCACCCACAGCTGACGCGTCTCAGACTATGATACAACTTATCGTCTTTAGGGCCATACAGGGTCTTGGAGGCGGTGGTATTCTGACTCTGTCCATGATCATCAGTAAGTGCATCCCTTCAACTATGAATGACGCCTGACGCGGGAGCAGTCTCCGACGTGGTGTCGCTGAAAGAGAGAGGAAAGTACCAGGGCATAAACGGGGTGGTGATCGCCCTTTCAAACTCCCTCGGCCCGATATTAGGAGGTGTCTTTACGGAAAAGGTCACTTGGCGATGGTGTTTTGTCAGTCTGCACAATCATATGTGTCGTCCTTCAACTGACATTCTTCTAGTACATCAATCTGCCCATCACATCGCTCTCCATAATCATCATCATATTCCTTCTACCTCTTCGCCGAGTACGTGGTAGCATGTGGGGAAAGATCAAAAAACTCGACTTTTGGGGCTCTCTCCTCACCCTCGCATGGGCCGTACCCTTCCTCATCGCGCTCTCTTGGGCAGGGGCACGGTATTCTTGGGATTCTGCTCCGGTGTTGGCTCCTCTCCTGATCGGACTCGCCTTGTTGGGCGTTTTTATCTTTGTGGAAGCCAAGCTTATCAGCTTGCCACTTGTGCCCATGCACATCTTCAACAATCGGTCGACAGCAGCAAACTATTTCACCACTTTTATGAATGGGCTCAGCTTTTACGCCACCCTCTACGTGAGTGGCTCCCACGTCTCCATCTATCCTGCTGACTTGGTGTATAGTACCTACCGCAATACTTCCAGGTCGTTCGAGGAGACTCGGCCATCCGCTCCGGTGTCCTCACCCTTCCCCTCATGCTCGTACAAACAGTATCATCATTCGCCTCTGGTATCCTAGTCAGCAAAACAGGAGACTACTGGTGGAACCTCGTCACCGGGTTCTCCATCTGGACAGTTGGCCTTGGTTTGCTATCTAGCATTGGCACAGATACCAGTATAGCCAAGCTATGCGGCTACCAGGTCATTGTCGGTTTCGGTGCCGGGCAGACGTTCCAGACGAGTCTGGTGGCTATTCAAGCGAGCGTGGAGAGAAAGGACATGGCGACGGCGACTGGACTGAGAAACTTCCTGCGTATGTTGGGTGGAACGATCGCGTTGGCGGCTTGTACGTCTATCGTCAACAACAGCGTGAAGAAGAATCTGCAGGGAGTGTTGGGGGACGCGCAGTACCAGATTATCTTGAACGATCCCACTCAGGCGCAGAGCTTGGGATTGAGTGCGTCGCAGTTTGCAGCGGTGACGGCAGCCTATGGTGAGTCATTGACGACATCAACCTTGGATAGAGTACTCATTTCGTAATAGCACAAGGTATCAGGGAGGTATTCTGGTTCTGTACCCCCTGTATCGGTATATGTGTGCCGGTCACTGCTTTCCTCGTCAAGAAGATCAGCCTGAAGAGGGAGGACGATGCCGTCAAGAAGGCAGAGTCCAAAGCATGGGTGGAAAGTAAAAAGGCAAAGAAGAAGGCTCGATCAAATAGGCTGGGTAGCGAAGACACCGCGGTCGCTTCCGAGAGGGAGACTCAGAACAAGAAGAGCAGCGAAGAATCTCATTCTACATAGTTTGAGTCTTGCGATCGCGTTCATATGTTCAGTGTTGTACTATATGCTACCTCCATGCTGTGAAATGACTATTCGTAACCCTACGCTTCAATCGTCTCAAGCTCGTCTCCAACAGACCATCGCCTCATGCCGACAACTTTCACTACAACCCCCTTCTCCTTGCCCCACTCGGCCAACACCTCCTTGACGCTCCTCGAATCGCCCTGGAACATCATGAACGCCTGCTCCATCAACACCTCCTCGTCTTCCACGGCACGGTCCCCACGCTCGATAGCTTTTGTGGGGAAGCCGACGACCTGTCGGGCGACAGTACGGGCCAAAGACTCGAGAGACTTTTCGAGCGCGTCGCCGCCTGGGCCATGAATGATAGAGGCGATCGGCTTGTCGGCCTCGGCGCCAGTGACTGCCAGGACGACAACCCCGCCGACCTTTCCTTCCTTGTCGCTAGATCCACCGTGGGCGTAGCCACCGGGAACGAACCTGACTGTGGGGGTGGAGGGGAAGGGAGCAGCGAAAGAGACTGCTCGCAATAGACGCAAATTCTCGCCAGTCTGAGACAGAGACGACAGAAGGCTCTGTTTTATTGTTGTTGGTTCTGATGTGGGAATGGGGGCAATGTTATCAGAGCTGGTATCTGAGGGCAGGGAGATGACGGGGGCTGAGAGGAGAGATTCGGTAGGGAATTCGAGGATGGGGTCGGGAATACTGGCCGAGTTGGAAAGAAGCTTGGGTTTTTCGTGCTCTCCGGGGACGTCCAAGAAAGCAGTCGTCTCCGCAACCCCTCGAGCAGTCTTCAAAAAGACATCGTTCCTAGCCACAAAGTCTGTTTCGCAACCGAGGTGGACCATGCCTACCCTCTTGCCTCCTAGTAGAGATATGGTGATTACGCCCTCATTGGTATCTCTGCCCGATACCTTGGCTGCCTTCTTCTCGGCACTGGCCGAGGTAGTAGTGCGAAGATAATCGAGGGCAGCTTCGAGGTCGAGGTTGGAGCGCTCGAGAGCTTCTCTGGCAGCCGCGAGGGGAACGGGGTGAGATTTTCGGAGAGCCGCGATGAGGGATACGGGTACTTTGGTCTTTCCCTCTGCAAGGCGAGCGGGTGTAGTGTGGAGCGACCTGGAGATGGCCGTTCTGAGAGAAGATTTTGGGAGAAGGCCCAACATCTTATATAGGTGTGAAAGCGCTGAATGTAGAAGATAGGGAAGAAGAGCAAAAGTCGAAACTGGCTTGTCCTGGTGCGAACGGCCGATCTGATTGGCTCAGTCGCTACAGCGTACGGCATGCATATGCGTAGTGCTACACCCCGCTCTGGGTACCCCTGTATATTCATCCCCATGCATGCATGCGCACCATGAAGACAAGCTCAGAGTATGTTGAATACATAATAGCCGGCTTCAACCAGGCTTAAACACACCTCCACTTAAATTTCACGCCAGTTCCAAAAACAACTAACCAAATCTCAAAAGTCAGATCGCGCACTACTGACCACCGACTTCCAGGCGAACGAGCATGGCAAAGCGCAAGAGGGACTCTCTCCCTCCCACCGCCTCCCCAGCTCCCATAGCCCCCCCCTCGGCTGCCCCTGACGAGGACGAGGGCAAGGCCCATGTCGTCGTCCAGCTCGCCGACGGTTCCAAGGCCTGGAGAGGGAAGCTCAGTGAGTGGCACTCTGTGCACATAGTCTTGACTGACTGAGTAATAGAGCCCAAGCGAACTTTTGATCAATGGGTCCCAAAGATCGTTGAGCGACTCGGCGTCAGCGCTAGTCCAGACTTAAGAGTCCTTCACGTTCGAGATGGTGGAAAGGAAGTTGAGATTCTTGACGGTGAGAAGGCGTTTGGCTATTGCAATCGCGGCCTTGGCTGACGTTCTATCCCAGACTTTGATTTCTCGGCTCTCAAGTCTAGAGCTGCTTCAGCTACTACGCCCCTGACGGTCAAGATCTACACCCCATCTACCAGCAACAAGAAAGCAGCCCTTCCTCAAACCCCTACCCCCGCTGCTGCTTCCAAAACACCCAACAACACACCAGCTACTGTTCAGAAATCCAAGAAAAAAGGAAAGGGCGAGGTTTCAACACCCCCTGCCCCCCCTTCTGCACCGGCAACGTCCAAGAAGAACAAGGAGAAAGCGAAGGCTATTCCTCAGCCCGACCTGCCGCCCGTCATCCAGACAGATAGACCTTCTCAGCCCTCTCCTGCTCCCCCAATTGCGCCTGCGACCAAGACAAAGAAGAGGAAGCGTGACTCCACATCTTCGAATGTCGAGGAGGCCCCTGCGTGTTCCACCCCGGGACCCTCTCAGCATGATCAAGGATCCAAGAAGAGCCCATCTCCCACTCAGCCCAAGAAGAAGCAGAGAAAGAGAACTTCTCAGGTATCTTTACCTCCAGCCTCCCCGGCTCAGAAGGCTCCCACCTTCTCTTTGAACGCCCCCTCGCCGGCTACTGCCACGGGCAATCCCTTCCCATTCTCATTCTCCCCTGCCAACTACAACAAATACAAACCCGCCAAACCTAGTCCCCTTGGGAGAATGGACAATCCTATGGAATCTGAGGGTGAAAAGGAGACGGAGAAAGATGGCAAGCAGAAGGCGCGCAAACCGAGAAAGAAGAAGGAGAAAGCTGCTGCTGCTTCCGAGGCTTCTAGCGTTTCTAAGGCCCCAGAGGCCCCAATTCCTGCCCCCGTCTCTACCCCTGCCAAAGAAACCTCTGTATCTGCGCCTGCACCCTCCACTCCTGCTACTCCCGATAACACGACTCCGAGTAAAACTAGGAAGCCGAGGGCAAAGGCAACTCCGAAGCCGACCACTCCGAATGTGTCTAATGAGATCATGAGGAAGCATCGTGAGAAGCTGGCTGCTGAGGCTGCTGAGGCTGCCGCTAAAGACGCAGGAATCAGCGCCCCCGAAGGTAATCAGGCAATCAGATGGCCATTCGTGAGCTGACATCCGGCTGCTCGCAGTGTCCACCCCCTCTCGCGACGAAGCTCCTGCTGAAGTTCAGGCTCAAGTCACTCCAAAGGGAAAGACCGCGACCAAGGATCGTCCAGCTGGCACAAGTGACCTCGCAGGCAAGTTCAGTTATCGTTTCGGCAGGCAACTCTTGCTGACTTCTAGGCTTAGCTTCTTCAACACCTGCCTCTGCACCTGCCTCTGCACCTGCCTCTGCACCTGCCTCTGCACCTGCCTCTGCACCTGCCCCTTCCCAGCCCTCGACGCCCACGCCCAAATCTGCTTCCAAAGCCTCGAAAGGCAAAGCTCCTGCGAGACCCAAGCCAGGTCCTCGTGCCAGTCTGGCCGCAGAGATCGCGGCACAGATCCTCAGAGAGACACAGGCGAAAGAAGCCGCTGCTGAAGCAGCCAAGGAGAAAGAGCTGGAGAGGGAGGCGGAGGACGATGCGATGGAAGTCGACGCTCCCGCTGCGGTCTCTTCTCCAAATGCCGGTCCATCATCATCCAATACATCTTCACTGCCTGAACCTTCCACTCCCGCTTCCGGATCGGGCAAGAAGACAAAGTCCAAGAAGGTGGCTTCCCGAGCCAGTATATCGACCAACAACACGCCGAATCACGAGGATGTGGAAAAGGAGGCAGGTGATGCCAATGAGCACGAGGAGCCCCAGGGAGTTGTTGAGACGGCTGAGAGACAGCCGGAGGTTGAGGTCGAGCGTGCGCCAGATGTGTCAAATAAGGTACAAGCGGATGGAGACCTCGAAACGCGAGAAGAGGAGAGAGTTCAGGAGCCTGGTGAGTATCATGATTGGAAGGGCAAGGGTCAGTGCTAATCATGAACCCAGTTGCGGATCCCACTCAGGTTCCACTGCCCCCTCCAAAGCAACCAGAGTGCATCATCTGTCAAGGTCTCTCCCACCCTCAAGTTGAATGTGAAGTCGTCAAAGCGGGTATTCCTCGTCTGCGACAGGTGTTGGCTGAGAGATGCACCGAGGAGAATTCCGAGGCGGCTGTGAAGGCTATCGAGATGTGGATTCAGAGGCTTGGAAGAGTTGCCAATGCTGTGACAGGTGCCAGTCCCAAACCCTCTACACCCAAGCGAGTGGACAGTCCGAACACAACAGCACCCGCAAAGACCCCTACCGTCACCCCCCACGATGCCCCGACTTCGAACAGGAAAGCCGTGTCCGAGTCATCCGCTTCAGATGTGTCCAAATCCCCCACGCCTCCTCCTGTACCGCCAACACCACTCCCCGAATTGCCACCTATATACCATAAAGCCCTTTCGCGAAAGGCCGGTCCTGGTTCAGCCATCAGCGTCTCGGATGCAGTCATCGAGACCGGAAGCTCTGCCTCTGATACCGAGTCTGAGAGCGAATCTGATTCGGGCAGCAGTTCTGGGGTTGAGGGTAGCAGAAGCGAAGGGAGTACAAGGAGCACCCGTGCTCGCTCATCGTCCGCCTCATCGAGCTCTTCATCTGGTTCAAGCCGCGACTCGCCTTCCCCTCCACCTCCAGATCTGTCATCCCTTGACCCGGGAGCTGCTTTACGGCATTTCCTCACTGCTCCTCTTTCGCAGAAGCAAAGGCGTGCTGCTAGAGACTCTGCAGCTCATATGCAGGCCCCTGGAATAGATGACGAGGATGAGCCCCAAGTTGCTTCCGATGTAGACTCTGAAGAGGAAAGGCGCGCGAATGGGTCATTCCATAGGGGGAAGGATGATGATGAGGAAAGCCTGGTTGACGGCTACGGCTTGGATGAGGACGAAAAGGAGGATGAGAGCGTGGTCGACGAGGAAGAGCATCGGAACTCTGTTCCTGTGGTCACTCCGAATGAGGAGCCAGGACAGGGGGATGAGAGGGCAAAGTCGGTTGAAGACATCGAGGAGTCCGAATCATTCGAGACCCCCGCGGCTGTTGCCACTCAAGTCGAGGACATCGAGCAGGAGTCCGAACCAATGGACGTTGATACCGTCACGCAGTTCCCCTCTCAAGAAGGGGCCATTGACGGCGACATTCAGACTCCCCCCGATTCCTCTCAGCTGCTCCAAACCTTTGAATCCTCTAGACAGTCCTTCAGTGATCTCGCTGCCCTTGCCAGTCCCGGTGCACCTCCTAACGAACTCCCTGGCGATATCGCCATCAGAGACACTATCGATGAGGAAGACCCTTCTCAAAGGGTGGCACGGGATGAACCGTCCATTGAGATACATATTTCAAGCTCCAACAATGGCCCCATGTCTCCTCCTGCATCGGCTCCTTTGCCTTTGGAGGAGGATTCGCTCCCGGCCACTCAGATGATCCCAGAAACCCAGCTCGAAGCCGTCACCCCCACAGCGAGATCTTTACCTACTAGGAGAAGTACTCGTCAGTTGTCCAGGCAGCCTTCGATGGAACTGGAGCGGTCGCCTGATCTTCGACCTGCTGTCACATTCCAGGTCTCTCATGTTCGCAATGGGGGGGCCTCCTCACCCCCGCTTGATCTTCCTCCTTCCTCCTACCCTTTGAACAGTCAGCCTGATATCGCTCCTACACCATCTAGGCGCCGCCTTCGTTCTGCCTCTCGAGACCCTCCACCTCCCGAGGCTGCTCCTGCGCCGAGGTCTAGGAGCACGAGATCATCATCACGGCAGCTCGAGGTTCCCTCTACCCCACAACCTCCAGTGAGGCGCTCGGCCAGAAGGAACGCTTCGCAATCCAAGGATGTTCAGGCTTCCCAGCCCGAACCTGTTCCTGTACCTACCAGACGATCTTCGAGACGCCAGACGACACCTTTGGCTTCTTCGCAAGTGGATCAGCTTGATCCTTCATCTCCGCCAGCCAACCAGGCAGAGGTCGTTGAGGAGTCTCCGTTGTTCATCGCCGAGACGCAACCTAATGGATCTCAAGGAGAGTCGCAGGAAAGCCAGACCCAAAAAGATTTTGGGAGGTTCTGGAAGCATGGGGGTAGCCAAGAAAGTCCCCTCTTCATGTCACAAGGATCTCAGTATCCCCAGACGCAGGCATACAATATCTACCCCACCCTGGAATCATCGGATACCGATGCTACTCCCAAAGCCAAGACTGCGGCGCCCGAGTCATCTCCGACGGATCACATTGGAGATGCAAGGAAGAACGGTACGCTGAGAATGGGTAGTCCCATTATCGAAGAGGAGGAAGAAGAAGAAGAAGGTGCTAGTCACAAGGATGACCATGGGCGAACGCCCACCGGAGAGGACCAGTCAATGGAACAGGAGAGCGATGCGTCAGACGACGAAGTACCTATCAACTCCATACCCATCCCCCGTCCTGCGTCTCAACCCTCTCAGTCAGTGTATCCAACATTGAAACCACTTCCCCATCCAGCCTCTCAGGGAAGTAGCTTCCCAACGCTGTCCAGCCTGCCTCGTGATGTTCTCAGGGGCTTCACCTCTATGTTTGCTTCTCCATCGAAGCCGCAGCCCGAGTCAAGTAACAAAGGACAGAGCACGATGAGGGATGTGGCCGAGCAGATGCAGGGGGTAGGTGGCGATGATAGTGAGAGCGAGACTAGTGGTGACTCGAGTGAGGAGGAGCAGGAGCCGGAAAAGCTTCGAGGACGTTTTGCGGGGACCAAGGCAAAGAAGGCGAAGGCGAAGCCTGTGGTGCAGGGATGGTGATTTGTTAATTCATGATGGACCTTACAATTGCATTAGAATTCTGTACATTTTTTGGGCATACTAGTCGTTTATGAACTCTTTATATACTTACCAGTCGTGTCTCTGTCTACCACTGCCGGATGATAGTCTAGTTGTCGATGGTTTACGAATTCGCCACAGCACGACATTCGTGTCACAGTCTGGATATCAGATCAAGTTACATGCGCATGGAATACGATTGCATTCGGTCTGGATAAAGCGAGACGTGTTTGACCACGGCATATGAACAGCGAGTTCTCTTCGAGACCAGATTGAGATGTATATATATATTAAACAAGGAACCCAAGATCTTTTACACTCGAGCCCCGTGGTCTTGCACCAACACGTGATTATACCGCCATCTAGGCCCTTCGGATTGAGCTACAGTACGATTGAGAAATCGAGATGAAATCAGAGAGAGAACGAAGCCAAAGATAGAATGGTCTAGAAGCACAAAGGGACGACCGGACTGAGGCTATGCAACACGAAGCAGGGTATATGTCGATCCGGTGTTTGTCGGTCTACAGCAATGTCGGGTATGGAGAGGGTATTAATGCTGATGGATCATGAATTTTTGATTGATGTGGGTGCTATCATCTGCCGTACAAGGCAGAGGTTGCTGAGATCATTGGGATTTCGAGACTGGAAGAAGGCTGCTTAGGAGCCAGCACCTTGGCGATAGACGCAAGCAAGTCACCCCTTCTCAACGGCTTCGTGACATACTCGTCCATGCCTGCTGCAAGACACCGCTCTTTGTCGCCAATCATGGCGTGCGCTGTGAGCGCAATGATCGGTGTGCGAGGGACACCTTCGTTGGCCTCAAATTCTCGGATGAGACCAGTGGCCTCCATACCGCCCATGACGGGCATCGAGACGTCCATCTAGAGATGTTGTCAGTACAGTTGTCGATATCAGTTCACACAAGCAACACCTACCAGGATGACATCAAAGGCGGTCCTGGCTACTTGTCTTCTCTTATACTTCTCCAGAGCAATCTCTCCGTTATCGGCAACCTCTATCTTGTGCCCGGCGACCTCCATCAATTTCACAGCGAGCTTCTGGTTCACCAGATTGTCTTCTGCCAAAAGTACGCTCAAAACCGTATCCTTGACCGTGTCTCCGGGTTGAATCTGGTGAGTCTCGAGGGCAGGAACGATAGCGTTGGAGAGCTCTTGCAGTGACAAAGGAGTGGTGTAATAGGTGTTGATACCCATCTCGAGACAATCCTTGACAGGAATGGGAGACAACAGTTGCTCCGAAGAAGAAGGGAGGGCAAGAAGGCGGCGCCGAGGCTCAGGAAGAGATATGAAAGATGGATTGTCGGGGCCAATAGGCTTGTGAGAGGGTGCCAGAAGGACGATGGGGATGTATCGAAGGTATTCAATGCCCCGCAGCTCTCCAGCCTAAAAATTGTCAACAAGGGTTCACAGGTGTAAAGGACTTCACATACGGCCTTCAGAGAATCAACAATCATGGTATCAAAGACAGTCAATCCCTGATCTTGGAGCAGGTACACGTCGTTGACGGAGTGGATCACGATTGGTTTGAGACCGAGTTCTTGAAGCATATCCACGACCCCAGTCTCGTCTCCGAGAGTGTCGATGAACAAGACACTCCTTCCTGCCCAAGGCGACAGACGCTCAATGATCTGGTCCCTGGGCACGCTTGTCATCTCAGCCACCGTAGTGAAGAAGAAGCGACTGCCCTTCCCATACTCAGACTCGACCCACAGGTCACCGTTCATCAAGTTGACGAGCCTCTTCGAGATCGTCAATCCTAGACCAGTACCACCGTACTTTCTAGTGGTGGAGCCATCGGCCTGGGCAAAAGTATCAAAGATGACATCGAGCTTGTCCTGCTTGATTCCAATACCGGTGTCGGCAACACAGAACTCGAGCTCGACAGCTGCGGTCACGTAGCCCTTGACACGACAGGTCAAAGCGACTTGACCCTTGGTGGTGAATTTGACAGCGTTACCAATGAGGTTCGTGATGACTTGGCGAAGTCGAAGAGGATCGCCAATGAGTTGATCAGGCATGGAAGGATCGAGATCGAAGATGAGATCAAGTTTGTTTTGGGCAGCCTTGACACAGAGGGTCTTGAGGACAGAGAAGACAGCGACACGAAGGGAGAAAGGGATCTTCTCCATGGTCATGCGACCAGCTTCGACTATTCTGGGTGTCAGCGTACGGACACAATAGCGGGATCGATGCGATGAGCGGCGTACTCTTGGAGATATCCAGGATATCGTCAATGATGGTCAACAATGAACCCGCCAAGCTGGATACGATCATCAAGTTTTCTCGTTGCTGCCTTGTCAATTCACTCTCGAGTGTCAAGACAGTCATACCGATGATACCATTCATCGGCGTCCTGCAGAGACATCAGCAAAGCACGGGGTGCAAGGCGGTCGAGGCTTACCTGATTTCGTGAGACATGTTGGCCAAGAACTCGGATTTACTTCGGTTCGCCATTTCAGCTTCTTGCCTAGCCTTGGTGTTCTTCTCGATGGATTCTCGCAGATTGTAGACCATTTGGTTGATCTTGGTCTTCAAAGAGTCCATTTCACCAGAGGCCTCGACAGTAATGAATCTGGTAAAGTCACCATCGGTAGCGGCAGCAGAGATCTGAGCAAAGGCTCGCACTTGAGATGTCAAATTAGAAGCCATGGTGTTTACGTTTGACCTGTTCAGTGGTCAATGCTGTCCACTCATAGATTCGACTATGCTTACGTGATTTCCTGCCATGTCCCTTCGATATTTTCAACCTCAGCCTGCACACCAAGCTTTCCTTCCGTTCCGACTTCTCGAGCAACACGGGTGACTTCAGCAGCAAAGATCGCCAGTTGGTCAATCATATTATTGATAGTGTTAACCAGATCAAGAATTTCACCAGACACCTTGACACCAACCACCTTTTGCGTTAGGTCACCACGGGCGACAGCAGTCTGAAAGATTACATCAGGTACATCCCATGTAGCGTTGAACAGTACTCTACTCACAGTAGCGTGCGCAATGGTTCGCACTTGCTCGGTTAAATTGGCTGCCATGATGTTGACACAGTCCGTAAGATCCTTCCAAGTACCAGCAACACCAGGCACCTTGGCTTGACCACCCAGACGACCGTCGGTACCGACTTCTCGGGCTACACGCGTGACTTCGGACGAGAATGATCGAAGAGAGTCTACCATGTTGTTTACAGTGTTCTTATCACGTTGTCAGCATTCACTATATCATAGTATGCAAAGATGACTGACCTTCAATTCGAGGATTTCACCAAAGGCAGCGACATTGATCTTCTTACTCAGATTACCAGCAGCGACAGCCGTCGTACTGCGTAATGTCAGTATTCGCAACCTCGTCAAAATGTCTGTATACACTTACACTTCAGCTACTGATCGCACCTGCGTCGTCAAGTTCAAAGCCATCAAGTTGACATTATCGGTCAAGACCATCCATGTTCCTTCGACGTTTGGCACCACGGCTTGACCACCCAGCTTGCCTTCTGTTCCTACTTCAAGAGACACACGAGTGACTTCAGAGGCGAAAATGGTAAGTTGGGCAACCATTTCGTTGACAGTAGCCTTCAGATCGAGAATTTCTCCTTGGACATCGGCGGTGACGGTCTTGGACAGGTCTCCTCGGGCGACAGCTTTGGTCTGAAGGATTTATCAGCAGAGTACAGCACCACATGTTAAAACTTACAACCATGGCAATTTCTCGCACTTGATCCGTCAGATTTCTGGCCATCTTGTTGACATTGGTGGTGAGATCATCCCAGACACCTTCCACGCCAGGCACAACAGCTTGACCACCCAATTGACCTTGTGTTCCGACTTCCAACGCGACACGCGTGACTTCCTTTGCGAATATAGTGAGTTGCCGAATCATAGAGTTCACAGTCTGATATGTGGATTAGCAGGGGGTAGCGAATTTGGGATGAGACGGACGTTTTTCAATACAGCCATTTCACCTTCTGCCTCTATCTCGATCATTTTACTCAGATCACCCTGCAAGATCATCAGCTGTTGCCACTGGCGCAAGACCAGCGATGCTCACTCTGGCAACTGCAGTCGTGACGCTTCCGATACTTCGCACTTGGGTTGTTAAACTTTCACACATTCGATTGACCTGAATAATTGTCAGCCCAGGCTAAAAAAGCAGCGCAGACAACCCACATTGACCGTAAGATCTTTCCAGACACCTTCGACATCAGGGACATTGGCTTGTCCACCCAGTTTACCTTGACTACCGACTTCCAGGGATACTCGACTAACTTCATCGGCCAGCGTTCGGAGAGACATCACCATTCCGTTGACAGTAGTCTTCAATTCGGCAATTTCACCACTAGCCTCGACGTCGATGGTCTCGGACAAGTCGCCCTTCGCGACAGCTTTTGTGACCTTGGCGATGCTTCGCACTTGGTTGGTAAGGTTGGCAGCGAGTTTATTGACGACAGCAGTGAGGACCTTCCATGAACCTTCAACATTGGGCACAACAGCCTGACCACCGAGTTTTCCTTCGGTACCGACTTCGAGCGAGACACGTTCGACTTCGACAGCAAACGTCTGCAGACGGTCTACCATGGCGTTGATGATATTCTTGAGTTCGGTCATAGCTTGGCCTTTGACGGGGACGATAATTTTCTGGGTAAGGTCACCTGTGGCGACGGCCTTACAGACACGGGCGATATCCTGGACTTGCGCCTTAAGAAGAGCAAGCTCCTTCTCGGCAGACAAGCCAGAGTCATCAGAGGGTTCGTTGTCGGAAGTAGCATTGACATAAGCAGCAAGGACGTTGGGCGGGAAGAACATTTGTTCAGGAAGAGGTGGCGGGGGCGTGGACAAGGCGGCAGTGAACGGGTGGTAGAACGAAGCGATCTGCTGCGGGGTAAAGCTGGTGATGTCGTGGTTGGCAGAGATAGAACGGGCACAGGTGGGGCAGATGGGACCAGGGGCAGGTGGCTCTGATGACTCGGCCGGC